AAGCAAAAAAAATCTGCTTCTTGTTTCTGGAACAAGAGAAAAGAAACGATTTTTTTTCTGGAATCCTCCAAAAACAAGAAACAATCCATCGGCCACAACCCGCCCACCGCCGCCTCTTGCCATCCTTTACTGCCACCTACCGCCCGCCTTCCGCCTCTGCCCGCCGGCCAACGCTCGCCGGCCGCCTCCCGCCCACCGGCCAATGCTCGCCGGCCGCCTCCCGTCCGCTGGCCGCCTCTTGTCGTCGACCACTGTCCTCCACCGCTCGACGCTTGTCACCACCTGCCACCGGCCGCCGTCCTCCACCGCTGGCCGTTGTGCTCCATCGCCCGACGTCGGCCGCCTCCCGGCGTGGGCCGCCTCCCCCCGCCAACCACCCGACGTCGGCGATTACCCACCACCGGTCTCCGTCCTCCATTGCCGCCGGCCACCCACCACCGGCCACCATCCTCCGCCGCCGGCCATTGTACTCCACTGCCCGACGCTGGCCACCACCCGGCGCTGGCTACCCTCGGCCGCCGGCCACCTCCCGCCCCTGGCCACCCGACGCCGGTGGTCACCCACCATCGGCCGCCATCCTTTGCCACCGGCCGCCGTGCTCCATCGACCGACGATGGCCACCCTCCGCCGCCAGCCACCTCCCGCCGCCGCCGCCCGACGCCACGGTGCTCCGCCGCTAACCGCCATGCTCCACTGCCTCCGGCCGCCATCCTCTGCCGCTGCCGACCACCGTCCTCCGCCCCCCACTGCCACCCGCCGTCCTCCGCCGGTAGTCCAGAAGGGAGAAACTCGTCCATGGAGTAGAAATGGATTATTCGCGCCCTAAACGCGTTTCTATTCTTTTTCTATTCTAGGAATAGAAATTTTGTGCAGTTACTAAACGCTATTTTTTGCTCAGAAACTATTCCAAGAAATAGAAATAGAAAAAACTATTTCTGATCAGAAATTATTTCTAGGAACAGAAACGTTGCTATGCAGACCTTTACTTTTTTCTATTTCTCTTGCAAGCGACGTGGTTGGCCCTTGCCTCCGTTCGAGGTCGCGATATGCTGTTTCCCATTTTGTTCAATTTCATTAATTGATTTGCATTTTTGTTTTCGGGCTCGGTTTCATTTGATTCTTACATTTCCTGCGACTGAAGAGGTATTTTCTATTTCTCTTGCGGGAGATCTTCTGATTCTCACATTTCCTACTACCGAATCATTTCAATCATAAGGTTCGATTCTCACCTCGGACTGAACAAGGTTTTTTCAATCAGGAGAAAGTTTTTCTACTTGTTTACTTGATGTGAACTAATTTTCTTCTTCGTTTCTCACATTTCCTGCCACCGAATCATCTCCTACGGCTTACTTTTTTCTATTTCTCTTGCAGGTGACATGGTCGACCCTCGCCTCCATCCGAAGTCTCGATCCGCTATTTCCCATTCCATTCAATTTCATGAATTGATTTCCATTTTTGTCTTCGGGCTCGCTTTGATTCTCACATTTCCTCGATCGAATAGGTTTTTTCTATTTCTCTTGCGGTCGACCTTCCAATTCTCACATTTCCTGCGACCTAATCATTTAAATCATAAGGTTTTTTGAATTCTCACCTAAGACCGAATAATGTTTTTTCAATCAGGAGAAGGTTTTTCTTCTTGTTTTCTTGGTGTGAACTGATTTTCTTCTTGTTTCGCGTCATTGATCATTGTAGGTCTTGGAATGGGCAAACCTACTTCTTTGGAGAAGAAGTGCTTAGAGGCTTCGTACTGGGCAAATCTGTCTTGCATTTGATTGAATAAGTTTTGAGTGGCTGTAAGTGAGGACGTGTATGGCATTTGTTTCTACACTAGTGCTTTCCCATTATCTTCGCACAAGACACGACGCCGATAGTCACATGATTTCAAAGATCTGATTCCTGATCTAATTTTCATCTTTCAACAGTAGTGTTATTCTGATAGGGACATTGACATAAATAGCTTGGTTTAGGGAGAAACAGAGTACATGAGAGTTAAAAAGCATGTGATTCTATTCCAATTCTGTAACTCTTCAAGCTGAGAATTTTAGACATGTAATCACATTTGGAAATTCACATATTGGGTACTACAAGTTCTTAACTAGCTTTGCTTGCAGGTAGACAATATTTACAAGGAACTTGAGACGAAGCTTAGAATGGAAACTATTGAAGTTGGCGAGGTACTCCATGTAACATCTCGTTTACTTGAATCAAATGACTCATTTATCACCTGTTCACACAGTTCCTTTCTATACTTTGGTTACCAGGACACTGTGAAGATGTTAAAGAGTCTTCAGGTGTGATCGTTGTCTTCAAATCCTGTGTTTCACTTTCCTCTATGATTGAGCATGTCTTTCATGTTTATTTGTGCTGTTGGAAATATGCTTAACAAAGTCCACCATTCGACAAGTTGCTGTGGTAATATGTGCACATAGCTGGTCTAATAGGACTATTTTCTAAGCAACACTTCAGTAGATCAATTTCATTTTTCATGACAAATAATTCGGTCGTAAAGAGAGAAGGATCTAAAAAAAAATTCTTTGTGGGGGCCAAATTTCATCAGTGGTTATTTTAGTAATTTGCATAGTATTCTTAATCTTAAAAAATATCATGACATTTCATATTATGTAGGTTATTTCCCTTATGACACGACTACATTTGTCATGATTCTAGATTTGTTTATGAAGCTGTATCGGTTTAATGGGGGAAAATCAAATGAAAACATATAGTATTCACTTAGTTGCATACTTTTGAGATACTTAGTAAGGGCAAAAGTTATTTATTCGGCGAATTGGTAATTTCAAATCCCAAGCACGGAAGAGACAGCACTAGGCTCAACAAGGTGTTTGGTCCTACTGCAACACAGAGTTTCTCTCTCACCCAAAAGCTAGCTCAAGGTCCTAATGCAACACAATATTTCCCCCTCACACCAAAAGCATCTCAAAAAGCATCCCACAATGTTTCTCCCTCACCCCAAAAGCAGCTAAAAAACAAGGTGTTTGGTCCTCCAACATGAGATTTCTCTAATCCAACTCACACATGCATCCTAACACCTCGACCATTAATTCAGTTTGTTTTGGACGGATATAATGTTTGTGTATTTGCCTATGGTCCTACTAGATCATTGCTTTAATGATGCAGATTGATAAGATCAAATTGGAAAAGAAGGTGGATGCGCTTGAGTGTCTACTAGAGGATTCGACGGAGGAGGCTGCTTCTGCAAATCAATATCGTAAATGGAAGAGAAAAGAAGAGGAGTAGCAAAGCTTTGTTGACTTTCAGGTCAATGCTTTGCAAGTCTGTTAGCCATCCTTCTATTGATATTTCGTTAAGTTGACAATGGACTCTTTCACAATGAGTACATTGGATTGTTAGGACTTGAGAGCAGTCGCAGAATTTATGAAAAATGAACTCTTGAAGAACATAAGATGACACTTAGGGGAACAAAGTGACTTGGGTATGGCTGCGCTTATAACTGCTATCGGCTGTTGAATCTTTCTCGTGTCACTTCCTCATGATCTCTAGATTCAAATTGATTATGAGTAAAATTGAAAGGGTTAGCAGCAGATGCTACTCAAAATTACCACAATAATTGAAAATTACTTGCGTTTATTTTGCTTTTTGTGTTTGATGATCATGACATATCAGAGTGTACCGTAGAATTAAACCGATCTTCTTAGGTCAAAGCACGAAAGAGAAGACAGTTGATGGTATTGGTGACACCCAAAAGCTAGCTCAAGGTCCTAATGCAACACAATGTTTCTCCCTCACCCCAAAAGGCTTTCCCTCACACTTATAAAGTGATGAGAATGTGACAAAAGCTTTCTCCCAGGGAGATTACCAAAGGGGAGCCTAAGTCCGAGCTTCTTGATACATATAGTTGGACTCACATTCACTCAAAAGTTTAAATTAATGAGTTATGGGCCAACAATGATATATTAACTGCTCTACACCACACTAATTCTCTGATGTGAGATTTCTCTAACATAACTTATACGTGCGACCTAACATCTCGACCATTAATTCGATCTGTTTTGGACGGATATAACGTTTGTGTATTTGCCTAGGGTCCTACTAGATTAGGAAAAACATATACGATGGTATGTCAGAATTTTTGTTTGCCTTTATAAAATTTGGACCGCTTTTTTATTTATTAAAAGACGTTGTTATGCTAATAACAGAGTGGATCTGGTGCATCATCAAGGGAGGATTGATGTGTCAATTATCGAGCCCTAAATGATCTTTTTCAAAATTGCACAAAGCATAAAACTGTTTCATATGAAGTTGCTGTGCAAATGGTTGAAATATATAAAGAGCAAGTTCGTGATTTACTAATCAAGTCGGCAAATCCATCTCAATCTTGAGAACTGGGGATATAGGCTCTCCTCCATCAGAGCTTCTCTCTCTATCCCTTTGGTGATAGCTCCTGCTCCAAGCCCTAACTTTCCCCATTTCCATCTTCAACCCACTATAATCCCTACCCCTTCAAAGTCTAACACCTATTTCTACTCTGACCCAGCCCTCTCTCTTGCCATTTCGTACAGCCTTCTTGTGCCCTAAACCGAGCTTGCCCTTTCCCGTTAATGGCACAAGCAAGTCTTGGGTAGCTCTTTGTTTGGTGAGGCCTGCTTCCAGGTGACCTCTCCGTCGTCTCCACTTCCACGTCAGAGTTATGGGGCCCTCCATTGTGGGTCAGGTTGCACTTACTCTTACACCACGACAAATCCCCTCAATTCTTCTCCTGTAAACCTTCACAACCATCGCTACTCATAACCCTGCCCCAGCTAACAAACCATCTCACCCTCCTTTCCACCTCTCTCTCCCCTAACTCTGGGATGTCAGATGCGACGTCATAATATGAAGCACCAGTCGTGTTTTTGCGAATTAGGAACCTCAGTGTTAGGCGCTTCAGCAGTTCTTGTCTCTGGCAGTGCTGTTACCCATAAACTCAAAGGCCGGAAATGGTAGTCTCAAGTGCTATGCCAGGTGTGGTCCATTCAGAGGGTTAGTCCTCCTTGGCTCCCAACAGTTGCGATGGAAAAAGAGGCAGTCTATGATGCTCGCTTGGCTGCCCTGTGTAAGGAACTGGGGGATCTATGGTCAGTTGATGACGTAGTAGTGCTAAAAGGCGACATCCCTGCAGAAAAATAGAGAGAATGTGAGCTGTCCTTGTATGGGAAGTTGTATTCGAAACCAAACGTGAATTTTCAAGTGTTCTTAAACACGATGAAGAGAGAATGGAAAATTGATATGTTAGAATGCGAGTTGATTGAGCCGGGGTTTTTCTCATTTTCGTTTTCGTCTCTAGAGGAAAAGCAAAGAGTGTGGGAATCTGGCCCGTGGTCATTCTCTAGCAACTTACTTGTTCTCCAACCAGGTGACCCGGATACTCTCGACCATTGTTACGAATTTACCCATTGCGCATTTTGGGTACACTTAGTAGGTATCCCCCGAGGGCGCTTATCAGAAGAAGTGATTCGGGAGGTGGCAGGAAAAATGGGCGAAGTTTTGGAGGTGAAGTTTGAATCGAAAGTGGGTGGCCCTCACAAAAGCTACAAAGCTAAGGTCCGCTTGGACCTCTTTAACCCGTTGAAAATGGGGACCATTGTAGACCTAGAGTATAAGAAACTTTGGGTGGATTTTAGATACGAAAGGCTCCCACATTTCTGCTACTCTTGTGGGCGAATAGGGCATTACGCTACCTACTGCAAAGATGTCCCTTTTGAGCATTCGGGTCTTAATGTAAACAAAAGGGGCAAGTTCGGGCAGTAGCTGAGATTGGAAGTTCGCGAACCTAGCCCATTTTGGAAGATATACTACGGGACTAACACTCCTGTGTCAGAGGAGGATGAGTTTATTCCGGAAACACCAAGGGAATTAATTACAAGGGAGAGGGATATGCCTAGTACTAAGGGTAAGGAAGTTGCAGGGTTACTGGGAGATAAGCCACATGTTGCAAATCCAAAAGAACGGTACTCACAAACTGTCGGAGATGGCAAAAAACAGCAAGATAACACTCAGCAAGACATCCAAATGTCCAGTATGGATGTGGCTATTAAGGGCAAATCCGTCAAGACCTCAAGAAAAGAGAAGATAGGTTTGAAATCCTTTAAGAAAGTTGCAGCAGTAAAGAAACAGAAAAAATTCAACCAGCATGGTCTGAGTGTGCTTCTCAACCAATCCTTTAACGAGGAGACGCTCCTTGATGCTCCGATCCATTTGGTGGATGAAAGGACAGAATGGGCTCTGGTGGCTAGCCCTAATAAGCCACCGGGGGTTATATGAAACTTTTGAGCTGGAATTGCCAGGGGCTGGGCAATCCCCTGACAGTCCAGCATCTTGGAGCTCTAGTGGCTCAAGAAAGGCCCGACTTAGTTTTCCTGATGGAAACTAAGAATAAAAGACCAGCAGTTGACAGAGTTAGAAGGCGTATTCAATTTCAATACTCAGAGATAGTGGACCCTATAGGGATAGCCGGCGGCTTGGCGGTGTTGTGGAACGATGGAGTGACAGTGGTAGTGGATTACAGTGCTAGTGAGTTTATTGATATATCGTGCAGAGACCAAGACAGTGGAACCCTAATGCGCATAACTTTCCTTCACGCCTCCACAAATTTTCAAGAAAGGATCCAGCTATGGAATCATATTTATTCTATATATTCAGGTAATAGCCTTCCATGGATTTGTGTGGGAGACTTCAATGAAATCCTGTACCATTGGGAAAAAATGGGAGGTATTGGTTCGGAGCATTACCGGTTAGTCGTGTTCCAGGAATTCCTAAACAGGTGCTCTCTTATGGATATTAAAAGTAAGGGCTGTGCATTTACTTGGGCGAATAACAGGGAAGGAGTAGCTCTAGTGCGGAAAAGGTTAGACATAGTCCTTTGCAACATTAACTGGAGAGTGCATTTCCCTAATGTGGAAGCTATCGCCTTACCGGCAATTGGCTCAGATCACAGCCCAATTATCTTGTCCCTCTCCCCTAGAATAACGAAGCGGAAAAAGGAATTCAAGTTCGAGGCATTTTTGCTGATGGAACCTGAGTGTAAGGAGTTGGTCAAGGTCAGTTGGGTCGGAAAGAAAGACAACTCAGTTGCTTTCGCGAGCAACCTAAAAAAGACCACTGAAGCTCTGGTACTGTGGAGTAAGAAGAAATTTTCCAATGCTTTCAACCAGATCGACCCTTTAAGGAGAAGACTTACAACCCTCACTAATTCGGGCATAGGTGAATCTAGTAGAGAAGAAATGCAGCACATTAAAGACCAAATTGAAATATTGTGGAGGCAAGAAGAGCTATATTGGGGTATGAGATCTCGTATAAACTGGATTAAGTGGGGCGATAAAAATACGAAATACTTCCACGTAGCTACAGTTCAGCACAGACAAAGGAACAAAATATCAGTGTTGAAAATGGATGATCTCTGGTGTCGTGATCCTAATCCGCTGAAACAACACATAACTGAATTTTATGAGTCCTTGTATGAATCGGTAGGCACCAAGAACTTCGAGCCGGTATTAGACCAATGCACCTTTCCAATCCTAGAGGGGATGAATGAGGCACTCATGGCACCGGTGTCATTAGAAGAGGTCAAACAAGCAACCTTTCAGCTAGGGGCAGCTAAGGCTCCGGGACCGGACGGGATGAATGGTCAATTTTATCATCATCATTGGGAGATCATCCAACATGACTTACTTCGGCTAGTTACCAACTTTTTCCAATCAGGTTTTTTTTATCCAGAGCTCAACAAAACACACATCGTTCTCATCCCTAAAGTGTCTAGCCCAGAAAGCATCACACAATTCCGACCCATTAGCCTGTGCAACTTCAGTTATAAGATCATATCGAAGGTAATGGCAAACCGCCTTAAGCCTTGGCTCCCGGACCTCATCGCAATAGAACAAAGCGCCTTTGTCTGTGGGAGGCAGATTCAAGACAACATCCTTATAGTCCAGGAGATCCTTCACCAACTGAGAATAAGGGAAAGAAAACAGAAGTTCCAGGCGATTCTCAAGCTAGACATGCAAAAAGCATATGATAGAGTGGAATGGGACTTCCTATGTGCCTGTATGCTGAAAATGGGGTTCTGTGAGGCATGGGTGTCTTTGGTGAAGCGGTGCATCTCTACCGTATCCTTTAGTGTCAAAGTAAATGGGGAGCCTTCAGAGTTTTTCCAGCCTTCCCGGGGAATTAGACAAGGAGATCCACTTTCCCCTTACCTATTCATAATCATGGCCAATGTGCTCTCTTTCCTTCTAACAAAGGCATTGCAGGATGGGAGTTTAAAAGGGATCAGAATGAACAGGAATTGCCCTACGCTGTCACACCTACTCTTTGCTGATGACGCCATATTTTTCCTGGATGGTACCATTGGGGAGTGCCAAAATCTGGCCAACATCTTAAATCAATATTGTTTTGCCTCAGGACAAGAAATCAATCTGAACAAATCTGGGATCTTCTTTAGTGCAGGCTGTCCTCAAAACCTCAAGAGGAATTTGGCGGCTGAACTAAGAGTACCAATTATGGAGAAAACCGGGAAATATCTTGGCATCCCATCAGACTGGGGTCAAACAAAAAAACAGATGTTTGCATGGATTCTAGCAAGGGTAAACATGAAGATGGAGGGCTGGAAGGAAAAATTACTATCCAAGGCGGGGAAGGAAATTTTGATCAAAACAGTGGTTCAAGCACTTCCCCAATATGCCATGTCGATCTTCAAAATCCCCATTTCAGTATGTAAGGCAATCGAGCAGAAAATAGCATCCTTCTGGTGGAAACAAAACTCTTCAAAATCGGGCATTCATTGGAAAAAGTGGGAAACACTAAAGAGAGGAAGATAGACGGAGGCTTAGGCTTCAGGGACCTAATTACCTTCAACAAGGCTATGCTAGGAAAGAATGCATGGAGGCTTGATCAAAATCCTTCTGCCCTATGGAGCTAGCTTCTAAAAGGACTCTACTTCCCCAATGGAAGCCTATGGAAAGCAAAAAAGGGCTCCCGGCCTTCGTGGGGGTGGCAAAGTCTTCTGATGGGAAGGGATGCTATAAGTTCAAAAGTCAAATGGCAGGTTGGGAATGGAGAAATCATCAATATTAGAGAGGATAATTGGCTGGAATGGGGTGTGATAGGGGGCCCAGCTAACTGAGAAGACCCCCAGAGAGTCGGCGACCTGATTGTTCACGGGACAAACATATGGAATGAAAGCAGGCTGCATGAGCTCTTCCAAGAGGAAATCGTGAAAGAAATTCTTGCAACCGGGATTATGCCAAACCCAGACACGGATAAACAGATATGGACTGGGAACACGACAGGGGAGTACACGGTAGGCAAGGGGTACACCAGACTTAGAGCAGCTACACCAACTAAAACAGAACAGGCATCATCATCATATCAACCGCCCCGATCCCTATGGAAAAAAATCTGGAAACTACACACTGAACCAAAGATCCGCTTCTTCCTGTGGAGCGCGTGTACAAATGCTCTACCCACATCAGATAATTTGCACAAAAGAAAGGCGCTACCTGACTCGTTTTGCCCAATTTGCCGAAAGTCCCCAGAAACTACGGAACACCTATTCATCCTGTGCGACTGGACAAAGGAAATTTGGTCTGATCCGAGGGTAAAGGTCGACGCTTCTCCATTAAAAGTCACAAGAATGGACAAGTGGGTGGATGAAACACTCACCAGAGCCTCAGAACCATCCTCTCGTGAGGGCCTCGCAGGTAGACTGTGGCTGATTTGGAAAGCGAGGAACGCCCTGGTATTTCAACAGAAAATCCTCAATCCGGGAACAATAGTAGATGATGCCTTCCTGCAGAGCAGAAATTATCGCATGCACAGCTCAAGTCAACCGAATTGCTGGTCGGAAAAGATCTCACCTGTACGGTGGACACCACCACCAACAGGGACGTGGTTTTTCAACGTCGACGGCTCTTGGATTGACGGCAAAACAGAGGGATCGGTGGCCGGCGTGTGTCGAGATCACAAGGGGCTTCTCATGGCCGGGTTTAAAGAGTGTGAGCTCACTCTCCTCCGGGAAATCGAAGCCACTGCGGTGAAGGAGGCACCGCTCCGGTCGCGGGATAGATCTGCGCAGATGGCAGATGGAAAAATAGCGTGTGAAGTGTGTATTCTGTCTGATAACACCTCCACTATTACTTACACTATGCAACCGACAAAAAGCCCGTGGGCTTTAAGAAGTCTGTTTGAAGAGTGTAATGTCCTTCTTGGGCCTTTACAAGGGGTCTCGTTGGCCCACTGTCCACGAGAAGCCAATCAAACCACAGACTAGATTGCCAAATCCCACCGGAAAGGGACCCTCTCTCCCAGTTGGATGTCTAGACCTTCCCGAACTCTATGGGATTTACTATGTATGGACTCTAGTCAATTCTGTTATTGTGGTCCGTCCTTTGAATGATATAAAATCAGTTTGTTTCAGACCAAAAAAAAAAAAGTTCGTGATTTACTTTCAAATGATGGACTTCATACAAGATATCCTTTCCATACGGTTTCTTTTTAGTTTTTCTATAATTTTTTTGTTTGGTATTCCCTAAATTTCATTAGCTATTGATAATTTCATATTATTAGTCCATGTCATATCTTGGACAATGTGTTTCTTTGCAGTTTGCACTCTTTATTTTTTTTTCTTTTCTGAAATAAAGAGTCACTAGTTTTTCTTTGACTCGCACACGCTTGGGATTTGTAATATTACCCAAACAAGTGGGTTAGCTGTGCCTGATGCAAGCAGGCATCCCGTCCAATCAACGTCAAATGTGCTAGAATTGATGAGGATGGGCTTAAGCAAGCGGGTTGTAAGTGCCATAGCTTTGAATGAAAGAAGCAGGAGATCTCATAGATTGTTCCCTTTTCGTTTTTAGCACCTCTGTATTTGCTTTATTAAAACTTGAATGTTATAATATTAATAATGTGATCCCATATTCGGTTTATTGTTATTAATATTAATTAATTTTATTAACGTTTTATTGAGCACATTAAGGTGCGTGATAACTATGGTGATTGTCCAATATCAAGAAAACTATCTTGATGGAAGAATTATCTGTAAGGATATGAATGGGGATATAAATAGGTCATTTAAGCAAACCCTCTTAATCTGATCTCTTATTAATATGATAAGAGACATATTTCTCCATTCATACCATTTCATTAATCTGATCTCTCATTACACCACCCTGGCCCAGGCAAGGGCTCGCCTGGCCGAGCCTTGCCCGTGGCGGGCGACGGCGACCCTCACTCAAGCGAGGCCAACCCGCCTAGCGATGGCTGGTGGCTGGTGGCTGGCAAAAGGAAAGAAAAAGGAAAATAGAAAAGAAAGAAAAAAGAAAAAAATTAGAAAAAATAATTAAAAATTGAAAAATAGCAAAATATTATTAAAAATTATTCAAGTCAACGCCGGGGGTGCCATATAGTCCGGCTAGTGTCTACGTCAGCAATATCCAATCAAAATTAGCAGGAATGACTGAATTGGTACTGGATCAAAAGGTTTATGACTAAATTGGCACAAATGTAATAGATTTATAACTTTTCTGACACTTATCCCTATATATAACTGGTAGTGGAATTGGAAATAACATATGGAGCGGTCTTAGTGGTGGTGGATGTGGAAAAAACGGGTATACCTTGTAAAGCTTGTGATTATGTGGGTTGGGCTTAGTCAATGGTTGCTGTTAGTTTAATACTGCGGCTATTTCAAAATTTGAATAGGACTTTGCTAGCATAATAGCCTTTGAGCTACTATAGGAATAATAATATGCTGCGAGCCATAAATTCTTAAAAAATTGGACCTCATAACAATTTATAATTATTTTTTATTTTTTTTTTGTTTTTTATGGCCAAGAACAGACTGTTATTCTCACAGTAAATTAAGGACAGTCGCCTAATCATTAACCTCTATCATCACCTTAAATTAACCTCCAAAATTTAAATAATTAATTCATCTAACTATTTCATAGAATTTGTCACGTACTAAAAAGCAGAGGGCAAAATGAAAATTGCCTCGTTTAGTTGGAAAGTAGTATGGAATCCTTTATGATGGTTTTCTTAAACTTTTCATTTTCCAAAAACTAAACATAGCAAGATTCATAATCTGGTGGGCAGGTGTAAGAAGAAGCTAATGCTGAAAAGGTCGGTGTATAGGAGTTTGCCCAATCGCTCTCTCCCTGCAGAAAGATAATTATCTAATCGGTGAATTTTGTCCGCAGTGACAACAAGAGAAACAAAGACATTCACTCTCTAGTTCTCCGGAAGTGCACCGTCAAATATCTACTGAGGACTAAAAATTCTTAATGCATATACTTGTGAATCCAAATAAGCTTTGGATAATAGTCTGGACAAAAAACAGGTCAATTTGTAGGAGTGTATCAAGTTCCTCCCGTTTCCTCCTGTCAAGGTGGAAGAAGAGAGAATTCTCCAGCACTCACCTGTGCAGATGAATCAAGACTACCTCAACTGCTTTCCGTTTGGCTCTATCTTGGTAGTCATTTCGTGTAAAGAAAACAGAATCAAATCCAATCTGTAAGTAGAGCAAACTATGTGTTAAGCAAGTCAGGAACTCAATCCTGTGGACCTGGATCATCAAAGATCCAATCCATGACTTGATCAGCGTTCTTCATTGAGAGGAAGAGCTGTATATACTAAAGTAGATATCGAGAAGGCAAGACCTCTGCTCCTAACAAGTAAGCCTGCACAGACGTATGGCTAAAAGGATCAGTTGCCAACCAATTCTTGGGGTTAGGCCAAATTCTTTCTTGATAAATCAGTGACCAAGGGTTGTCTGATCAATCATGTCAATGTAATGAGTTGTTGCCTCATCATGCAATCACATTCCTGCATTTTTGTGTCCGAGAGTTAACGATCGGCAATTGAAAACCTCAAGAGTGTGTTAAAAAATGCATCACGATGATTCATTAGCGACTGAAATGAAGCTAAAAGGCACAGACTGGTGCAAGACAATTCAACCGATGGTAGTAAGGCCTTCCTCTCCTTCACATAAACAGTGAGTTAATTATTCTAAAAGACTGCGAGTCAGTGACTTACACGAACTCCAGTTGACCCGAATTCACAAGCTGCTTGACTGCACTTTGGACTTGCTCGCTCTGGTCTCTCCACCAGCGTCGGAAGAAAGCAAGCCTGCATCAACAGAGGTAATAGACCTTACCTGAATAACAACGTACAATATATTCATGTTCTTGGTTGGGGGCAAATAGGAAGCTAAGTCGCATTAAAGAAATCAAAAGAAGGTAAAAAGAAGGGGAGAGGGTGCAAGTGCAAGCCTGTTCCACACAGATGAACTTGCGGTTCTTATCGGTAAGCAATGCAGAGACCACAGAATCCAGTACATTCTGAACACACGCACCCTGAAACCATCATACACACATATATAACTTGCTTCCCTAGAACAGAAAGAGATGGAGACTTGGGTCGGGAGCACGAGGCGACCTGAATGGTATTGTTGGAGCCAACGTAGTACTGATCGACAGTCTTCAACCAGCTGATGTTTTCGTGGGTGTGAGGGACCAAATGGACATCAAGAGCAAAAGCGAAGCCCAGACAAAGGCCCTCGTATTCATGGGAGGAGCAGTTGCTAGTGGCTAAGGAATGAGCAAGAGCCAGAGAAGAGATGCAGAGGAGAGACTGGCAATGCTAGTGGTTTGTTTCCACATCTATATACCAATACCCACCACCTTACTCCAACAAAAAGTTAACAATAGCACACGTTTTACAAAACAAATGAATGCGATAAAACGGCAATCGATTACAATTAGAAAACCAACCAAAAAACAGGAGAGGAGAAAAATGCCCGTTGCTTGTCATGACGGGTGTTTCCCTCAAGAAATATCAAATAAATGGGCATGTGTCAGGACGACTCATCGAAGAAAAGATTAAGGCAGTTTTCGATGAACTTTATGAAGAGATGAAGAACATCGATCGACCTACAGCGTATTTGATAATTAACTTGAGGTATAAATAAATGCAAAACATATTAAAAGGTAAATATTTTAAAGATGTGTGTGTATATAAATATATTTATAGACACACACATTCTTAGACCACGCAATTCACGGGCTAACTTGTTCTAAATATATAAACCCATTTTTCACGTTCTGACTGAGTTTTTGTTTGGCAACAAGGAGGCTTATCACCAACCCCCCGCCCGGCCCGGACCGAGCCGACCCGACCCGACCCATCATGAGTTGGACTCCAATCCAATGCCTTTTGGGCGGGGGTTTCCCCCCATCGGAGGCGGCGTTTTCCTTTTGCGTTTCCCGCTGTTTTCCCATTTCGAAAGAGACGAAGAGAAGAGAAGAAGAGACGATTCTCATCTCATCTCATGGAGACGGAGAGGATAGCCGGCGAGGATCAGGATATGGACGGCGAGTTCGATTCGGTGCGGGAGGTGTTGCGAGATCGTTTCCGACTCTCCTCCATCTCCATCGCCCATGCTCAAGGTTCCCCTCCCTCCCTCCCCCTCTCCCTCTCTCATCGCCTCCACCCCCCATTTCAATCTGCCGAATCTCTGACCGTCTCCGTCTTCTTTCTTTTTTTTTTTTGGATCTTCTCCGCTGGGGTAACTGGTGGAGCAGCCCGGAGAAGTGGCTTGGAGATTTCTGAACCCGTCGTTGCCTGCCTCGCCGATTTGGCTTTCCAATTCTCAGGTCTCTCTCCACCCTCGTTTCTCTTCTCGGTCTTGAAATCACTTGCGCCCCTTGCTTCGATTCGCAACCTGGTCGTCCTCTGCTTTTGTTGAATGATAGGCTGCTTGTATCAGCTACACTAGCTGATTAGCACCACACTTGCTTAGGTTACGAATTGAGGAATTCACCTGTTTTGCATCAGTCCAGTTGTCCCAATCACCTGGAATATATGGCAGCGCTAGCTTAGCTTTATGGGGAGTTTAATTTTACAAATTGAGGAATTCGACGATATCCTTCTGGGAACTCTGGTTGTATTGTTCGGCCTTGGAGCTGGTCTTTCTTTGACACTGTTATGGTTGTATCATGAAAACAGAACAGTTGGCCAAGGACCTTGAGCGTTTTGCTCGCCATGCTGGCCGTAAGTCTGTTAACACGGAAGATGTCATCCTCTCTGGTGAGCCCTCTTTCTTGTCGAATCGCCCTGTTCTACTGCTTTGTACTTTCTATTGAGAGATAAGGCTGTATTGGGTATTAAGATTCCAAGTAAAAAAAAAATTAGCCCCGTGCATGCTGCTACTTTTGTCATTCGACGGCTACACTGGCAGCGCGCCTTCAGGGTCTTTCCAACTGCTTGTTTTTGATCTACTGTTGTGTGGCAGCACATAGGAATGAACACCTGGCTATCTCGTTGAGGTCCTATTGTGACGAACTCAAACTGAAAGAACCCCAGTCTCTGAAGAAGCGTAAAAAGTTACCAGGAAAAGAAGCCAAAGCTACTACCAGTGCGGTTCACATTTCCGACCTGTGAATCAGAGGTGTTCAAATTCGGATTGTTCTTTTTTAGCAATTGAAGCATGCAATGGAAAAGATACTTGAAGCAAACAATGTCTTCAGTAAGCACTTGAGTGCTCATATTTTGCCTTATTTCAGTTGCATCTTCAGAAGCTGGAACCAACTTCTTGAGTGACATGCCATGTTGCACTATTTGGGATGTAGCAACTGATATATGAGATTGGCTCCATCTATCTTTGCTGATTAATTAGGAGTCTGCGCATGCTTCTTCTGCATATTTTGTTATTCATATATCTCTCTACACAATTTTGGAGTAAACCCGTGAAATTCAAACTTCGTCAAAACTCGTAGCATCACATGCCACACGTAGACAGTTTCAGCAGCATCGATCGTTGCAGTGTACTTCTGCCATAGTTAAGATAGAGATTTGGTTACTTGAATCACGTAGCCAGTAGCTTCCATCGAATCTTTTGGAGGATAGGAATCTGCGACAGGATTGTGGAAGAACAGTAGCGAATGTAGATGTAGGATTCTATTTCAGAAACTATCAAACACTGTTAGGGAAATGAAGGCCTCTAAGTTGCGTAGAAGAAAATTCAAGGTTCACAAACTACGAGCCTACCACAAAAAGAAGTACGGCAGGGTCGAAGGTCGATGATGTTGAGAATCATGTGACTACTGGGAGAGTGAATTAGGCATATAAATTGCGGAAGAAACCCGGCCATATGTCACAGAAAGCAGAGATGAAATCTAATGTCTAGTGACCCACTCTCAAATCAAGCTTTAATAAGAGGTTCTTTCCAATTACATTAGATATCATGTTTTAAAAGTAGGAGTTTACTGTTGCCCGGCGCTCGCATAAAATGTAATTCCAGAGGAATGCGAAAGTTAGGAGTCAAAAGATGTTGAAGGAATAAGTTTGTCGTGCGTTCTGCTTGATGGAGATGCCAGGAATCTAATTTCTGAGTCTAGTTACCTAATTACGTGGGAGTTGCAAAGTAGTAATTGGGGTGCTATAAAGTGATCATATGCAGCAGCCGATAATGATGTTGTCATATTATATTCGAGCGAACTTGATTATCTAAACCAGCCTAAGTGTAAGGTGTCACAATCAGAAGCGAGCTTTTCTGGAAACAGAAGAAGTGTCATCATGCTGTTAGTGTTGGAGGGTATTGCGGAGACTTGGTTCTGGGCTATGGTCATGGCTTACTGGGCCAGCTAGACAACACGTTGTCTGAAAACGAGGGGAAAGGAAAGTTTAAAAGATGCGGAGATGAATGGGTTTGGAACTATCGGCGGCCGCAAAGTTAGACAGAAAGACACAGCCGACTGTCTCAACCTTATTCGATATTTCTTCCTAATTTGTTATCTTGTTCACACTACTAAAGTTGGCCCCACAAGTGATTAAAGAAAAATATGCCAAAAAAGCAGCGAGGCTAGATGTGATTCATGACTGCTCTTTGCTTTTCCTTTTTTCTTGTCTTGGTCTTTTATTGTGACGTGCGTGCTTCTAGAAAAGACCCGATGGATTAGTGCGATCAAGTGGGGGCAGGTGTACGTCATTAATCCCAATTTATTTTTTATTTTTTTTGGTCGATATTAATCCCAATTTATTAGATTGCACGAAAATGACACTCTTTCGCTGAAATTGGATCATAGTTTCTTTGTATGGCAGAATGTGGCACACGTGAATGATCCGGAACGTAAGTTAGTCGACGGTAGCTAGAGGAAGAGGACGTGGAAAGGGTGGTGCATTTGTGTTATCGCCCCTTTATCTTCATCTGTTCATATGTATTCACATAGCATCTAATTCTCGCTAAAAGAAAAGGGTTGCAAACACCTAGAAATCATACTGGGCCTGTCAATTTTGAATGCCTGAATAATTTCCAAAAAGTAGGAGATAAAAAATAGCAACGGGGAACAGGAACTCGATCTTGGGTCCCGAAACACAAAGTCTCAAAGGAGTGACAGACCCGACTTCTAAAGACAAAAATGCACGCGGGATTCTCTTTTCCCCGCTTCTCCGTCATTGACGATCCATTTCCAAGCCCGACGGACGAGACATTAGATAGACTCGGGTAATACCCTAAGAGAGTTAAAAAAAACCTTCTAGTTTCAAAGCAGTGGAGCGTTTTTAAGATAGTTTATACTTTTTACATTTTAGAAATACCCAAAAAGCCGAACAAATGAATCCGCTAGGAAAATAAATAACAAACCCAATTTAGAAGAAATGCGAAGTGCGGAGATGCAAGCTCGCTTGGGTTGTTTTGCATACGCAGTTGTAAATATTCATCTTGGTTGGAACTAATTGATGGCCTGCAACAGTTGACTTGCGGCATGTGAATTGAAACTTGAATTACTAAGCCGAGCGGTGGCATTTATTGTGGTTGTTCGCAAGCGTAAGCTTTTATTTCGTTTTCCCTTTCTCTCTAAACTCTTTGCGGAAATCTAGAACATGAATATATTGTGGAAGATGTCCTTTGCGCCACGCAGTGCGCGCATCACAGGGACGACCGACCTGCGCACCAACCTACACCAAGTCTTTGTCGGCTGTAGACCTTTGGTGACACGACTTACTAGAATTACTTGCTTGAGCTGGTCAGAAAGTTGATTAAAATTCATTAATTAACGACGTGGCAAGTTTTACATGATGTTTGGATTAGTAAATTTCATGCTAATTGGTGTGTTTGCTTATATATATATACACACACAGTCGAGTAGGTTACATTTGAAGTATGTAATTCACCGATGAAAAGGGATATTTTCTTGTGAATGGGATATGATCGGAAGAAGATATTAGACAAACTCTATTGGGAACATTGGTTTGGGGGAGGATAGACATAGTTGACTTGCATACCTCCACAACCAAGACGTGGATGGGCGGCGATCCAAAGAAGCCGAATTCTATGACCATTTTCTAAAATTCATGTCCCTTAGTTAAGATAGTAAATGAGAGTGAATGATGCAGGAATGAAGTTGGTAGGCACATACAAACACACGACTTGGATCGGAGCTGCTATAAAAAGAAACGCAAATTGCAGTTTAGCCGTGTCCATTCCACCTTCATCGATCTCCACGATTCCATTCACAACAACGACGACGACAACAAAGGTGTGTCCAACATTATTTTCACACACACACACACCCCTATATATTGTCCTTGGCATCGTTGCCTAAAACGAGGTCTTCCTCAAACAAAGCCCATCATCACATTCCCTACAAGGTGTTTTTTCGGTGTCAGTTGACTCTCTTTGCGGCTTTCTCGCTTTCGTATTTGTTTTCCCATGGCCGGTGCCTACTCGAACTATCCACCACCACCACCCGCGATCATGTTGTTCATAAGGTACGTATTCACACATTTGTTTTGTGCGGATATTACCCCTTCCCCCATAGTTTTTGCTTCTCCTTTTTCTCTACCTGAACAAGTGATGGTAAAGCTCGATCGCGTTTGAAATCACTCTTCTTCGTTGCCTTGTCTCCAGAATGAGATTTCATAACAAAACCTCTTATTGCTCATATTCCATACTCATACAGAGCTTCTTCTCTACCTAGATCAACGTCTCAGGGAAGCAATCTTTATCTGAACAACTACAGTCAGCCTTCACTGTAGCAACAAAATCTCACAGTGATATCACAATCTTTGTGCTTGAGTTTCACATGGTATCGATGTCTAAGAAAACTTTTGATAGACTCAGTTTATTTATGATGCGTTGAACAAAACCAATCACAATGCAAAAACTGTATAGGAACCGGTATATTTCAATGAGGCCTCATGTGGGTCTTACGAATTCTTCAAATGGGATCAACCTGATCTAACAATATGAGTTCATACAATACTTGCTTCCTATCCAGCTAAGAAGAAGATTTTGTGGAGTGATAATCACATCAAGTGCTAACGGCGAAGCCGCGAAAGGCGACCAATGCTACATTACTACATCCTAACTAACACTTGTCTGTTGAGCTACCTGGATTTACACTCTACTTTTTTGTTTGGATGGTATGAATAAACTTTCCAATACTGTGGAACCACAAACAAGATGGTTTATATAACCATTTAGGCACCCAACAGATGCACTGTTATGCGTCATTAATCGGTAGTAAAGGAGTTTTTGTAAAGTTTCTTAGAGATTTGTATCTATGATTGCTCAATTTGATGGTGAATATGGAGTATTTAGCATGCCAATCCAATTTTACATAGTGGTTGTTAGCTAGGATACACCCTTACCATTCCATTTCGTACTTTAAAAAAGACCCTTAAAACCCCATCTGCCCTTCTGTCTCACAAGATTATTATCTAATTTAACATTTCACATCTCAAGAAAAAGGAAACAAGAATGGATTGGAGGAAGGACGCTGCATAAATAAAATGTACGTTAAGTCCTTAAATTAAGAGAGAGTGAGTTTATAAGGCGATGAAGCTTAATAAAGTAACTAAGAGCAAGTAGTGACTTTCTTAAGGTGTGGATGGAACATTTAATAGCTGAGTGATGTCTTATTCTTTGGAGGATCTCGAAGAAGAAGAAAAGCCATCGAAACAAAGTTTGGGATCGTGTTGATGGAACGAGGATGGCATGGAAGAAGACGATGATGACGAAAGAGTAGGCTGGAGAGAGTGAAAATAATCACCAGCGGAAGCTGAAGAAGTAGGACCTTGTCCGTGCACGAAGCTGGGACGTGGAGGTGGCATGACACAACCATCCATCAGTTGAGCCCCAACGTTATTGTCACATGAGCTGAAAGCTGGAGAGAGCTCCATGGATTGAGACTGAGAAGCATCACTAGCGGTACTATAGGGTGCAGGCAACGAGTGAACTCTTTCAGGGAAGTTGAGCTTGGCCTTGTTGCCTTTGAACCTGAGGGCGGCTTCGTCATAAGCCATTGCGGCTCCCTCCGCGGTGTCAAATGTCCCGAGCCACACTCGAGCTGCCTTCTTTGGGTCTCGTATCTCAGCCGCGTACTTACCCCACGGCCTTTGCCTCACCCCTCTATAATTCCTATTCCTCACCTCCAGCTTCTTGTTCTTTCCTGCTTCCAAAGCATAATTAAACATGCCAACATCAAAACACACAAATGCTTCTCTACATGGCTATCACTGCTCTTCTACAGTATGTGGTGATTGAAACCCTATGTATACATATATAATTGCGATGGCGTGCTCGTGCAAACCCTTATTAGTAATTAAAGAAATTGAAGGCATCCAATCTTACTACCATTACTATTAGCGTTGTACCCGTACCTTGTGCATCTGGAACCTGATGATCATGAAGCGAACTTTGAGATAAAGATCCTGATGAACTGTGGGATGCATGATGAGATGCATTGGCAGCAGGGTTTGCAATGACTTGAGCAAGGGCAGATACGATAGCAGATGTATCTCGTTGAGATCGATCCGTTTGCATCAAGCTTGAGGGATATTCGTAAGTGTTACTCTTGTGATCACCATCCTCTTTCTCCTCCGATACAACGCCTACTTGGGACTTGGATCTCTTCCAATTTCTCCCCTCCATCAATAATTAATCCCCTCTCTCTTCTCTCTTGCTCAAGATGCCCCCTCTTTATCTACACAGTCTCTCTCAGTCTCTCTCTCCCTCTGCGACTCCATGTTGTAAATCTATTCTTGCTTGACTTGGAATAATATCGGAGAAGAAGGTTAGACGAGAGTCGGGAAGAATTCCCCGTGCCAAGCGAGAAAACCCTACAACATCGGCAATAAACCAAGATATTTAGGGTTTTCTAGTGGGAAAACTGTGCTCTAAGTCTCCCATCTTTTGTTACTTTTTTATTTTATGTTATTTCTGGATCTCCATTTCTTCACTAATTACTGTCAAATGAAAAGAGTTCAAATAACGGGTCCAATGAACTGACTGAGTGATCAAGTCTGTATCTTATTTTGATATTTATAGGAAGTCAACTGATGATTTACCATACATCACTCATTTCTATGTATAAGGAAACCATATATACGTACTCTCTTTTCCTATCACTCTATAATCAACAAAAGACAATGCGACCTTCATGAATGAAGAGAGGATATAGAATCCCTGTTCTAACTAGACAAATATAATATATTCAGTTGGGGAAATGGCTAATAACGTATATGTCTGTTACGGTCATATTGTAGATATTACCTTATAGTCTCTTAGTCAATCAACTTTATGTAATCACCGTCCTCTTATATATGTCACTGATATTACTGACCTATTACGATATGAGTAGATATTTAACTACTCCTCAATTAACATTTTTGTAACTCCAAGATCCACCGGGATGGAACCCACCTAAAATTTGAAATATAAGGTCCAGATTATATCTGAAATCCCAAAAAAGTTTACTTTAAGAATACCTCATCAAAATTTTTCCACTACGACCAACTTATGGGCCACAATGTGTGACCTCGTCCAACCACCTATAGCGACTCCTATAGATGACCCGCCGCTGCTGAACCCCAATGGTTGCTCATTTGTGCAAGTAAAGAACATGCCCGACGGCTTCGAGCGAGAGTCGGGCATTCGAGCGAGAGAGAATAAACAGTGATATAGGGTATTATGAATACTTTATTTCTACACCTGTCTTATTTCATTCTTAGAGGAAATAAAGCCATCACTATTCCATTTACTAAATCAAATTCCCCCCTCCATTATTCAAGTTAAAACTGAATAGTTATGGCATTACAGTCGTATTCCTTTACGGCAAAAAATGCTCACATAATGTACATTTCTTAATTAGATACAAACTTTGCCATACTAGCTCAAGTTTTTTTTCTTGCATAGGTATCACATACATTGGGTTCATCATAATTGATAATTGAATATAGGCGCAGAAGCCTCTGAAATCATGAACCCGCTATAGGATCGCATCCAAATACGTTTATTCTCAAAACTCAACCTCCAAAACAACGGGAGAAGATGTCACTATTCAATCATATTTGAACGTATCCTTTGGGTAGACCGGTCAAAATGGGTCATAAACCTATTTATTAACCCATATTTGATGAGTTTGGTTGTTACATGAGTTAATTATATTAGTAAATGGGTCATAAATGGGTTAAGAATGGTAAAATTCAAAATAAGGAAAATTGTCCAAAAAGTCTTAAACCTATTGCATTTTTGCCAATTTAGTCATAAATCTTTTAATTGTGCCAATTAAGTCCTAAACATTTTCACGTTTTGCTAATTAAGTCCATCCGACCAATTTTATTGGTCGAAAATCGCTAACGTGAACAAAATTTTTATAATATTATAATATTTTTTTTGAAATTTATTTATTTTTCTTTTCTTATATCTCTTTTTTTTTACAACTCTAGCCGCGCAAGGTTGCCAGCCACAAACGAGGGCTAGCGACCCTCGGCTAGAGTTGTAAAAAAAAACGTAAAATAATATAATATAAAAGAAAAGAAAAAAATTTAAAAAATCTGAAAAAAATATTATAAGATTATTAAAAATTGTCCACATTAGTGCCGACTATGTCATGTAGGACGGTCGACGTCCACATCAGCGATTTTCGGCCAAAATTAATCGGATGAACTCAATTGGAAAAACGTGAAAGGGTTTAGGGCTCAATGAATACAATTGAAAGGTTTATGACTAAAATGGTAAAAGTACAATAACTTTAGGATTTTTTGGACAATTTTCCCATTCAAAATAATATGGGTGTTAATTGGATCCCAATTATTTATATCCAATCTACCTCTTTGACTCTCTCTTCACTCTTTCTTGCAATTACTCGATCTCGCGCTCACTCACTCCATGCTCTCAGCTCAATTTGGATATGAGTTTTATTAAATTTGGTTAAATATAAAAGTATTTTAACAATATAGATCGAATCGGATATGGATTGGGTATGAGTTGGGTCGTGTATGGATCATTAGATTTATGGATCCAAACGGGTAAAATGGGTCCATTTGGGTCGGACCCGATCCCGACTTAACTCATCCGTTTGACAGATCTACATTTGGATAACCATCATCGTTTGTCATTGTTTAAGCACACCACGCGAGAAAAATCACTCTAATTTTGTATATTAGTTTCCAAAACTAGTTCACTTAGCTTACGGGAAAAGGGGAGAAAGGAATTTCGTTGTTTAGATTCATTTTTCTACATAGGTAATTAAATTTAATTGGACGTCAGCGTATATTGAATAATAGCCTCACAAATAAAATAAAATAAAGTAAAAAGAGGGAGCTAACAACTGATCGTTTCTATTAGAAATTAAAAAAAAAAGAAAAACATAATCTTATTAGAAATACATGAATAATGTTACGTTTCCCAAACCCACTTTTGTTAAGTTTCGAGCTGATGTATATCATCGCAGGAACCAAGTTCACTCGCCTAGCATCAACCGGAAATGCGCATTTCCATCGCAGACGCTTCATAAAGTCAAAATGGCCTCATCTTCATTTCGACTGGAATGTTACAATTGAACAAGTCAAAACTCAAGAAGATTTGAGTTGCCTTAACACTCACGGCTGAGAAAGTTAAACCGTATTGAAATGATAAATTATTCGACAGGAGAAAAGAACGAAAGAAAAAGGAAGTCAACCGTAACAGTTGTTTGTCATCATCGATGTTTCCTCGGTAACGATCCAATATATTCTCAATATCGATCTAAGCAGTCCCATTCTAGAAAAGGTCCAAAAAGACTCGCTGTCCGGGGAATGGGATGGGATCCGCACCCCCATCCTTGGTTGGGGCTGGTAAATTCCACTCCCGCATTACGCGCTTTCTAGCCTCAATCTTTGAAATAGCCAGCAGGAGAGAGGAAGGAAGGGAGCTCCGGTCAAAGTCAACCTTTAGGTCTGGTTGGTTTTGTCGATTCCGAACAAAAACAATCAAGCCGTAATTATATGAATCATCGTGATAGGGACGAGAGGAGATGCTTTTGAGACTCGGTCAGCGACGGGACAAATGGGTTGACTATAAGGGCTGTCCTCCTGGAGGGGTGTTTTTGTCTTGTACATATAAGTCGCCGCTCCCGCAGCATAGAGGAGCTAAGTCCACATATCGTTTTGGCTGAGCTGAGCAATAAGGCGAGCACCGATCCAGGTAGACCCTGGAACCAGACTAGATCGGGGCACTCTGCGGTCCAATTTATTTTGGTTCCCGCAAGAAACGGTCCGGTCCTCAGTTTCAAAAACTGGAAACCGACTTTGTGCAGTTTAGTTCCAGGGTCAGAGAATTGAATCGGACCGAACTCATTTTAGCTGTATTTGTTTTTTATTTTGTTTTCAATTGATTAGAATTTGGAGTAATCTTTTATGGATGAATGAGAAATGAAATTCTATAATTCATGTTTTATGTTACGCGCTTTGAACTTTTTATTTGTTTATTTTATTTTACGTGTTCATCTTTCGAGGGTGGTTGCTTTTGACAAGTTGAGATTTCTACTGTTGCTTTAGCTTTTGTTTTGCTTAACTAAGGGATGAGTTGGATAAATCCATGTTGCTTTAGATTTCTATTGGCTTTTACCGATGTTTTACTTCTCGCCATTTTGTTGCTAAGTATTGCGGTTCTAAATATTGTGTGGCGATGGATATGTATTTTGAAAGAGTAAGTTTGTCATTTCAATGAATATAAAAGAATGGAAAGAAGAAGAAGAAGAAGAAAGAATTGGCTGGTTAGCTGGACCAATCTTGGAACCGGGCTAGACCTGCAAGGTCGGTCCAAGGTCTATTTTAGGTTCAAAATCTAAGAACCGACCCTGTGTGGGTAGGTTTCAAGTTCCATGGTTGAACCGGCCCAACCTCGAAACCTCTCGCCCCTAATAGTGGGGATCTCGATTAAGTCGATGATATCTCAAAAACTATTACTTTGAATCAATAAAATCTTCTATACATTTCATTTAATATTTAAATGATAATCCAGACATTCGAGCCAAAAGAAAAAAGAAAGAATGATATGACAAAATTATATTTTGAAAAGACATGAAAAAAGTATATGTGAAGTTGTGTATCAACATTTACATTTCATGAAAGTTTTCTTGTGTTCTAGTATTTAAAAAGGCCAAATTGAGCGAGTCACAAGATTATGATCAAGCAAAAAGTGAAAAAGTAAAGTTAGCTCTTGAATTGGCCTGTTGGTTAGATAATAAAAGTACACAGTGTGGATAAGATGCATGGTTTCTCGAATCACCTAATGCAAATAATTTCATATTTGAGCCAACCGCTTCAATTTAGATTCCGTGGCATCCTCCCGGATCAATGAGATTAATAATTTTCATTAAATCGAAGGTTACCTTTCTTATCATTTAAGAAAAAACTACTTGAGCAGTAATCTTCCCTAATTTGTATCCATCTAATTAGGATTGTGCTTGCATGATGGCACCGTTACATTTGATAAGTAACGCTGCAATTTGAGCCATCTATTTTATCTCGTCTACTATGGGCAACCGGCGTAGAAAATCATGGTTTTCCATTGTGTAATATTTAAAGAAACAAATTTAATGACATTATTCAAGAAAAAGGAAATCCATGAGGTAATTGACTGCAAATTTTAAATGGTGGAATATTGTTCCGAAATAAAATAATTGATATTTAAGAATTCATAAATGAAGATTACTAAATACCCTATGCGCACATATCAACTTTTTAGAAAATGTCTCATTATACTTTTTCTTTCGTCGGTCGATTTTTGTTGACATGTATAGCAAAATTGTTGACACGAACACCGGAATATACATGTCGTGTTTAATTCGCTCAAATATATTATATGATGCCAAATAGGCGCCACATTAAAAAAAATGATAACCAAAATTAAGAGATAGAGAGAGGGGTTCCACGTAGGCTCGCAGCTACCATAGCGCAGGCTCAAGCTCAAATTTCAGGCAACCATAAATGTTCAAGCTCAAGTTTGGGGACTCCATAGCCACTCGAGCTCGTAGCCATGGCCGTTTGTATAAGCTCGTAGCGGCCATGAGCTCGAGTTGCGAAGCTCGCAGCGATCATGTCCTATAGATCTTTTCGAGACACGAAGCTCAAGACCATGGTTACTCGATTTGAGCTCTTGATCATGATCACTATATTGGTGATTGTATGAATTGTTAGGAATCGTAAATTTTGTATTGTTTTATGTATTTTATTGATTTTCTTCAAGTTAATCACTTTATTTATTTTATTTTATCATATAAGGAATCTCACTGTCATCCCATTAAGGAATATTTTCCTTCCAAATTTTCGATGGAAACCAGCTAAACAATTTAACCGGTTTCCTTGGGAAATTGAAAGGCAGGGAAGGCACCGTCTTTTTTTAAGAGGGACGGTGCCGTTAGCCAAGCATTTCTCAATTATATACTAATGATACTTTTCTTGTCATTCATTTTATATTAAGAAGAAATCTACTCAAGAGTCGAGACTTCAAAAACTACCCAACCTTAGCGATGCAGTTACATTAAGTTAGCTCCTAAAATTGACTTAGGGGATTAAAAGAATGACAATATGTATGTGGGTGAGGTGCACACTGCAGGGTCTATTTCTCGAATTACTGACTACAGCTGATTTCATATTTGACCCACCTGCTTGAGTTTAGTTTCGATCGCATCTTAGTAGATTTCATGAAATCGCAGTTTACCAAACTAAGATAGGCTTCTTTGTCACTTAAGAATAAAGAACTTAATGTAAAGTCGTAATATTGCCTGTTTCCGTCCATCTCATTTAAATTTATAGTACTAATCTAAGCATCTCCTAAGGATTGTGCGTTCATAGCATACACTGAGCCGCTTTGTATATAAAACATGCTCCAACGCCATGCTCTTTTTCGAAATTTTGTTCGACCCTCGATCGACTTGCATTTTTGGTGAACCAGAGTAGCAAGGAGGAGCGACCGGCATCACAGATGGAACGATTCGATTTAAAGCATAGCTAATATAACACCCATTCGACTGAGGTCATGATCACAGCACAACAAGAAGCAAGTTGCATTGCAAGCCGAAGTTATTGACATATTTGCAGCCGTGATCAAAGAGGTTCCGATTCACACGAGAGTAAGCCTTAATTGACTTGAAAAACCGCCTCGGTGGTACCCTCGACTTGTATGTTTGGGGACGCTCGGACAAACTAAAGAACCATAATACATAATTTATGAGTGAACGATTGGTCATCGAACGAGTTAATGTCAAGAGTTATTAATTTTGAATACAATAATGACCTATCATACAATCAATAAGTTGTGATGCTGATGATTTGTCGAAGTGCAACATTCTCTTTTCTTTCGCATTAAAGTGACCGCAAGTGCCAATTCGCCACATCTCGACGACCTAGCATATGTAGTTATGACAAAATCTAGCTATCCAAATGCTTGGAGAAGATTATATCCATTTGCATGATTTTTCATCACTTTCATGTGAGAAGAGAAGCGAAATGGAACGACTGGATTTAGGAACAGAAACTCAGTGAAGAGAACATGATAGTCAGCTCAGCTCAGCTACACGGTGAAATTCAATTAATAGACTCTCATTGCAGTAGAAATAGACCACAGCACAGTACTCTCATCTCCCTCGTGATCATGCGCTGACATAATACTAAAACACGAGAGACAATGAGGAATAGGCACGAACTAGTAAGGGAGGTCAAGATGGTGAGCGTTAGGGGCAGAGGTGGAGGTGGAAGCAGAGGAAGCCGCAGAGGCGGAGGAGTGGCGGTGAGCATGGCAGAGCTGGCGGAGCTTGGTGGGGACGTACCAAATGCAGAGGCGGGGGTGGGCATTGAATATGGCGTCGATGTCCCAGCCGGCCCTGCGGCCGGCGATGGTGACCAGGGGGTGGTAGCAGGCTTGCCTCCAGGCGCCGACGTTCTCCCCGCGCTCCTTGAAGCTCTTGCGGAGGGCGTTGGAGGCGTGCTCGTCCAGGCAGTGCAGGGCGTAGCAGTGGACGTAGTGCCTCATCTTCGGCTTGTTTATATAGCTTGCTCCCGCCTTCTTCGCGTACCTGAACACCTGGTTCGTCACCTGCATTGTCTTCTTGTTTGAATAATGCATGCTTGGGTACGTTCGAAAGAGTTTGATTGTATTGAAAGACTTCAATAGAGTATAAAACAAGAGAGAAATGGAGGACCTTGGTGGGGCATTTTTCGCCCCGCTCCTTGGCCAGGGATTGGACTTGGAGGAGGAAGTCGCGGCACTGGTCGTAGAGATGAAAGAGGTAGTCCAGGCCGTTCTTCTTCCCACGCGCCACCTCCCCGGGCTCCGTCACTATAAAGGGGTGCTCCCTCTGCCTCCTTATCTCCTCCTCTTCCTCCTCCTCTTCCGTGGCCGCTCCTTCCCTCGCGGCTATGCGGTGACGATGACGGTGCTTCTTCCTCTGTTGTTGCACGCCCCACGTCGTCCCTGCCGTGTCCGCGCTTCCCGCCCCGCCCACCTGATCCTTCTCTGCGTGCTGCACCACTTGTTCCTCCGACAGCCCTGCGTGGGAATAATCATAATGACCCATAACGTCAAAAAATAAAAGAGGCCAAGTTAGGTACCTTGGTGGGAGAGAGCATCGAGGAGGGCATGATCGGTGGAGTGGAGGTGGTGGCGGCGGTCGTCGGCTTCGAGGAGGCGCCTGCGCTCGGCGCGGATGGCGGCTTTGATGCCGTATCGCTCGCCGACGAGGAGGTCCCAGCGGAAGATGTGGGAGAGGGAGTTCATCATGTCGTCGAGCTCCTCCTCCTTCATGTCGAGAAGGGTGTTGGCCGTAAAACCCATTTCCGCTATCCTGGAGGCCGTGAGGTACCGTATCCCATACGCCTCGAACAGCTCCTCCAGTCCCCCCATGGTTCGCAACCCCACAACCGCAAATGCTTCTGGATCCATTCTCGCGCTTCAAGCAGTGCAGTGTCTTGTGTGCGCGACTGTTGCTTGCTTCCTTCTTTATAAAACAAATGGGCCCGTCTGTTTAGTATATATACACTGTATCTACGTAGTGGGGGGAGGGATGGCGTTGCATGGGATGGGACAGTAACTACAAGTTGAAGTTGCTGGTCGAGAACGAACCAGACGAGGAGACGGGGGTGTAGTCCAGTTAGCACTAGAGGGGGGAACCTTGCGTTTGGGTCGTCATCGGGATTTGGTCACTGACAATCACTGTGTTTTGACTGTTGCTGAACTGGGGAATCGAGTGGTCTTGTCACCAGTTTTGTTTCGTAGTTTGTGTTGTGGGTTGTCAGGGAGAGAGAGAGAGCAGACTCTGAAGGAATGTCCTCTTCTTATCTTTGTACTCTGCCCGGTGTTCCGCTTTCCCCCTCTTCTTTACCATCAATATTCGATCTCCTCAAGCACCCACTGTACAATAGGGATTCACCTTGTACATTTAGCTGACTGCGTGACAGATATGGATACCAACAAAGCATATAGTCAATCGATTTCGTTTAAATTTCGCGGCTATGGAGCTAGGGTTTATGTAATGCCACGATGGAAAGCTTCCGATTATGATGCAAATAAAAGCGTTCGAAATATAAAATAAATCAGAAATCACATTTACTCGATTCGATTGGAGGGACATATATTCACGAAAAGAGTAGTACAAAATTCTACTATATATTAAGTAATACAAGAGAGATTACAACTATATTTGAGTAACTACAACACTTTTAGTATTTTCCAACTCCCAATTATACCTCACAACTAACATAGTTTTTAGTTCTCGCAATTCCATGCGAAACAATCTCTTAATCTCATGAAATAATTACACAAAATCTTAACACAAGATTTTCACGGATTCAAACACTCGAAATGTAATTCACGAGCACAAGCTCCTCTTGGATCCAAAATAGGAAAACTCTTTTTAAGAAACTTACTCCAAGATGTAAACCTATTCATATTAAGAAACCTACTTGAATTAATAAAGCTTCCTCTTTTAGGCTAAAACTCAAGATATATTTTTATAATCTTCACTTTGACCTCATATTTGGACCAAGACACAATTGCTAAGCTGAAAATTCGAACCTCATTGCTAGTCTCCCAGAGCCCCTCGTGGGCTTAATTGGCATAAACATCATTCAAGTTCGAGTCTTGCTTGAATTTCTCCATAATCGTGAACCTAATTAGAACATCAACTCTACTTGTACTTTTAAGTGCTTCAAAAGGATTTTTCGACACAACCTCCTCAACCACAGATACTCATCAACTACAGATAAAACAAAATCATCATTGCATCCGTATCTATCAGGTGATCGAACATTCATCTTGTCAAATTCAACAGATACGACAATTCTCTAAAGTGCGATATTTGAACAAAAACAAGTAGACCATGCATTCTCTGAAGTGCAATGATGCATTGAGAGCCAACCTCCCCTCAATGTCTCCTTCATCCTTTAAGAATAGAAAGAGAGAGTGATTATTGTTTTGTTTGTTACTGGTTTGAATTATTTCTTTTTGCTGTTTTTAAGACGGTATTCTGATACTTCGACTGTGTTTGTTTTTAGAGTTGGAATGGTGATGTTAATCTTGTGGTTATTTGTAAATTTATATCTTTTTTATTATGACAAAAAGGAGGAGAAAAAAGTGTTTAATATGCATATGAGAATTACAAGTTAAGCATTACAGTTACAAGACAGAGCATGCTGATAAATGCAACAGAGCTAATATAAATAATGAAACAGGGGGAGCATGATCTTCTACTCGCTTCTCTATTCGCTCTTGTCTACTCTCATAATATTTTTTTACTCTGCTTCTCTATTGGCTTCTGTCTACTCTTATAGTTGGATTTAAGCTCTTCCTTAACGAAAAAAGGGGAGCATGATCTTCTACTCGCTTCTATCTACTCTCATAATATTATTTTTTTACTTAATATACACCTTAGCCCCATATAGAAACATATACTCAATTATAATCATATACCGTTTCTATCATCTCTAGCATTACTTGTCTATATCAATATTTTTTAGAGAGTATGTCAATTGCTTATTGATACTTAAATCGTCATTATTCTGGATATCCAAAGCAATTGACAAATCTCAAATCTTTTACATGTAGCACATCTGTTAGGAAAATCTCTTATGTCGTTTTGACAATAACAAAGATAATCAAAAGATGGTACTGTGTGTATTCGTTGAGATTACCAAGTGATATATACACAAGCCATATTGCATATGCTATCCTGATATCAGGTGTGATCGTAAAATGTTGAATGTTTTGTCACAATCGATAACGCTTTGCCGATATCTGAGCTGAACAAGGTATTAGACATCGAGATGTCTACAAGTTAGAAGGTTCTCTACAAAGGTGAACAAGTTGGAAGGACATTGATTGAGAGAGAACAAGCCGGGATCAATGGGGACGTTCGTCATGGCTTGGAAGGACCAAGATAAGGTGAATAGTTAGATGGATTTGGGTGACGGTGAACAATAAAATAAATAAAATAAAGAAATAAATTAGACATCAGATTTACGTGATTCGATCGGTGTGACCAACATCTACAAGGAGAGCATTACAAAATTTCACTATGGATCAAGTGATATAACGAAAATTACAACCACACTTGAGTGACGCAAATGATTCACAGTATTTCCCAACTTTCGATTACACTCAATAACTCACAAATTGTTTAACCCTCACAATTTATTGTGAAAACAATCTTTTAATTTCGCAAGGGAATTATACAAAATCTTAACACAAGATTTTCACGGCTTCACACAGTCGGGATGTTATTAACGAACACAAGCTCCTCTTGAATGCTCTTCGTGAAGAACGCCCACTTCTTATATAGAAGAGAGTTGGATAAAAAATAGGAAATCTCTTTTTAGAAAACTTACTCCAACTAAGAAAACCCATTCAAAATAGGAAACTTGCTTGAATTTTTTGTCGAAACCTTTTCTTCCCTCTGGTTGGCGTATTCATATTTTTGTGCGTAGGATTTGCACGAAAACACCCGGAAAGGTCGATGATTGGGTGGGGTAAGCTCGCACAGCTTCACGTATCGTTGCACGACGTATCGAGCTTAATTGTAGTTTAGAAATAGAGAGCGTGCAAATAATTGGGGGTTGGCTACCAACCAACCATGCTTGGCTAATAAGGTCGTATGATATGATCAATGATGAACAAACGCATAATATTATATGACAAGAGAGACAACTTGTCGGCCCACATCATCCCGACAATGAATCCGAGGCCCATAGGAACAGTTGGGAGAGCCCGGCCCATCTCATGAATTCTGACCAGACAGCCGAGAGCTGGGTGCAGTCAACACCACCATTACAATACCTGCTCCACCACCTCCCCCCGCTTCTAACTTCTTTTTTGGCTCCTTTTGTATTTTCGAGAGAGACGACCGACTTCCCCAACCATCCTCCTCCTCTTCCTCGGATGTTGATCCGGTGTTCTAGTCGGCGATCCTAGCCAAGAAACATCCACATCCGGGTCGGGTATTCTTCTTCTTGTTCCCCGTTTGCTAACCCATGAGGATGTGGGCGTTCTTCTTCTTCCTCGGGCTCCTCTGCACCCATCTCTCGCCGTTGTCCGCCCGGATCGGGGCTTCAGATTCGGGTCGCACCCAACCCACCGAGCGCATCTCTGGTGCGATTTCTCTCCCCGCTGTTTCGCTTTCTCTGTGGCATAACTAGTGTCTATTGGTCGCTCCCTTGCTGGATTGATCTTGACGATATCCAATTGAATTGTGTGGGAGGACATGGGCTCCCCTGGCACGCTATTGTTGCTTGTCGTTGTTTGGGATGACCTTTGCTAGAAAGACGGCGCTGGGCTTACTTAGATTTGCATTTTGCTCGGCAATGACCCAGCTTAGCTATGAGACAGTTCAAAGCCTGTAGATTTATCTCGAGCCTTGAATCACCTAAATTCAATGGGGGAAATCTCTTTTTATTCTTTCTTTATCTTTTAATATAATGCGGAGTACTTAGGAATAAATTTGAGTATTCGTGCTTCCACAATCTGGTGCTTAGTCTAAGAATCCAAGTACCCGGTTGACCGAAATCTACATTTATCGTTTACCTGTACATATGCTTTCATAGACTGCGCACATGGCCCAAATTCTATCGTCCACCTCTTGTACCTAGATTGATATGCCATTTAAATCCAATGAGTCAGTCTTAACTTTCATTCGCCTAGACTATTCAGTTGGAAAATGAGCTATTCGTTCATATAAAATTGCTCAATTTCAATGGGCGGTAGAAATTTTTCGCCTCTCCTGGAAGATATCAGTAGATAGTTACACAAATTTCCATTGATACGATGCTGAAAGCTTACAACCTTTTGTGTGCTTTGGTGGATGTGATGCAGGCAGTGCTGGTGATGTTCTGGAAGATGACCCGGTGGGAAGGTTGAAAGTATTCGTTTATGAACTCCCTAGCAAGTACAACAAGAAAATTCTTCAGAAGGATCCCAGATGCCTGAATCACATGTTCGCTGCTGAAATCTACATGCATCGCTTTCTCTTATCTAGCCCCGTTCGAACCCTGAATCCTGAAGAAGCTGATTGGTTCTACACTCCTGTTTACACCACTTGTGACTTGACCCCGAATGGTCTCCCTCTGCCTTTTAAGTCTCCCAGGATGATGAGAAGTGCTATACAACTCATCTCCTCAAATTGGCCTTACTGGAATCGTACTGAAGGAGCTGATCACTTCTTTTTAGTACCACATGATTTTGGAGCATGCTTTCATTATCAAGTAAGAGAATTGCCCTTTTGGTTATCCTAGAAAAACTTTTGCACATGTTTGAAAAAAGTTAATAAAGAATCCTACTCGATAACGTTGCTGCAGGAGGAGAAGGCTATTGAAAGAGGAATTTTGCGCCTGCTCCAACGTGCTACCTTGGTTCAGACTTTTGGTCAAAGATATCATGTTTGCTTGAAAGATGGCTCGATCACAATTCCCCCGTATGCTCCTCCACAGAAAATGCAAGCCCACTTGATTCCTGAGAAGACTCCTAGATCCATTTTTGTGTACTTCAGAGGTCTGTTTTATGATGTTGGAAATGATCCTGAAGGTGGTTATTATGCAAGGTAATGCCATTTCCATTTGGTAATGCGAGGGTGGACATTGCATGCTACTGCTATTGTATCACTTTGCAACCTATGTCCTTGCTTTTGGGAAGCCTGTCAAATTAAGAGATAAATGCTGATGACCAACTGAATCTGTTGAGATATGTAATGCCATCGTGTGGAACTGGAACTAGTTGGACTAAATGTTATACTGGCTTCTCACTCAAACCCATATATCAGAGTCAAAGACGAGAAGGGAGAACGGTGACAGTGTCGACTTTCTAAGTTAGTTGTCTGCTTGTTATGTTCTAATGCCTCTTTTGTTATTGTGAAGTACATCCTGCATACAAGACGCTTGAAATCAATGTCTTTACCATCAATTTCAGAGGTGCAAGAGCGGCGGTCTGGGAGAACTTTAAGGACAATCCCCTGTTCGACATCTCAACAGAGCACCCTTCAACTTATTACGAGGATATGCAAAGGGCTGTCTTCTGCTTATGTCCACTTGGGTGGGCCCCTTGGAGTCCAAGATTGGTCGAAGCCGTGATATTTGGATGCATTCCAGTTATTATAGCGGACGACATAGTATTACCCTTTGCTGATGCAATCCCGTGGGAAGAAATTGGCGTGTTTGTTGATGAGAAGGACGTGCCTAACTTGGATACCATTCTGACCTCAATTCCTCCAGAAGTAATATTGAGAAAGCAGAGGTTGCTCGCAAATCCTTCGATGAAGCAGGCTATGTTATTTCCACAACCGGCTCAACCAGGGGATGCTTTCCATCAGGTTCTGAATGGTCTTGCACGCAAGTTACCACACGGGAAGTCAGTTTACCTGAAGCGAGGGGAAAAGATTTTGAATTGGACTGCAGGCCCTGTAGGTGACTTGAAACCGTGGTAGCATCACATAGAGCTCAAAACATCACCGAGTTGTCCAGTACTTTGTGTGTCAGCATTGGATCGAAATTGCTGATGATTAGATCGAAGTGTAAAAAGTTGTGATTTTACTAACATGTATCTGAATATAATTTTTATCTCTACAATTTCCAATACCTGGATTATGTCATCCTCAAATGAGTTGATGGTGGCTGTGTTGATGAGTTGTTGATCTAGGAGTGGGTTGTGTTGATTTGCTGATTCATGGATGCTTGCAGCCCGCGATCACTCGAGCCAATTTCGTTGATCGGATGATAGTGAAGTTCAAGGGACTATCTCAACCCAATTGTGACTAGTGTGATTCGTAATTTTATCGGCAGGATTTTGATTCTCATCTAGGGTCTGATTGAACAACCAATGCCTGGGGGAATAGTCGCGGGAGGGTCCGCGCAGCCTGAGTGCGCAAATGCTACTAGTGATTCCGTCCCTGTCTATGGGGAATACATAGGCCTGGATGATTAGTGATATGTTAGATAAATTCGAAAACAGATTAGTCTGGTGAGGTGTTTTAAGGATATTAAGAATGGAATGGGCTTTCCTTTCCAACATTGGAAGAGGAAAAGAAAAGTCATGTATAGACTTACAAGTACGGAAGTGCATGATGGGATTGGGTACTGTCTGTTTTCTTACAAGGTGCAAAGTTATGTATTGGGTATGGATAAACCCCGCTTCCGAAGCGATCCAACGGACAAGGAGAGTTGTAAGTGGCAAAATGAAGGCGGCAGCGATGACATGAGATTCACACGTTCTGCGACACGCTATTGCCTTTATCACCTCCTCCTCATCATCACCGCCGTCTCTTTCTGTCTCTCGCCTTCTTTGCTTCTCCTCCCACACCCAGAAGAGAGAGAGAGATGGCGCAGTGGCTGCCGGTGACGACACCGTTGGCCCCGACAACTGGGATGAAATCGTCCTTCTTGTCCCCGCAGTCCCTGGGGCTTTTGAGCGCCAAGGCGAAGGTGGCTTCGTCTGCTGCTTCGTCTTCTTTGACCTCCTCCTCCCCAATACCAAGGCCCTCCATCTCCATGCGTCTTGCCTCCAAGCAAGCCTACATCTGTCGTGATTGCGGGTACCCTTTCTTTCTCTCCCTCGTCCATCCCCTTCCCTCTGATAACTGGGGTGCTCTGGTCATTCCCCTGATGATTATTTGGGTGCAGCTACATTTACGGCGACCGCACTCCCTTCGACAAGTTACCCGACAACTACTTCTGCCCTGGTAATGAAATTCTCACTGTACCCAAATTATCAGTATAGTTTTGTTTCTTCTTGTCCATAAAACTTGGGAGCATTACAACTTCAATTCGATCTGCACCCACATTTCCGAATGTTAAACCGTTAAGACACTTTGTTTTGTTGAAATGAAACTTGGCGACACACGTCATATTTCTGGTCGTAAATGTTGGACTTTTACGATGTTATCAATGATAGTCCGGGGGATTCGTAGCTCCCTATTTAGTTGAAGAACTGGGTTAGTTGCAAAAACTACAATTACAGGGATTATACTTCGATCAGTCCCACGTTAACAATTGACCTTAAAGATTCAAAAAATTTCTGTTGTCTCCATTTGCTCCAATTGGTTACTTTCCAATAGTACAAAAAATGTGAGGTATTCTTATTTCATTTGACATATGTATGTGACATGAATTTGATACATCCATGGGTGGATCCTTGAAAAACTCGCATCTCCCTTTATTTCATTTCAAAGATGAGTGGGAGCAGCGGAGACATCTAAGGAGAGTGTTAACTGTGTAGTGGAATATCTTCTTGTTCCTTTTATTTAAGTGGATATTTCTTCTCCAAATTTGGTCTGCAGTTTGTGGTGCTCCCAAACGGAGATTTAGGGCATACGAGCCTGCCGTGGCCAAGAATGCTAATGCCACGGATGTTCGCAAGGCAAGGAAAGCTCAAATCCAGAGGGACGAAGCTATTGGGTGAACACCCCCCCTCCCCTTTCTTTCTTTCTTCCTCTTTCTTTCCCTTCCTTTAGCCTTGTACCTCCTCCCTCTTCTCAATCTTTTTTTCCATCTGGCTCGTGCAGGCGATTTTTGCCCATTGGTGTGGCAGTTGGAGCTATTGCCCTTGCTGCTCTGTATTTCTATCTCAACAGTTTATTCTAGTCTACCCTGCGCTTCTATTTCATCTGCACAATATTTGTTGAGAATGCATCATCATTACATAACTTCTTAGGTTTTCATTACCTGTAAGAACATATTGCTGCAATAGTACGCATTGTCTTGGATTCCATCTCTAATCAAACTGGTTTATATAGACAGACTCGATCGTCAGGAGTGAACATTCAAGGACTGAAGAACGGGATGTTTGTGATAAGTCCCACATCACCTGTGTTGGACATTAAAATGATTCAACATTTCATTCCATGCATCTTAAGTTCATTGCTTACAAATCTAAGCACGTTTAGTGGCTTCAAATTGGAAGCCATTTCTATTCTGATAAAAGGCACTACATTTATCTTAAGAAACTTAACATTCCTATGAGGTTGCAGCGTATCTGCTGCCAGCATCATTCTGATCTTTGGATGCACGCTACTTCGTCAAATAAACTGCTACAAGAATCATTCCGCCGCTTTGTATGTCTTTATCCTCCAGTCATTACCAACCCGCCAAGAGTGGCTCTCCTGCCTCAAGCATACTGCCCGAGTTCTTCGTTGACGCACATTGCATCGGTGCCTTGAGATCCATCTTCTCCTAGCGATAGAAATCAACTAAGCAAACTTGTAATTCTTTACCATAAGCATAACAATTGTAACTTGTCTATTTTGAATCCAACCAGGATGTACAACTGATATATTGAAGAGACTTCCAATTTTACAGGGCATGTGCCAAATAACTTCCGAGAGGACAGCTAGGAGGCGGCATGTGCAATATTTGCCTTTCAACTTAATACTATCTCAAACTACTACACAAGGACATTTAACTCATTCTCGCAAAACAAATGATCCTTCTATACTTTTCTCAATGGACTGTGGAAGAGGAAACTTCAGAGAGAACACATCACTGAAGCTTGAGGCCGGAGCAGGCTTAAACTCGTACGGACCATTCTTGGGTCCCCAAACCTGTAACAAACATGATTTTGTAGCATTACATGTCGCCGTATATAGCAACCTCGCTTCATCTTTTATTGTCAAATCAAGTTGTGGAGATACGTGTAGGCTGAAAGAACTAACCTGCTGTCCATCCTCATCGTATCCCCTTTCCCAAAATTGTAATTCCTGGTTCTTCGAAATTGCAAGGTCAGAAGTACAGTAGGCTGCCCCATTCTGCCAGAAGAGGCAAGAACCATCACATGATATTATAGGTCAGAGTTTAGAATAAGAAACAACAGAATAGAAAAACGCATTACTGTGTTGAGAGACATCCTACAGTTAAGGGAATAAATGGAATGTATGTTGTGCAAAGACATACCCACGAATTAGGGAACCCGCCAGGTGGAGTTGAACCTTCATATAAGCAACGCTTTCCACGATCACAACGCTTGAGATGTATTGTGGTCAAGTGCTCTGCAACATCCTGTGGATAGTATAAGAAAGTCGATCACGAAACATCGCTTGTTAGATAACAACTATTTCAGCATAAACACGATGCCTACAAGGGACTCTTCCTGCCAAACGTGGCATCTTCGCAAAATTGTCAGCTGCTGATAATAAGTTGAAGGAACAATAGCATCCTGAATATCAAATGTCGGTGGAGAAGCATTGACTAGAATCAACAATCCAATCTACTTTTCCCTTTAAAATTCTATCTCACACAATCAGCCAGTCCCACAGAATAGGAATCATTGTGATTTATAGAAAAGCACACCTCTAAACCCGAAATGAGTAGCAGAATGGGCCGAACTAGTAAAAAACTGATAGTATAGCACCATTTGGCAGTATATGAGAATCACTGGAACCACAAGAGACCCAGTATGCTCAGGGACCCCACAACCCTGAGCTTTTAGTAGACTTCCAAACCTCCATTGTATATGAGATAAGTCAGCAATTCAAACCTCACTATGTCTCCTTGTAAACATAAGGTACATGGAAGTGCATGGTTTGAGATCACAGCCAGGTTTGAGAAAATGAGTGCCATTTAACTGAAGAAAGAAGAACTGGATCAGGGAAGATGAGAATAGACGTGGTTCCTAACCAAGTTTAATGTAGAGAAAGCAGCTCTGTAAAAATATCAGGGTAGAGTTTAACGAAGAATTGTTCATTCTCCTTCACTAGTTTGTAACTTCCAAATAATCCCATGGAGTCTGTGTTTCCATCTTGGTCCAAAAGACGTGAACTTCATGAATAGATCTGCTCATCATATAACAGATGACCTCAACTATAATATAGTAAGAAGTGTTGCTTTTCTCCACAGAGTCATTTGGTTAAAACTTGAGTTTGTTGGCTTCTTAGAAAAGCAAAGGAGATGAGGGCATGAAACGGATATCCAGAGGTGTGTCCGAGGTGTTAGCACATATTCGCCCAAATGAATGATAATAATAGGATCCCTAGATTACTAGCCAACTTGGTTCATCAATGCTGCTAGCATATGCGGAAGGATTCAGGGCCTCAACAGAATAGCCACAGCAAAAAATTAAATTCACGACTAACAGCATAGTAGACACTGGATGCAGAACATCAAAGTAATAAGAGTCACTCTGCCTATCGAGAATCGAGAGACAAAATACATGTACAGTCGGAAGAAGCGGTGGGTAACAGGGTGGCAACAAGACTACAAGAGCTACTGAGTTGAAAATTGGAACTTGGTTCTAATAACTCTATGTGCTCACCTCTGAAAGTTCAAAATATTTTGTGCAAGCAACAGATAAAATGAAATGATCACGCACTTCATGTCAGAGAAATGCATAGGGGAATCCAATTCTTCAATTTTACGAGTCTTTTGATAATTGCCAAAAGGCAACAGGAAGACTTACGCCGATAACTTCGTCGGGTTGCGGCCTCTGGTCCCTCGGACGATCACAGAAGTTCTTATACTCTTCCATGTCTCTGATGGCAAATGAACTAACCTGTCACAACTCACAGGTATGTTCGCGTGGAGATGATTGGTTTCGGGTCGAGTCAAGAAATAAGGTTAAGGAAGGAGAGAAGCAGAGTACCTCGACATCACATTTCAACTCCTTTGGACAGGGCTTCACCAACAGGAACCTCTGCGACCGGGCAGCTGTTAGACAGTTGATGAAGAGGCAAGAGGAATATCTGTATATCATCACAGGAAGAGAAACAGCGGGATGGCGAGGGTAAAGATTACCTGGCGAAAGGGCTTCTGAGGGGTTCTCCAGAACGCCTGAGGCAGAGACGAGGATCAAATACAGCACCCCACAAGTGAAGAATGCAATAAAACGGAATATATATTTGGAGGGTCGGGGGCGAAGAAGAAGAAGAAGAAGAACCTGTTCGAAATAGAGGACCCTCGAGCCGTCCACCATCTCAGCGGCGGGGCACGTTAGCAATCTGGGTGCAACAAAGAGAAGACGTGGATGACAAAGCCCGAAGAGAAAGGGGGAGGTGGTAAAAAGAAGACGAATTGGTAATCAAGATCAAATCGACAAACCTGATGTTGAAGTAGTTATCGGGATCTCTGGCGGCTTGCTCCTTGGAGAACTGGCGGTACACACACAGGGGACGAGAGTCAGACAGAGTGCCCGATTCATTCACTTCACTACTTCGCCCAAAAACAAAACAAAAAACAAGAAACAAAAGGGGGGGAGAAGAAAAGGGAGACCTTCTCGCCGGAGAGGGAGTGAGAGACGAAGCGGGCGTGGTCCCATCGGGTGGTGGACTTGGTGAGACGGCGAAGGAGGAGGGCGCCTCCCGCCACCAGCAACGCCTTGATGACCACTCCCCTGGCCGCCTTGCTCCACCCCTTCCCGTCCGTCTCCGAACCCATCTGCTTCTCCTCTTCTTATGCGATGCCGCTGCTGCTGCTGCTGCCGATGGACTTCACACTGCCTCTCCACCCCCTCATCTTTTTTTCCCTCTGTCTCAGTTTTTAACAAAAGAAGAAAAAAAAAGTTTTTGTGAGGCCTCTGTTATCCCTCCGCCTCCCTGTCCACATCCCCATTCAATATTCCATTTTGTGCAATTTTGGATCTTTACAAAATCCCCTTTTGTGTATATATTCCCCACACACACACACACACACACACACACACACACACACACATATGTATATTCATCTGAATGGTGTCTTTAATTTGCTTCTGTAACAAAATCTGTTCCGCCTTCACGAAATTTGCGTTGAATGCTAATGAACCCATTCCAGATATGAATATATATATAAGGTTTCATATTTGTAAACTGTTTCCATATTTCCACAAGACCTGATTAGTCCACTCGTGCCCCGCAGGACATGGTTTTACGCGATGTTGTGTAGTGTACCACACGGTTAATGTCTCGAGTTCTAAAATCTTGTTTTTGCCAGCTGTGACTCAAAGGATGCAGACGACAAACAACCTCTCTCAGAAATTTGGCGCACGTAGTTATATCTGTGACATAAAAAATAAAAATAAAAAACTCGACTTTGATTGAAATTGCGAAACCCCTTATGTGATATGTCCACAATAGGGTTCACTGGAGACGCAAATGCAATCCAAATAGCCTCGAACCGCACCAGTAAGTGGTTTCTTATGACGAGATTTACAAGTGAGAGAGCCGTATTTACTTCGTGTTGCAAGCATTAGGTCGAACGGCCCTTGTTTTTGGCGGGAGGAAATCTTATCTCGTCGACATTAGGAAAATCATTCAAAAGCAACTACCTATATTATAGGCCAGAAGACAAAACTTAAACCACAGTCGGCAAGTGAAGGGATAACCTACTCCCCATCTGATTCATATGTTGATTGAGCCCTGCCGATCATTTGAGGAGATGGCCTCCAAGCGTCACCCAAGCTAATGTTCAACAAACCTACCTCTGCCTTCACTGATATCCGAGTTTTTCGTGTTGCAACCAAAGTCACTCACCAAAGGAATATAGATGCAAGTGCTCTATCCTCTCTTCTTACAGCTTAGCATATCTGTGGTTCCGGTTCTGTTGGAGTACTTACTAAAAAACCTTCCCACATGAGGCTTCACAGCTTTAAAAGCTAACCTCACGTCTCTCCGCAAAGAATTTCCCAGTCACTGCCAGATCTGGGAGAAGGGCTAGCCACACTCCCGTGTCTGCCCCTTCCTCCACTGAAATGTTCCCAGCCCAACCGGTCATAGCAGTCTTCACCCAGCCTGGGCAATAACAGTTGACATGTATCTTTTCCCCTTCGGGCCGGTTGGACAGTATCTTTGCCATCAGTCTTGTGTAGGCATTAACTGCGAGTTTAGATACTGAGTAGTCCGTAAAAGTTTGTGGCCACCCGCCCGATGTCCACGTTCCATCATCTACTTGTTGTAGGAAAGTGGCAACTGTTCTATTGATGAGTTCCTCTGTAAGCATGTCCAAATCACCCAGCTTTCCTCTCAGATTCAAGTCCTCAATCCTCTGTCAAAAGTAAAAGATTAACCACACACTAAACAGATAATGTAAATATTCAAGGCAAGGAACAATAAATTTCAAGTGTTAAACAATTGCACATCGCTTGCTTAGGGTTTATAACGGCATCATATTCATATGATCTTCCTCTATCTAACAGTTTTAAGCGCTTGAGTTAAAGTTTCTAACATGTTATCAGGATCAACTGTCGATTTTCATGTTCCGTGTAATATTTCATGTCATTTTCTTGTCGTATATTTCATTCTTCGTTTTTAACTTCACGAGCATTTCCATGCACCGAGGGTCTCTAGCACTGAGAATGAGAAATTTAACTTCCTTTCAAATGTCGGTCGGATGATTGTATTTCCTGTATCATTTTGATTAGTAGTACCTCCAAGTGTCATTGAGGTGGAACTGCTACACGACAAGGACTAGGACAACTAAAGGTGGATGGACAAATACAGATTCAAAAAGGACAGGTTTTTATATGGATCAGAAGATTATCAGATAGTTAGAAAATGAAATCACAACATAAAGGTCATCCTGCCCGTCAAAGAAACATCTATCTATTTTCTTCCTATTTTGTCAGGAGGAGGAAGAGTCTGCTTACATTTCTTCTTCCATTCAGTCTTCCTAGCCGGGAGCTCACATTAACAATACGAGCGCCCGTGGCAGAAGGTCTCATCAAGGGGATCATGGCTTTTATCATGTTTTTGGTTCCGTAGTAATTGGTAGCCACAACCATATGAGCAGATTCAACGGAGTTGTCAGACCCAACATTGAAGTTGACACCTGCATTATTTACCTGCAGGAGCAACAATGCAGAGGAATCAGCTTCACTTCCGCAGGTGAAGTAGTGACCGGCTATGGTTATCCTAGTCTACCGTCCTTCCTGCAAGAGCAGAGAGCATCCATCTCTACTAATCCAGATCCATTCAAGGGCTATCCTATTAAAGATGTTCCGAACTTCACCGTGTGAAAGGAAATAACATAGCAGTATCCTTTTAGCTAAAGAAAAATTAGAAGCAACGTTTGGGACAAAAGGAGGAGGAAGAGATGCTACCAGGACATGGATGCCCTCGTAGGTTTGCCGTATCCAATCGACGAAGAGTTGAATGGAGGAAGGGTCCAAGACGTCGAGTTGATGAAAGGCGACGTCCAGACCGCCTTCCTGTAAGACCCTCGCGGCTTCACGGCCAACACAGTCGTCCCTCGACGTCAACACAACCGTCAGCCCATGCACCGCGAGCTGCCTCGCAATCTCGAACCCGATACCCCGGTTACTCCCGGTGACCACAGCAATCGTTTCTTTGGACCACCACCTGCATTTTTATTCCAGAATCCCGGGCCCAAATTTAACGATCGTAATCCTTTAATCTACATCCGTCGAGGAAGGGATGGCAATGGCATCCACGAAAGAAGGGGCATGCTGCTGCTGAATGCTCGCTTCAATTCATTGGGTATATACCAAAATTGAAGCGAACGAAAGGATCTCTAGACTCCCCGCCCGCCCCCACAAACAAAAAAAAGAAAACGAAAACGACAGCAGGAACCGCAATGAAGAAGAAGGAGAAGAAGAAGAAGGAGAAGAGGAGGAGGGGATATACCTTTGGTGATCGGAATAGGGGATGGTCCTGAGAAGAGAGATCTCCTGCAATCTTTTCTCTCTGCGCTCTCGCGCTCTTTCTTTGTTGCCTCCCATCCTCCTCCTCCTCCTCTGCCCTCTGCCCTCTGCCTCTGCGAGTTCCTTTCCCTTCTCCCACTTTTAATCCCTGTCACGGGGAGAGGAGCTACAATCCCATACGTCCAGGAACATGAGGCATCGCCTGGTCGCAGGTTGGAGCTGGTATGTAGGTCAACGGTGCCTGCCTCTGGATGACACGTATTCCCGCCCATCCCCCATCCCCAACTGTTGTTATTCATCTTTGTTTGGTGTTGGCCATTTTTCACTTGATTGGTCCTGCGTGATGATTATAAGTAATATTATGATACTTTCGATAGTCATTCCCGTAAATTTATTTCATATTTTATTATTTTGATATTTTGTACGGAATATTACCTTTCTCTCTCTTTTTCATTACAAATCTCAATTCGATATGACATAAATGATCGTTCCGCTATTATGACGCACTCCATATCTTCTAATAGCCACTACAGCCATAGTAACTCTAATGTCGTATCACCAAGAACTCGATATTTTGTGCTTGTACTAGAGCGAGCAAGCGAGAGTGATTTATTTCTAGTCTCAAATTCATTTGCTGAACAAACCGTTGATGTCTTCACCAAGACATGTCCACATGCGTTTCCATGATCTTTTCTCCAAACTCAAGTTAACCTCTTACAAGTCCCCTTGAATTTTAGGGGATGTTATAGATATGTTTAAAAGATTCTATACATTTCCCTTAATTGATCATGATTAATTATAATTGATATTTTGCTTGATAATGTACAAAATATTATGTTTCTCTATCTTTTTCATCACAATTCTCAAACTGTCCCATTGATAACGGGTAATAAATGATAATTTGGATAGAGTAAGTAGACTTGCGAAGTAACATATAACAGCTCTAATCTAAGATTTGTTGACGCATTTGTTCTCACGTCATTATATTTCCAAACAACAAGTGTACAGCAATTTGGAAAAGGCAAAAAAAAACGAAGTAACCAATCCCTTATTAAACATACGATCACTTTTTTTTTTTTGCGTACCAGTAGATATTAATTTTCAAATTATTCAAGCTATGCATATAACAAAAACGTTCAAATAAATTAGATTATGTAATTTTACCTTTCTTGAATTTGTCATCTTTCAGAGATATCAACACGGAAAAAGAACCCATTTCCTTTTGCGAATGGAACAATTTTTTTTTTTTTGGGTCGATTGAATGGAACAATTGAAACGTCCCTTCCTTCCTATCACCATGGTCCACCAATGCAAACAAAATGTTTTCATCTCCAAGTATATCTGAATATTGTACAAGCTGGTAACCATCAGTCTGAAACCTGCAATTCACTCTCTCTACACCCTCATTACATCCGATAGCAGTTTTGCACTTACAAAATTGACGGAGTAAATACAAAAACGAGAGTACAAATTTGGGGGGGAAAAGGATATTATGCACAATAAATAATAAGAAAAATGTTGAAGAATGATGACAAATTTACCACAAGACAACAACAGGGCTTGGCCTAAACGGTAGATTCCAGACTGTGCCGGTCCTATTTGGAGAACCAGTCAATCCATGTAAGAAAACTCAAGTGGGAGCTCCTGAAGCTGTCAGCACATGATAATATTCACGACCACGATCCGTGAAGCTAATGGGGCAATATCTCAGATACACGATCTAGTGCATCGGCAGGGATCTCTCTTCCAGGAACCTGGACCTTTAAGAGATTGGCATACCTGGCCGGAAGACAAAAAAGGTTCTAACGATTAATACGTAACCAGCATATTTCACTAAATATGACGAGGGAGGATGTTTCAGCCACTCACTCTGCAGATGAAAACAAGTGCTCGTGCTCCGAGATGAAGGCAAGCAATGCCTGATGATGCAAAAGGATCACCTCATTGTAAGTGCAGAAGACGATACTTAAAAGACAGAATAAAGATTCACGTTTAAAAGGCTTGCCTCATATGGCATGTTTAGCAATTCGTAGTATGTCCGCACACGATCTAATCTTTGTTGCACAGCTTCACTATCAATTGATGGGATAGCTGCAAGGGCCTAAAAAACCAACGGAAGTTTATGTAAGCTCTAGCCATACAGGAAAATAAAGAAAGAAAGAAAACGAGTATTTGAGAATCCTTTACTCATATCTGAAGTTAGGTAATTAGTCTCGAGAGAAGAGAAGATCAAGCAGTGTGGAAATTTTTATACTTATATGGCAGGACAAAAGCATCAGCAGCCTTTTGTCAGGTTATTTATTGTTCCCCTGTTTTGTTCCATAAGCCTTATGGAGTAAGACATCGATTTCTCAAAAAGAAGGAACAAAATCCCCATCAAAGATACAGTTTTATTTGATCTTTAGATAATCATGGATCTCACACATAACTACTAACGTACAAAGCAATGAGACAACTCACATGAAAGTCAATCGTGGATTAATTAATATCATGAGACACGACACACAAATACTCAAGCTCGAAATGTATTTTACTTCAAATCTATAACATATTTAAAAATCGACACATCCACAGTATTTTATGATCTCATTGAACTCAATTAATTATCAACATTTCCTATTACAAAAAAAGTAGAAAGAATCTCTCTGAAAATCTCATTCGAATCCACAAAATATCTGGGAGTAATAACTTAATAGGATAAGTGAAGAGGGACACATAAGAGAAACTTAATGGTAAAGCCCGCAAGTGAGCATGCCTAGTGGCGCAATCACATCAAAATAATATCCCCATTCTACATATATATTTCTTATTCAGAAAACATATTAGATAAATATAAACAAGTATTTGCATTTTTTTAACATACCATTCATTAGATAACAATTACAACATTAAAAAATGGGAAACATGAGTGTGAACATGAGGAAGTTGTCCACCAAAGACCACTCTAGAAGCCCTACAAGAAAAAAGAGAAAACTTTAAAAGAACACGAAAAACGTGGAATAAGTGGTCATTTACCTGCTCCAAAGCAATTGAATTTCGACATATCTGCTGGACCCCAAAAAGGTTGATAGATTTCATATCCGACAAAGCCTACAAGAGACATGCTTATCATCAGAACAACAACTACCGAGATGTTCTATTGCAGACATTGCTCAAGAGAAATATTAACATAGAATAAATAGGATGAAATGGGAACCTTAAGAAAAGCATTTGCAGCCACGCTACATATTCCACCAAAAACATAGTTTCTTTTTGTTCCCGCAATAAAGGGGGCCATTTCCTCATCCCGGCGCGTTATCTGGATTAAACATTAACCTATGACATTAGCTTGCAAGCGGAGATATTTGAACATACAATGGCCCAAGATGGATGCAAGAAGAGAAGGTTTCAACAAAATTTCTTTAATATTGCCTGAAAATAGATCTGATTTTTAATATAGATGATTTTAAGAAAAAGCAAACTATTACAAAATCAATCATCTAACAACAGCATAAAATTACACAAAAGCGAAAAAGAATAGCTTGCAAATGAGGTCAAGCAAATTATATGCTGTAACAGTCAAGTAATCAGTTGACATTGCCTAATCTGATTTGACATAAATATGTATATATGGCATTGTTTCCAACAGATGGAAGACAAATAGATAAGTGAGGGAGCTGAGTGGAGGACAAACCAGGTGAATAGTGTCATTCTACCAAATTGAATGTGAAACTACTCAAGATAATGCAGCAACATTTATTCTTTAAAAAATGCTTCCACATTCGAGATCCTCAGTACCAGGGTCGAATACACTACATGAGATTTTCAACTTTTCTAAACATGAAAAATACTAGAGACTGAGGCCTAACAAAAGATGAATCCAATAAATAGAAAGAGACTTACATTAATTGTGAACTGTACTATTCATTTGAGGCATTACAATTATGAGGTGAAATACATACCTGTGCAGTTAGTGAAATAACAAAATCATCTGGCTCTTCAGCATCTTGGTCCTCTAAGTAATCCCTACTATTCATTTCCTGGTAAATGAAAAATCTCTCTCTTAGCCATTCGCTCTGGCCTCACGAACAAATCAGAAGAAAACTCAAAGTGGCAAACATTCGAACCTGAATGTGAAAAGCAGTTTCCAGCTGCATCTCAACTCGTAAAACTTTCAAGCAGTCGATTGCAAGCTTTCTGTACTCCTCTGCAAACGATGCGAGGTCCCTGCCTGGAGTACTACTCGTTCTAGAGTGCTGGTGTCTCTTATGCTTGCCATCCTGTTCCCCTTGATTCACTGATCTGAAGGTTGTCTGCCCAAGCCTACTTTCATGAAATATGTAGTTTTGCATGTCAAACCTCTTAAAGCAAGCAACAATAAGAACTTCAACTAAAATTCCATATTAAGCCACATGCTCCAACACCTACTCAGAGCAGCTAGATTACTCACCTTTCAATTGAATCTGCAACATATTCCAAGGAATCACTCAGGGATGCCAGCAAAATCAGTTTGTTATCATCTCGAATAAGATTTTCCTGTCAGCGCAGCACAGATTGAAATAAATTGCAACCTAAACTTAACACCGTGATTTAACTACTTAGGAAGATGCCGAATTATCACTGGCTATATCCATTTAAACCCAGTGTGAATTTAGAGAAATCACAACAGTTTCTTCAACAGGAACTTAGCAAGCTGGAAATAAATGAACTTTAAGTTTTCATTCACGATATTAGATAAGAGATACTTTTGTTCCCAACCATCAGTGATTGCACATACCTGCTTAATTGGTCGCAACTTCAACAGTAAATCAGTGAGTTCCAATTCAACCTCCATGGATTCAGCGTCTGTAGCACTATTTTCCAAATTTTGCTGACCAAAAGAACTTGGCAAACATGCACTTGCAGGATCAAGCTGCATCAATTTCTCAATATCATGTCGTCCGATGAGCATATAACTCTGTTTTTCTAGAACTGCCTGAAATTTTACAAAGAAACAGGAGTTTATAAAATGATGAATCAAAGATGCAGCATGATGAGTGATAAATGTATGTAAAAGCTACAGATACCTTCATTTCAACTAATGCAAGCTCCTAGAAAGAAGAAAAAGGAACCGAAACTTTATCATGTCACACTTACTTTGTCAGGGATTGTACAAAGCAATGATAAGGGTCAACAGAAGTACAAAAATAAGTGCATGACCATGATATACGACAAGACAAGATTAATTATGTTACTTTCACAGACTTTGTAAATTGATGCAAGAAGATCATATCTGCTGGCTCATCATGAAAAAGATAGTTTATAAAGAATCTTACATAATAAGATCCATGATATTGTGGTACTAGTTCATGTTAATAAATGTTTTCCTGCTAAGAAGAAAAGCAATTCCACACTTCCAGTGACTTCTCGTGAAGTCCAAAGTTAATTTGTATCGAGGACAACAGAAAGAAATTACACTTCAACAGATGGCACTGAAGAGAAACAAAAGTTTCACCCCTTAGCGTAGCTCATCCATGAAAATCACACAGAGGATCAAGAGAAAACATACGCACCTCCATATATGAAGTGCGACATCTTTCATATGTCCGCTCGAGAAATGTTTGCACATACTTTACAAGCTCACCAGCAAATTTTGGCATTGCTTGAGCCCAACCAAGCACCTATGTTAAAGGTCAAATTACAAAGATGACATGAATGTTACAATAAAAAGAATTTGACATAGATCTCCAATTACATAGTAAATTCTCAGAATCCATCGACATTGGTGGAAGGAAGAGGAGGGAGAGTGGGAGGACAGGTTGGTACGAGTATATGTATATATATGTTTTGATGCTGTTAGGGTGATCCGGTGCCAACTAGCAACAGATTAGTCCCCTTCAAATATCCCAATCCCCTTGTCCCACAGAGATTGGGTAATAAAGGAACAACACAAAGTCTTAATTCCTATGAGTGGCCCCAAGAGAATGTGCAAGTGCAGCGATTCTAACCAGGCCTTGAGTGAGAAAGACGAACACACTTATCACTTAAGCAACTCCTTAGGGTTAAGGAGGAAGTGTACATTAAGGCAAGGGAACAAATGTCAAGGAGTGAGGGCGTGAATGAAATCACCTCTCTTGCAAGGAATTCTATTGCCAAAAGCCCTTGTAAGACTGGTCGGCCCTTCTCAATTGACGGAGTGTATGTGGCAGCAGCATGTGCTCGTGGCCGAAAAGCAGCAGGACCTATATAAACAGATATATGCATGCAATAAATGAATTTTTAATCTAAGGGCAACACAGAATGCGACACACTAACAGAGGCTAAAATTAATTCATCACCGCAAAGTGTTAATATCTCTCATTGCCTCAAATCAGCAGTGTCTTGGTCGAAGACTAATATGAGCATCGCCAAAAGTATGCTGTGACCTTAGGCTTGCATTCACACTTTAAAGAAAAATTTACCATGCCAGCCATTTTTTCAGAGAAGGAAACTCATCAAGGTAAACCTAGGTTAGAAAAACCCCAGGCTCATGAAACATCCCATTAGTCTCATCAATCAAGTAAGCAGCGAGCTGAAACCCAAGTGGGTGACCAAACTTGGAATTGTTTATGATCGATGGTTTAGAGAAATGAACATGTGTCATGTGCTTAATCCACACACTCCTAATTGCTCCTTAACCAGCAGCCAACCATAGAACACATTTAGTTTCACTGAAACATCAAAAGAACAAAAATTCCAGGCTCAAACTACTTAACATTGGCTTTCCAAATTTCAAGGTAAAACAGGACAAATACATATTCAATCAGTTGAATAGCAACGACTTCTTTGCCCTATATCAGTATATGAGCGAAACAACACAAATAAAGCCAAAGAGTGGTAATTTACAAGTCAGATATTCAATTATAGATCTGAGGGTTAGAGTGGTTGGATCACTAAGGATAGGAGAGCCTCATACTACACCAGGGTATGGAAGAGGATTAGAGAAGAGAGGAGAGAGTTTCTTCTTTTTAATTGATTCAAAGTAGGTAATGGGAATCGGATACAGTTTTAGTCTGACGTTTGGTGGGACATGACTTTAACAGATCAGTTCCCAGATTTCCGACATCACAGGGCATTTGTTTACAGCACATCAGGAAAAGACGAACTACCTCAATTCCTCTCTGTTTTTTGGTTAATTTGGAAGGTGCAGAGAACTTTTGATGGACAGGTATCTTCCATTTCTATTTTATTGAAAATTGGCTTAAAGTTATACACTTTTCGTATAATGGAAACTTGCATATGGCTATTAATGCCTTGGTTGACATAGTCGATGATTTATCTTGTATTTGACTCCCTTTTGGTTTTGAGAGCTGCTTTGTGTACGGCTTAGTTTTTTTACCTCTTTCTGTATATGGCTTTGCACCCGTCTGGTGCCATATAGTTGACTTTTTATCAACAATAATAAATAAATAAAAAATAGGGGATTCAATTTCATATTCTTCAGGGGGAACTCACTTGATATAGCTTGTTGGACACCTTTCCGGTAATCTACAAACATAGTTGGCAGGAAATGATCCTTCACAAAGTTCTCCACAAAAGAGAGCAATCCATCCTTCCTGCCATTTTGGATATCAAAAGAAGAAAACTTGCATGAACAAAGCACGATTCGCATAGTAACTACAAGAGAAAAATCTCGAAGACACATAATGACTAAATTATATGCAAAGTATCATCTCAAGCAGCACAAGAAAACTCGATGGTTGAAATTGCCAGATAAGTTAATACGTGAGGCTCTGTTGTCATAACATATGTCGGTCCACGGAGACCTCTTTACCCCAATCAATTTAAGTTTGGATCATGGAACACAATCTCAGCTAGATATTTTTCACGGCACCTTTTTTGACTCCTAAAGGAGAAAGAGAACAGTTGGAGAAGAAAAAATTTGCTAAAATATAACTCTCAGGAGAATCAGAAGTACGAGAAAGTTCTCATGAAAGGAACAATTTATGTCCATGCCCCAAACTCGCCATGCCGCCCCCCCTTTCACGAGAAAGAAGCCATGTCCATTGAGAAAGAATTAGCACATATTCCATTCAATTTTGGGAGCAATAATAGGGGGCGCTTTTTGTTTGTACTTGCTTTCGTTTATCATTTTCCAACTTTCACTGTTCAAGAACATTGGTTTGGCAACTCAACTAGGGACCGTGAAAGATTGCAAATCAACTTCTGATGAAAGCTCTTTTTTCGCATATGGTAGTAAGAGACCGTGAAAGATTGCAAATCAACTTCTGATGAATCCATGAGGAAACATTGGATCTCCACGTCAACACTACCCCCCCCGCCCCCAAAAAAAAAAAAAAAAAAAAAAAAGAGGACTATGTGCAAAAGTGTGGCCCAAACCTGAATCTATACTATCACCGGCAAATCAAAAACTGAGTATGCAATAAACAACCATATTCAATTAAGTGACTGATTCATACGATATACTTGCTGGTATACATAGAGTACCGGGACAGAAAAAGAAAATCACATACTTTGGCTCGCACACGTCAGCAAGACTAGAACACTTGTAATTATAGAATTCCAGTAAATTCTGTTAGCCCATATCTCACAACTATGCCATAGCAACCATTTAAACTCTCAGTAAAGGAGAAGTTAAAACCTAGGAAAACCAATCAATTCAGTATCCAAGAGGCAAGAGGCTTTCTTCCAGTATGAGAGGAGCAGAAGTACCACGGACATGAGGGGCTCCATTAAAAATTTTATGGTATCCCCATAAAGATGATTGCCAGACTGTTTTGACTGTTGCTAGTGACAATCAAAATAAACAAGCTGTTTTTGTTGTGTGTGTGGGGGGGGAAGGAAGGCGTGGGCGTGGCGGTGTTTAGAAGGGCAACACGGAGAAATAGGTTGATATCCAATATAGGTATGCCTAAGATGTATGCCTTCTCACACTATGGGCTTGCCTAAGTAAGATTAAAATATCCTTCTCCCACTATGGACATGCCTAAGTAAGATTAAAATATCCAATATCCTCCTATAGAGTCATTATCTATGCCTCCTTCTACCTATCTATGACCTTGTAACTTCCACTGTCCTTATGAAGTATCTAAAAGACATCATTCAATATGTCCAAACTAACTTGAGCAAATTTACTTGTTTATCCTTGGGACAACACTGACTCTTCACTTCTAATCTATCTTTCTAGTATGAAAACACCTCAGTGAAGCAATCTCATCTAATGTGCATGTTAATGCATAACAGCTAATTTTCGTTTCCATAAAGCTCAGTCAAAGCAATACTCTTGTGCAATATGAGAAATGACCTATCCTTCAACCAATATTTGCACAATGAGCCAATTGATATCCAATTTCAATACTGAATCATTTAAGCCTCTTCCACAATGAATCCACTCTAGATATACTATTTCAGCCATTTATAAATACAAACTTTTTCATCCACAATTACTGTTTTACACTTCCTCCCCCATCATCTTACCCACTGAATCGCCTCTTAGAAGATATATACCAAGAAAGTTCTTGAATATATCCATCTTATTCGCCCAATATAAGAACAAGATAAGAGCTCCAAGTTGAACCTTACTGGCATTTCCAGGTGTTCTCACTCTAATCACTTTTTCTCATACATGTCATAACTTCAAGTACGCGAAACATGATAAGCGCATTATATGTCCTTATCATATATATGTCAAATTTATATAAAGGAATGCCTTAAGTCTTTGTAAAGCAATTCAATCAAATTCTTGATAGGTAAAATCATAGTAGATCTCTCCCACATATGAACAAGTCGACCTCTATAAACTTGGTCTTTAAGTCAACTTATCCTTCATTACCGAGTCCTACTTTTGCTGTAGAAGCACTGGATTTGGCATCTTTGCAATTAGCATGATTGTGCAGACCCCCTTCATATACTCATAACCATTATTAGGGAAAAATATTCTATCAACAAAGTTAAGAAAGCAAACCAACCACGTGAGCTGTATACAAGAATTTACTTAAGCATCTGAATCTTAATGCATCCTAATAGAACAAATATTGGATATGAACCAGTAATTCTTTGAATAAATTCCTATAAAAGCCATTTAACAGCACAAAAAGCAATTAAGCCTTCCCCAGAGGCACTCTAAACCCAATGTCATGGTTAAGCAGGTAAGAACTTTCAAAACTACTAATCACCAAAATTTTCAATTGTGCTAAATTAGCAACCTATGAACCACGGACACTCTCCGGGAGCCTCCGTGTCATGTCGGACACGTGTCGGACACAGACACTCATCCGACACTCTATTTTTTATTATTTATTTATTTTTGGATTTGAATCAAATTAATTTGATTGAAATAATCATAAAAATGATAATTTATTATGTATATATAAAAATATACATTAAATATACGTGTCCTAACGGGTAGGAATTCTCTATTTTTTGAGAAATGATGTGTCGGTGTGTCGTGTCGTGTCGCGTTGCGTGTCGGTGCTACTTAGTTAGCAACTAGTAAAAGCAAAAATTCCTTTGCAGAAGCACAGTCAAGCAAAAAGTAATGTCAGAAACGTAGGACATGAACCAGAAAATGGCTTCCCATGGTGATTATGCTACCAATGCTAAGTGTGCAATTCAATATGTATGCTCCAAAAGAGAGATTACAACAGTATTCAGCTTACCCAAGCTGGGAATACTTCTTTGGTAGCATGGAAGAAACTTTATCGGTAAACTGCAAAGCAAGACATCAGAAAAAGCTACTAAGAGAAACTAGCAAAAAACTTGAAATATTCCATTTATAGTCCAGTACCAAGAGAACAGGGCGATATATGGAAGCTGTCAAGTATATGCCTTGCTCAGGTAACACAGCTGCAGATCCATAACCTTCTTGTAACATATTTGAACCCCTCCTACTCCACCCTTGGCGAATAAGATCACCACCTAAAATACCAGGGATCGTGCAACAGAAAAGGTGATTCATTTAGAATGACTTACACAAATTAAAACCGACCACAACTGACAAGATTATTATATTAATAAAACCAATCAAATCCACATCTTCACAATACTAATCAAGAACAACAACAATCAAACTTCCCCCATTATGTGGTGTTAGCCAAGTAGGTCCTTTCAGCTACAAGTATTTTCAAGTATTGAAGATCATTACTGAAAATTCCACCTAGGTCATATTAGAACTTATCTATACCCACACCCATGTCATCAAGTCACATCTAAAGGCCTCCCCTTTATGCATCCAAACGACCTTCATTAAAAACTCAACTGATAAATCATATCTTCATTTGTGAGAACTTGATTTTTCTCTTTTTCATTTTCCTGTGGGGAGGGGGTATGGCGTTTCAGAGGTGTTACCTTGACTCATCTTGTTACATAACTTAGAATACTCACCCAATGAGAACAATAAAATAAATTAACAGTAAGAGAGTGTACTTGATTAATCTGATAGTTTACTGCATGTGGGCTAAAATAGACAAAATAAGAGCAATTATCTCAGACAGAATGTAAATAACGGACGAAGATTCTTCCACATACCCTGATTAGGCACAGATGCAGTAGCATCTGTGAAGCGGAAAGCAAATGTGAGGCCATCTTCTGAACCATCCCTGTATCACATCAGATAATTATCACGTGCAAGCAAACATTAAATCCAAAAGATGACAGCAGCTCTCTATTTTCTCCAGAAGGATCTGAGTATAAGAATTATCAGATCTCTACTACAGTCCAACAAAATTTAAAAATCCGTGGCCATTTAAAAAAAAAGAGAATTCAAGTGACATTCCAAAAGAATTATTGCATTAAGCTGTAACCCCTCCAATGAAAAAATTGTGTTAAGCAAGAGGTGAATATGAAATACAACAAATTGCAAGGAAGCATGTGGATTAGATCATGACATCTAGTGTTTCCATTCATGATGTCAATGTCTACCCAGTCAAGAGTTTGTTATAACTTACAGGTGTGTTGTAACTTAACGAATGTATGCTGTAGGTTAATAGTTACATGCACAGGTGAATCCTCCCTCTGACAATTTATTCTTTATGGAGAAAGATCAACAAAACAACAAAGGACAAGGTTTTTAAGGCTACTGAGACACAAATAAGAAGGGCAAATTGCCGCACCACACATCCCAACGCACGAGTCAACGGGAAAGCAAGGTTTGCCCATAAAATCTTGGTTTGACAAAAACAAAAAAAAAACCTTAGGACTTCGAATGAAATAAAAGAATCTAATGGACGGTTTCGATACATTATGGGAGGCCCACCCCATAGAAATTGTCTAGCTGAGAGTGTCCCTTGGCCCATTCTAAATCTTTCAGACCGCAAGTCACCAATGGCTGGGGCTCCTGAGCTCTCTAGAGTCATATGCATGTCTCAAAAAGTGTATGACACTTTGTACCACCACCTCAATATGAGAAACATTCAAGACGCCTATACCTTAAAGGCCATGTAGAATCAAATACCTACTCTGTTACCCTAATGCATGCTTTATATCGAGGAAAATCATGGCCTGCCCGTATAATGGATATATGCACATCACGATCTGATGCTTCACAATATGAAGCTGAAATATCAGAAGTTCTAGGCTCTAGCAAATACTAACACCAAATCCACCCCCATCAAAATGGTGCAGTCCACCCATATGGCCTTCAAATGTGATTGTTCATCCTTATACAAATTCTGCAGTGATAATCTAGTAATAACCTTCTTCTTACCCAAGTTGAGTACAAAGTACACAACCAACTACAAGGAACCAACTGTATCACCCAAGTTGAGTACAAAGTACACCACCCGAAACCCTCATATCAGTATCAAATACAAACTTATCTGCAAACTCGGTTCTCATTTTTTATTACCTTCCTCGCGTATGTATAAGACTGGTACCCACAGCAACCGCCCCCCCCCCCAAAACAAGGCAAAAGATGAAAAAGAAAAGAAAACATCTGAGACCGAAAAATGTCATTTCCATAGTAAGCCATTCATTATTAGGTTACAGCTTCAATTTCCATTACTCTTCACAATCCACTCTGCTATATATGACAGCACATGAAGCATTGAATATGGGTCAAACAAGAATTGAAGCCCCAAAAGTACCTAAAGAAGACCTTCCCAAAAGAACCCTTTTCTTCAGCTCTTGTATGTACAAGAATTAGGAAAATAATATGATAATCAGGATAGGAAGTTACTTGCTCTTTTCTTTATTGGGGACCTTGCTTGCAAGTCTAGCTGTTTGCACAGCAGCATCAGCAGATGCAGCTTCTGGAGTTGCCCGCAGAATCTCGCAGATGAGTTGTTGGCATTCACTCTAGCAAAATTTCGCACAAACGACTTCAAAAGATTACAAAAGAAGCTCTCTCTCTCTCTATATATATATATCTATTTTACCTCTAATAGCATCTCATTCGTGTCTTTTCCAAGCATGGACATGAAATTATGTGGAGAGTTCCCCCAAGATATCCATTAAGCCACACTAAATAGTGGAGCTCCGAAACTACAAAGTTGTGGTTCTTAATGCAGTTATGTTTATCAAAATGTACCACAAGGTAATCTCTATAATTCCCAAAGTGTGCCTACTATCTGAAGATGGGTAATTTCCTTATGCCCATCACCCTCTAACAAGTCCATCAAGTGTTCACAAGACCAACAGGATATACATACCTGCAGAACCGTCAACGAAAATCCAACACCATAACCCCCAGTGATATGAGATGTCTCATAATCAGGGTTCCAATTCGCATCTGCTGAAACAGACTTCGGTGTGTTTATGTCAACTTGTTGGGACTTCGTCTCCAAAAGCTCACCAACAACAACATGATTTTCTGAGTAATTGATGCTAGACTTCAGTTTAGATTTCACATTGTAAAAGAGTACCAAAATAGTAATCAAATGTCGTACCAAATATCCGGACAACGGCATCCAGAATTGAGTCAAGAAGCTCTTTCGCTGCAACCTGGGCTTTCCCTGTGGGAGCCATCATAGCAGACACAGGACTTACAGCCCAAAGAGTCCCAGCCAGCGATTTCCCATTCTGAAGCTTCTGTTTTGGCAATTGGTAGTGTTCCAGTTTTCTCATTGTCAACTGCAGACTTGTCACTGCCCCGAAGACAGCATGTTCAGTAAAAGGCCTTGAAGGATCAACTAATGCTGCATGAGCTTTGATTTTGGAAGTGATGATCTCATGAACTGTTGGTCGCAATCTTTGGCTGCTCCAAGACAAATAAGATTGGTATCTCTTGCAAACAGTAAATATTCATTTAAGACAGAGAAGCAAAGATGGCAACCCTAGTAGAACAGGGACTCGTACCAGATCAGGTTAAAGTTAAGATTATGAGCATTTCATAGACAACGCCAAAGAATGCACTTCAAATGTAAACTTAAGCAAGATGACCAGTAATCCTTTTTTACATGATTCAAGTCAAAGATAAACACCTGAGGCAGCCCATGTAAATCCAACAGGTGCAAGCTTTTGTATAAAATCTAGGAGGCCTCATCTGCCTAAGCTTTTGGATAAATCTAGGAGGCCTCATCTGCCTAAAGAGTCAGCCCAGATGTCCAACTGTGCAGCCTTTGCAAGTATGATGTAACATGTTCAGATTTTTCGATTATCAACACAAATAAATAAAAGTTGATTCTACCATTTTATCTGTGCTTGTAGCCCATCAAAAACACAAGCTTCCAGGTGAGCATAAGGTCCAGTTCCATAGCTTTCCACCCCAACTAAAGCTCAAGACTATTCCAAAAACACTCAGGGATTTGCTGGAATCATATGCCAGCTCACTTCCCAAATTTCATGTCCGGCATGTTAGAGGTTTTAACACACCCAAAATACTGTACTAATATTACTCTCTTTTGTCATTAGGAATTTCCTAGAAGGATTATTTGATACCCTTTGTAATGTCTACTCATCATCTTTTGTTCTAGTTCATCTAATTGTGCAAATTCATTTCTGGTTACTGGTTCAATGTTTTGATATGGAAAGAGATGTCACAACATAATTAACACAAAAGTGACCAATTAGTTATCCACGTAAGTGTCAAGGATGGAACCATTTAACCAAGCTACTTTTTTGAGTTTCAGCATCTTTAGAGGATCCAATATCAGCTTTCACATGTGCCTTCAGCATGAGTCCTAAGAGATGAAACAACAACACAAAGAGGAGCGGGAAATCAAACTTACACCTTACAAACAGAAGAGAAAAGACATCATTTGATTGTTTTAAAGAAAAAATTGAAAAAAACTAGACAGAATCCCTATCTATATATAGGCAACATGATATTAGCTTTCAATCTACGCATTGGTTAATTTTAATATCACTTTGTCTAGAATTCTTTTTAAGGAATACAGTATTTAGCACCATTTACACCTTGCAGAAAGATACAACTAAGTAGGATAGTTTACAGGACAAAAGAGAGAAGAAAAGAAAATTCCAAGAAAAGCGTCCTTTTCACTTATTATTTCAACGATTTTGATATGATACTCATTAAAATAGCACCTTGCCAATTTAAAAATAGAACATTTTGCCCGATAACAATTTAAAACAAGACAGATCTCTTATACCCGTTCTATTGTTAGACATTCATCCATTTCGTCAACTTAAGCATATGCTTTTACCTATCACCATTGTCCCAACCTGAACTACTTCATAGCCAGGTTCCTAAGTTTTATTCAATAATAATTTAGGTGACTCAGAAACCTTGAATACTCTAAGCCTGACACTAATATAAGAGTTCAACATTGACAACCAATACTGGGGATGGACTATATTGCTGTAAAAACACAACATGGAACATGGAACCTACAACAATGAATTTCTATTTCGAAAACCAAGTCAAACAAAAATAACAGAATCTTTAATAATGTAACACACCATATAATTGCACCAGCTGCCGCAACTTTACCAAGCATGCAGAGACATTCAACCATGGTCTGCAAATACTTTACATGAAGCGGAGCGTCACTCTTTTTGACAAATTCCTGTATTCAAGTACCAAATCCAAAGCTCAGACACTCCAAGAAGTAGAAAGCAACAAGAGAATGCATCTGAGATAATTTGATTGAGTCACTGCACCAAAAATTCATCTGGAGTAGCCTGGGAAAGCCATGTCGGAATCTGCCGAGAAAAAATCTTAATTTCACCATTGACCCTTGTTGATGCATGATGCACATCTGAGTTTTCATTATGATGTTCAAGAGCACCCTCATCTTCATAACCATCAAATGAAGAACTGGAAAGAAGGTTATATGTCAATCTGGGAGAACTTGTAAAAGATAGTGAGACGATCAAAGAAGAAAACTAAAGTAAGTCTATTACCCCATGGAAAATATAACCACATTAAAAGAAGGAAAGAAAATTGTTTCACAATGTTCTAGCCATTGTGAGAAAATTATCGAATCACAATAGAAATTTAAGGTAGAAAACTTTAACTTAGATTACCGCACTAATACCACCTCTACCGAATCAAAAGTTCGCTGAACACAGGAGGAAAATTCTAACAAGATGTTTCTCCCATTTATTTCTTTACTTCAGAAAAATTCTAAAAACATATAAGAGAATCACTGTTCTCCTTTCTCTCTTTTATCTCCACATAATATTCACTATCGTAGAAGAAATTCAACTCCACAAGGATTAAAACACAACCAAACTCTCTCTTTTCAGCTTCTCAATTTTCACAGATTACTAGAAGTGCATGCCAGTAAAGCAGGAACATTAAAAAATGATCAAATACAGTTAAGCAGATAGCCAGTAGACTAATCTAGAACAACATTAATCAACGAAACGCATGAGCAGAGTAGATGACAGTGCAGTGTACTCCATATATAGGTACGTGTCAAGCAACTTTTAAACAAGATAGCATTGACATAAAAAGCAGAAAAAACGATTCCCAATGATTTCATCCAAAAGTTTTAAAGGTTCTACTAATAAAAAAGAGAGTGCAGCAACCAGTAAGGACTATCATATAGGAACCTAGAGAAGTTACTGGCTGAAAACCAATCTCCAATCTTACCCTCCGTCAATTGAACTTGACCGATATGATCCATCTACAGTTCCTTGGCCGCTAAAGTGGCTATCACCTCGTAGTAATCGAGTTCGCCGAGAGACAGGTTGTAAGTTACTCGTAGAGACAGTTATCACCGCAGTAGATGGTACCTCGTCATATCTTTCATCAATGTCTGTGGCAGCCGAGCTGCAGAAAATTGTAAGGTTAAAAGCAATAGATGATGCCCAAAAAGTGGTACTCCAATTGCCTCAATAACTTAAATTGACAATAGAGGCTTTGGAAAGGCAACCTGCCAACCATTCTTAGGTGTGGAAAGAATTCTTTGATAATGAAAACAAGAAAGAGCACCAGTCACTCAAAACTTCGCCTAATGAAGTAGAAGTTGCAAGAATCAACTTTACTAGAGAAAAATGAGACCTAAGAGCTGCAAATGTTATCTCAATGAATTCCAGAGAATTGAGAAACCAGTGGTCAAACATAGTCTGTAAAACTTTAACAGAAATTTTAACTTTTTATTTGGGCATGACCTAGAGAAAGAAATTGGAGAAAAAGCTCAACCTGTATTCTCCTCTGTTGTAAAGATGTGCATGCAAGTCCTCCAGAACTTTATAGAAGAGAACTCCTCTAAGCTTCGTCAACTCAGATCGAACATCTTGAAGAGCACCAACCTGAAAGCCAATGTTAATTTTATAATCACAGCTTGGAGATAAAATCTAGCAATAATAAAACTGCATGATGTTCTCTAATTACAGTCAAACTTAATGCAACAATCCTTTTGACCTTACAACAAAACTAATGACAACACGGTCTGAATGAATTAGCCAATATATTCTGGTGCTCCAGGCCAACTTTACTTCTCAGAGAAAGAGAGAGAGAGAGCCATGTGCTGTAGCATGGGTCCCAATAATTGAAAATTTGAAGAGAACTCACAGTGGGCGATAACTCAAAGAGGGACCATGTTCCTTTAAGCATCACCCTAAACCACCTGAGTATCACAGCTAGGGTTTCTTAAGGATCACACAATTCAAAAGTATAGACTGGCTAAAACTTTTATAGTCTTCATAAAACTAGAATAATAGAATCACAACTATTTTTAGAAACATAAATAGACTACTAATTCAACTAGGAGAAGAATCCCAATCCTTCCAAGACTCTTATTTGAGTTGTCTGTAGAGGTGGCAAATGGGTGAGCTAGGCTAGGTCAGGTATGGGTTGGTCACAAATGGATATACCCAGGTTTTGCTAAACAATTTGGATGACCATACCTAACCCAACCCGGATACAACCCAAACCCACCCACATAATTTACATTTGTTTGGGAGTATATTATTAACAGCAAAGGTATAATAGTAGGAAATTAATATATACAGAAGTGTGAAAGTTTAGCCGATGTAGAAAATGAAGGAACAAAGGCATCTGCAAAATTAACAAACAGAAAATCGAAACAAATCTGCAAAATCAAATGAATAGAATTTTTTTAGGAGAAGCAGAAAAATATCAGGCGAGAGATAGAGATAGATAATAGTGGCTCATTGCACCGGCACTCCTCCCAGTCACTCCCGTTGCCTATCCTCCCCATCCAATCCATGCAGTCATCAGCGTCCGATTCACACCGTGCAACTTAGTGAACAGTCACAAGACTGAAAATTTCCTCACTCGATTGATCTATCCATCACGAGGGAGAAGATGGGCAGAAGCGACAGTCCAATTTAGCCCTCATTAAGTGGGCGACACTGTCATTGCTCGGCAATAGATACATCCACCATCAGCCAGATGTCTAGGATGAAAGAGAAAGAGAGATTGACGAGCACAGGAGAGAGATCAAAACTGTTGCTATTGCTTGTAAGACAGACACTAGCAAGACCATCACTGTTGCTGTCAACGCCGTTGGGAGACCGGCTGCCGTGGGGGACATTACCGAACGGCAGTGAGGCACCGTCAGTGTTTGCACTCTCCACCCCTTCTCTCTCTTTGACAGCTCTCTCTGTTGCTTTTTCTGTTTTTTCTTTTTAAATCTTCAGATGATAACCCTTTTGGGGCTGAAATAAAATAGTAATCAAAATGAATTGATAGTGGGTCTGTTTTATACCCATTTCAAGTTGGCGTTTGATGCTCTGAACCTATTTCAATCTGGTTTTAAATTTTTAGACACTCCAAATAATGCCTGGCTCACTAAATTTCATTGAGTTAAAAGGTGGGTCATGGACCCCTTTTGTCACCCCTAGTTGAGGGTGTGCATCTATCCACCTTCACCAAAAGTTGATAATAATTGGAATACTAAGACAAATATCAAATTGTTCAATCTTGTGGACTCCATCATTCTTGCCCTTCAGTTAATGTCGAACACTCAAATCAGTCAACTTCATCCTTATCACCATGACCTTCTTAACCGAAACCAAGTATTAATCAATTTAAGCACCCTTTAAGAATGGTTGTCAACCAAAACCATTATACGGATGCTTTGACTTTGTCTTGCGAAGCCTAAGTGCTCAATCAAGTGTGCATAATCTTAAGACCTTGCTTGATTCAACCAACATGCACATTGATACAACATTCGTGAGCAGCATGACATACTACTCCACACCAACGTTACATGACCTTCAAGATATCCTCCATGCTTGATTCATCTATATTCTCATCCTTCTCCATGCAATCAACAATGTCCAATATCCAAACTCTTCAACCTGAAGTATGGATTCAAACAATTGAAGATCTTGAACACTTACACTATTTTGCCATTCCGGGACTTGATAATAGTCGTATAAGTGGGTTGCGACTTGAGGGCAATAAATCATTTAGCATCCTTGATATATCGTCAAACTTGGAATTCAATTCAATAACCATTCCCAGAGAAAAATGTAAATCAAAGTTTTGTAGAACTTTCGCTGTAATAACAATCCGATGCAGGACGATGAGTCTCAAAGTAGAAAGCCCGATCTAATAGACAATTTTAAGAAAAATCACAACAAGGCATCACACCAAAAGCTTCCAAAACATCACACCTGGGATTTCTTAAACATCACAATCAAGAGAAGAATTGTATCAACTAATTCAAAAGCAAAGACTTCCTAAAGTTCAATATTCTTCATAAAACTATTGAACAGAAGGGACTACAACCGTTTATAAACATTAAAACTATTTTTAAGTTCCCACTCCAAGTTGAATTAGGAAGTCCCAAAACAAGATATTCTAAAGACGAGAGTGAGTTTCCTACTTAAAGAAAGGGAAATTATTTATATCCCAAGATGGCTCAAAACATAATACAAAAAACTACTAACTCAACAAGAAGAAAAATCTTGATGATTATACAACTTTTATTCAAGTTGCAAACAAAACTATAATCCATCTTCATCAAAACTCACTGACAACAGAAATCTTATGGCAAAAATCAATCAGTTCAATCGTGTGGGCTGCATACCACACTTCGACTTAAATCCATAGTTCTGATGGCTTTGATAGAAGATATTGGTGCTTAAGCGCATAGGAAGTCAGTTTAGAAAAATAACAACCAGTTACGACCCCCTATTGTCAAAATGAGGAAACGCAAAAACTTAAATCGAGGTTGACGCTCAATGATTATATACAGACAAATGCTTCTATGAAAAACCACATTTTATGAATAAAACACTCATAAAAGAAATAAAGCAGCAAGCAATCAATCCAAGAGCAAATAAGAAGTAAAATCAAGCAACACAAGACACAGAAATATACATGGTTCAGCCAATCTGCCTAAGACCAGTGGGAGAGGCAAAGGAATCCACTAGAACAACAGGAGAGGAGAAAAATGGTGTGTCCACTCTGAACAGCAGTCTAGCAAGAATGCGAACAATGTTTCCAAACTTAGAATCTAGCCCAAGGCCAATCTCACTCAAATAGAGATTATAAAAGATTATATTTTCCCAAATAGACCAAAACGCACTCTGAAACACTCCTTTGTATGAAACTTCCTTGCTGCTGCAAACTGAGTCTTTCTAAGCCTGCTTCTACTGTCTCTCTATTGAACTTCAAAGCCTAAAACCTTCGAATTTATATTTGAAGTAATAGAAACTCTACTTTGGATGCCTCCAAATGTCCGGACACATTTATCCAGGACATACTCAAAAGCACGAAGAATTCTGGCCGCGTGCTGGATGCCCAGCCAAACCTGGCCAAGAGCCAGGCTGTCTATATTCTCCAATCCAATTTTCCTTTGAACATCCAGTTTGACCCACTGAACTCCCAAACTTGACCTAAATCCTTGCTTGTCACTTTGGGCTTCCTCCACACATAAAAAAGGCTAGAAATCAAGACACCGTTTCACCACCACAAACCTCTGAATTTGCTACTTTTTTTTTTTTTTGGTCAAGGAATTTGCTACTTCAAGTTGACTTTTTACTATTCTTAAAAGGGAATTACTGGTTGTCAGGGGTTCACTTGTTTATACGCTTAGATACGCCTAAATTAGTATCAATTGGTTTTCAACGCAAACTTTGAAAGACTGTTTTGCCCATTTCTTCCCTCCCTTGCCTGCATATTTTGAGTCCATGGACAAATTTGTTCAGCCTCTCTGATGAATTTAAGATACATTAGAGGTGGACAAAAAAAAAGGGACAACAGGATTGATCACTCATTGATTTTTCATAGTTCTTAACAGAAATTCATTTAATTTTCTTGTTCAATCAAACAGAGCAATCTGAATCTTTATCGCCCACAATACAATCTTAAACCTTGAAAATCAACTATAAGCTAGTTCTAATATCAAAGAATTTGCATATTCTCCTTTTGTTGCAACCTATTACCAAGAGCAAAATTAGCAGAAGCAACAAGTCAACGAGGCATTTCCAATAAGAACATTCTTTCACATTGCAGGACAAATCAAGGAATTTTTCTGTGTCTTACCGTCTGAAGACCCTCTCTCTCAAGCATCAACATAGATTGGACATGCAACTGAACTGCGGCATAAAATTGCTTTTCAAGTGTCAGCTTCTCAATTCTACCAGGAACCTGGGCCACATTTTCAAAAGCAGATGATGAATTTCCACAATAGCATTAAGTGGCATCTCTCATTGGCATAATGTATATAAGGAAGCAGGGTGCCACATATGTATTAATCTCTAGATTAAAATTTTGCATGGAAGAGGCTACGCAAGCTACACAAACCTTAGCAATATTCTCGATTTGGTCTAACAGAGAAATAATGTGACGTAGTGTAACCGACCGATACCACAACTGATGCAACTGCTTATTGCGGGCACCAAGTCGCTTCTTTGCCTCAGCCAGATCAACCTTTAGAACAGTAATACTTTCGGCTGACTCACTGAATAATCGCAAAATCTGAAGCAAAAATAAAATTTTAAAAGGTTGCAGAAAGAAGGCATTTACACTCTTGATATCCCAAAACAAATACTCAGAAGTCAGATCACAAAAGTTATTGTGAGAGAGAGAGAGAGAGAGAGAGAGAGAGAGAGAGAGAGAGAGAGAGGAATGCAGTACAAACCATTTGCTTGCCAATATAAAAGCAGTAACGGTAGAAAAACTATGTACTGAAGGTACTACCACATTCAGCCACTTATTTACATAGAAGGAAGTAATTATCGGAGGATCACATTAAAAGGATGAAAACTAAAAACAATGCTGCAAAGATTCTTTCCTTTTTTTTTTCCGTTTCCCTTTCCTAAAAGCAAAAGGAAATTTTTACATAAGGTACCAGGGGTATCTCCCCCTATGAGATAGTCTAAAAAGTGTAACAAACTGTCCACGTCAAAAAGTGATTTTCAGCGACTTAAAATTTAAGACCAGTATCCCTTACCAAAAAAAAAAATTTAAGACCAGTATCCATCTATTCTTTGCAACACAAAAAAAAGAGTCTAGAGTCTAAAAATCCTCAAATCACTGACTCCATGTAAGACAAAAAATTGTTGGAGGGAGGATGGAAGCAACTATCAATATTGAAAATGTCTAACGAAATGCAAAGCCAGCATTTTAGCACTAAAAATAATTGAGATATACGTGGATCATTTGCACCAGTCAATACTGGAAAATCAATTCACATTCGATCTATGAAGAATGCCCAATAGACCTTTCCCATTTGAGACCTTGTGAATGACAACACTCTTAGGTCCAAATATACAATTCCAGCATCAATGGATCCTTCATCCCAAAGATCAACAGAATATATCTCGTATACGATTCTAAATTAAACACATTGCAAGATGGAAATGAGGATATATTATCTAGATCCACTAATCCTAAATGGACAACTAACAGCAATAAGCCAAAAGCTTAATAACAAGCATTGCTTAAAATATTATAATCGTAACTTTGTCCTTCCTTTGTCAGTGAAAGCTTAGTGAAAACATTATAAAATTGCAGCCAGAATTTCATCCACTTAATTGCATGGCACCAGTATTTATGAAAAGAAAATCTGAATTGCAACAGCAAAAAATGCAAAAACCACTGTTTCCATTATAAATTATTAGGTCTAAGGAGAAGCATCATCAAGAAACCTGTGAATAATTCTGAATTGCTTTGTTGAAACCACTATGATATGCATGTACAACTTCATCGACAACTTCCTCAATGACATCACTTTTCTCCTTCAGAGTTTTAATTTTACCCTCACGATCTTTTGATGTCAATATTTCAACAACATGTGGCAAGGAGTCAAAACGTGCAGCAGCCCAACTTTCACCTATCTCTGAAAGCTCTTCCCTCAAGTACTGCAATTACAAGCAGAAAGATAAATTAGCAGATGGCAAGCTCCAACAATAGCGATGAAACAACTTTACTTATTAAGATATATGATGCAGAAAACATACAGTAACATATGCATTAGACTGCCAAATGGGCATTATTCTCAGAGAATTTATTTTGTCCAGCAAATACTATTCCAGTGGTGGTGGCGTACTTAATTTTTTTTTTTTTTAAAATGAATATTAGATTTTTGGTTATTTCATATTACTTCAAATGTTAAACCCGTGACCTTGTTACACTAAATACTAAGAATCTATGAATAGGTGTACCTAGATCTGCACTTAGACTCACTCCAAGTTAAAATGTTGTTTTCCTTTTGGCAGAAAATTCTAACATGGCTTATTGACTATAATGAGCCCACCTAAATAGGCCTTTAATAATTTATCCTCCCAAAGAACAAAAGTATTAAAGCATCCTTCACTAGCTTTAATGCCAATAAACCTTCTTATGTTTAGTTCTCTGGCCACTCGATGGTCTAAACCTAGTTTTGCATCTTTATGCTTATTCTTATATGCCCATAATGGTGGGAAGAATGACCAGCAAGACAAGGCGTGGATATTCCATAAACTTGATGCAAATCTCATCAGAGTACTCTGTCCATCAAGCTTTTGCACTAAACTTCCCACATGTGAGATTTCATCTCTTTCCCAAATGAAGGCGATGTTCGATGAATTGGTCATTCACGATATTCTCTTACACCATCCTTCTGGATAGAATCCTAGTGTAGTGCATTCGATAAGCCCAACCCTTTGAAACATCACTGTGGAGACACTCTGGTTGGTCAGTGCATCTCTAAGTTGCCCTTGATATGCCGAAACGACATAGCCATGTCTCTTTCCTTTTGTCACCATTTCTCCTATTTTCTGGTAGACAATCAATACCAATCACCAGACCTTTCAGTGTCTCGCAATTTACTTAAAAGAACACTCGAATCCCAGAAATACGCATTCGCAAAGCGATGCAATGTTCGGACCACGATTTAATTCTCCACAATCACTCCCATCTTGTTACTCTTTAAGACTAGTGTTTTCTACATCTGTATAAAACATGCCACAGCCCATCACATCTGCTCCTACTAATGATTGGATGAAATTCCTCATTAGGTCATCCTCTTCCCCTCTGAATGACCTGCATTCTGGCCATAATGTCCCGTTTTCACACTAGAATGTCTAATGGCCACCATTGCATGTGCCAAAACCACCTAAGCAGGATTATCGGCAACATCTTTTTCCGTACACCCATCTCCAATCCCAATTTTCCTTGAGTGGCCAAACATCCAACATAACATCCCAATTCCACTTGTGAAAGATGCTTCTTCACAATCCGTCAAAAACCAGAACAAAGGAGGGGATACATTAGGTAGTGGACAAAAAGCACTTCCACTTAGTTGATTCCTTATATTCACATCATGAATCATAGTAGAGGTATATTGCCACTCGGTGGTAGACCTGATCATGGACATAGCAGTCCGTTCTACGAATGGAAGGATTTACACGAGAAGTGAGGCACGCTTGGGCAAACTAGGTGAATTTTATTTGGCTCGGTCAACATCCCAACCGTGGCATGGGCAGAATTGAGCAAGGCCCGCCGACCCATGAATGATCATAAGATAGAAGGATGCCATTGTTTATATATTTAGCAAAACCCCGAAACTTTCTTACCCTTCTTCTTAATTCTTATAGCTGCACATTCCATCTTCAACCCCAAACCCAACCCCAACCCCGCCCGCCCGCGTCGGGGAAAGAACAAAGAAAGACACTTGGAGAGTGCGCGCGTGCCGTTTTACAATAGCGAGAAGAAGTGAAGAAAATATATAGACTCACCGCTTTGTCCCGAGAAATAGGCAATCCATCAAAAGTGCCCATCTGCGCCCTTTTCCTCCAGTAGATAATCCTAAGAGGTCAATGCTGGAAGTTGTAAAGAGAGAATACATTCCATGGAAACGATGCCCAAAAAGCAAGAAGTAGAGTCCAGGGTTACCGAAATAGCTAGATAGCCGGCGATGTGCGGGTTCCAGATCCCGGATCGACGGATGCGGCGTTCTCAGGCGATCAGTGAAGGAGAGACGGAAGGAACTGATTATTGTAGCCTTGCGATTTGGGAACCGGGGAACCCCAAATTCTGCAGATCTTGGATCGACGAATGCGCGGGGGCGTTCGCTCGTTCGATGCCCGTCGTTAGAAGAAAAAGGGGAGAAGGAGTGATGGAAGAGAGACTGGATTCTCTCGCTACAGCCCCCCTCCCTCCTGCTGCTCAAGGGAGAAGAAAGCGTCGTCTCGTCACGCTCCCATTTCTTCCATTTCTCAATCACGTGGGGCTAAGCAAACAGAGAGCTCGTAATTCTGCCAAAATAGGAAAAGATGCAAATTTGGTCTGAGAATTTGATAAAATTCGAATGTTGATGAGCAAGGCAAATTAACATTGGTCCTTTTAAAGTGCGCTTATTCGAGGAAAAGTGCTTTCCAAGAAATTACTTTCTTGAAAAAGAATTAATTTTCATTTATTGGGTAATATGTGACCGAAATCGTTTTTTTTTTTTTTGTATCTAGATCTCGTTTGGAAAAAAAAAACAGAAAAAGAGTGAACGACAAAAACGGAGGAGAAAAAATATCAACAGGCGGGAGGAAAAAATGCCAATCGAACTGGAATCGCTGGTTCACAGTGAGGGAATTCATTCAAGGTTCTTGAACTCGTCCCGGAGGAATTAGTTCTACGAGGAGCTTCCATTATACCGGAAGGCTGTGTTGAGTGTCATTGAAGAAGAGTTGGACCTTCAATGACGGAAAAATGAGCATAGATGAGAAAGAGCGAAAGAAAGGGAAAAAGAGTGAACGAAAAAATACCTTGGATGAACGATAAAAAGTGAGAGACTCGAGAAGAAAAGTGAAAGGTGAAGAAAAGCAATTTCAGATTTATAAGTTCATTTTTCTAATTTTATACATGAATGTTTTCGTTGACCGGAAAATATTTTCAATTGATTAATCATTTTTAGCTAACTAAACTAATTTCCAAAAAACATTTTTCGCTCAGAAAAAACTGAATTAAGATTTTATTACGTAAAAACCAGTAGATACCTTCGTTAGTAAAAGAATTAGCAAATTACTTAGATAAAATGTGATGGTTCGAGTCAAAGCCGATAAATATGAAAGTTGGAAATGTAAAATAAGGGTTAGTTAACCCAAAAATAGTTGAAAACTTATTTGGAAAAAAAAAAAAGTTGGGAAGACGCCTAAATTAAGATTGGCGATTTCATATCAGAGTTGTTAAATTTAAAGTCTTGTGAGTTGCGCGAATAAAACTCCTTCAATCGTCGCAAAAGTCGATAACTAAAAAAATAACCATAGAAAAGTTGGTACAAAAGTCAAATGAGACTTGATTATTTAAAACGTGTTTGTTACTTAAATCAAAGAAGTGGTCAGCGAGTCATTTAATTATTATCAATAACTTTGTAAAAAGGAGTGCGTAGATTGAAAAGGACGGAAAGTAAGGCGGAAAAAAAATTCAGCAATCGGTAAATTGTTCACGAATTTTAGAATAAAATTAACTATAAGTTGATAAGTGACTCCAATGCAAGCTGATAACCAAAAATATGTTAATTTGATCAGAAAAAAAAATGGTAAGTCACTTAAACTAAAATCAATTAATTCATAAAAAGAATTGTTAATTATAATGAGTTGGTAACAAAGAAAAATAAAAGTTTGCAAGTCTTTACCAAATTTGGTGAATTTAAAATCTCAAATAAATAAGTAACTCAAATGAGAATCAATAATTTAAATTTTAGTCGGTAATTTTATTGGAAAAAAGTTGATAAGACGCTCTGAGGTAAGATTGGTAAATCTGTGGTGCAGCCTGCATGCATCAAGGATTGGATCAATGATAGCATTGTCGGAAAATTTCGGGTGAAGTTTATTGACAATTAAGAAACGGATATTGATTTGAAGATAATTGTCTATTCGTGAACATACCGACAATAAAATTACATAATTAAAATTAATGTATATTTAGAGTAACGATTGGAATCGGTGCTGGCACTTTTGTTTAGGATCAAATGAGGAAAAGAAATACAAGCAGCATAAAAAAACGTAAATATCGTCCGAAAAAATCATTAAAACTGCGAAGAAATATATCCGTTTAAACAAATGACTTTGAAAAGAGGTATCCACTCATGCAAAATTGGAAACAAACAAGTAGTGTTTATCCACACTATTTAAGACCAAACCTATTATTTTCACGAGCTACATAATATTTAAGTGCTAAATGTATTTTTGTCTTTAAGGATAGCAGCTATTAGCAATATAACAAAGATACTATTCCCAAAACAAACAACACCCGAAACTACACCAAACTAAGGCCGGTGAATTATCCTCTTCTATCCGTCTAATATCAAATCACACTTTTTTGTCCTCTCGGGTGCAATTAAGTAATTTCACAAGTCATACATTCCAATGCTAAATATTTAAATTTTGGAGTTCCAATGCTATATATTATCGTCACGTCAAAATGTGCATTTTCGAGTTAATTTTCATTATATATATATAGTCTAGGACTGCTCTTCTTATATTTGATGTACAATCTTCACCATTTTTAAAACTTTACAAGAGCTGCTCCTTATTCAAATCCTCCTTGCCAAGCGAATTACTTATCGCCTAGCGAACCGAGTCGTTACGTACTTAGGTCGCTTGGGTGTGTGCAGGTGATACTGCACATATGCTAGGGTTTGCAGAAGGCGAGGTTTACACCTCCCTCCTTCCTGGCCATGCCATGGACCTCCACATGCCCCTTAATCTCTGTCTTTCAAATCCTTGAACTAATGCTTTTAGGATTTTATCCTAGTGTTATGGGCTATGAAGGGAAAAAGAAAGAAATGTAAGGCTAAGGATCATCGAGAAGACACATGAGGAAGCGAGTGCTTGTGTTGATGAGTCCAGTCCACTCATAGATGCATCATAAATGGTGGAGCCATACACGCATGCATGCAGAAGCATGTTTTGGTACAAAGTCCTCGGCAATGTCTAGGGGCTACGCACGTGGACGTGGGGGCATACGATGTTCGACGATGACAAAGGCGATCGAGAACGGTACACAGAAAAAAGTTAGAAAGTATCGCAAGAAAAAGCAAAAGTAAAATTACTCAAACTTCACCCTCGTACACACGTAAACGTGGATAAAGACCGGGGCACATATTAATATTTTCTCCGACGACAGACTTGTACAATTCGATAGGATGGGGCCCGCACCCTTCGCAATTATTTTCGTCCGTCCTTATCGGGCAGCTCGAGAAAAATCCAACGAAGATGCAAAGTCGCGGGCAAAAATGCCATTTGCGTAAGCCATGGCGTCAGCATTCGCAGTGGCACCGTGTGGGAAGCGACCATTCCCAAGTCTCCGATGCCACCCATAAATCCAACCGCAGGATGCAGTGGATGAATATGTCAGCATAAGCGCGGAATTGGCTTCCCCCAGAGATTCTACTTCCTCCATCGGGTAAGGTAAAACGTGAGCTCAAAGACACCCCAATATCAATCACAGTCCCGCTTGTGCCTTCCTTTCCCTTGGACCTCGTGTCGGATTTCTTAGACTGTTGTTCTTCGGGGTTGATTTCTTTCCTCTCTCCCTCTCTCGGTGTGTTCGTTCGGAAGGCGAGGAGGATCTCCAAAACTTCTCTTCGCCGATTCCGCTATTCCTTTCTTTCTCGTTGGAGCAACTCCGACGGCGAGGGACCGATTGAGTCTCATGGATACACATGATGACGGTGTCTGAATCTGTTCATACTTGATTGGGGGTTTCCTAATATTTTCCTCTGTTTCTTACTTTTTTTGACTAGGGAAAGTGAGTAATTTCACTGGCGCTAGGGAAAAAGAAAGAAAGAAAGAAAGAAAGAAAGAAAGGATGCGCCTGTATCGCGGGAGTGGGATGCTCCAGAAGACTGTGGGCGTGAGTTTTGTGATATGGGTCGTGTTGATGGAGCCATGTGCGGCTGGGGTTGCGAACGGGAAGCTCAAGTCGGCCACTTTCTTGTCGCCCAAGTTCGTGCTGGGACCCGGTTCCGTGGAGAACAAGCACTACTACGACATCGATTTCCCCAGAGGCCATATTGCCCTCAAGAGTTTCGATGCTGAAGTCGTCGACGAGGATGGCATCCCCGTCCCTCTTCACCATACTTATCTCCACCACTGGGTCGTTGCCAGATACTACTCCCGCCTTCGCCATCCCCAATCCCCAGCTGACTATGTGATGGTCAGGAACTCTGGAATATGCCAGGGGAATTCCGTTGGACAATACTTCGGCCTGGGTTCGGAAACACGCAAGACCGCCACATTTGTTCCCGATCCTTATGGAATCGAAATCGGTAATCCCGTTGACATCCCTGCTGGGTTCGAGGAGAAGTGGTTGCTCAATGTCCACGCTATCGACACGCGTGGCGTGGAGGATCGCTTGGGCTGCACCGAGTGCCGGTGTGATCTCTACAACGTCACTCAAGATGAGTATGGCAGGCCTCTCAGGCCTGACTACAGAGGCGGTTTGTATTGCTGCTATGACCAGACACAGTGCAGGCTCAGACCGGGCTTTCAAGGCCCTCGTAGAAGCCTCTACCTGAGGTACACCGTGGTCTGGTTCGACTGGGATACATCCATCCTCCCTGTCGACATTTACATACTCGATGTCACTGATACCTGGACTGCCCTTGATAATTCATCCGAACAAGGTGCACAACATCATTGCCAAGTGAGTTACTCTCTTTCACGATGCTCGCGAGGTCCTAAATCCTAGTACTGTTTGTATTGACTGAGGTAGCATGGGGATATTCACTTCTTTGTGCTATATTAATTATCATTACAAACATGGTTGGAGCACCCATACAGGGTGAGGTATTTTTTACACTTGGCTCTCCCATAACTTTTGAAAGTACATTCTTGACACCCCTGTTTCTTTTGTTCTTTTTTTTTGTTAATCCTTCTTCTGAAGTGATCAGCTAGGATGTGGTCGATGCAGGTTGAATACGAAGTAGAGTCTTGCAATCAAGCTACTGAAGCTGATGACCCATGCATCGACAGCAAAAGGACAAGCCTTGCCCTGCCTACTGGTGGTTATCTGGTGTATGGTGTTGCCCATCAGCATTCAGGGGGTCTTGGTGCCAATCTTTATGGAGAGGTGATTTTGAAATGCACATGCCTTCTTTCCTCACTTTATATATCTCTATTGCTGGGTCATTTGGAAATTCTTGGATAAACCTATATAACTTTCCATGGAAAGATTTATCGGTTTATAGCCTAATCAGATACCTAACTGAAATAAGTTTGGCTCCGGAATTATTTTGATGTTTAATTATTTGAAAAAAAAAATTTGAGATTATGCATGGTAAGATTGGAAAGTTTTCTGGAGATCGGTTTAACTAGCCAACCCATTGACTTTAAGGGTTGTATCAGTTCTCGTTTGGCCTCAATTTGCACAACAAATTCTTAATTCCCTCATGAGGATTCCCAAAGGACCCCCATGCTGATTGTTCTTAAGAAATCAAATTTCACAGAAAAAGCGCCAGCTTACATTGCTCAAGCACTCTCAGAACCGTTGCATACATCACTTTGTAGATCCTGGTTATCTTTATTTAGTTGGTCATCCTGAAGTTTTTTTTACCCTCTTTCCAATCAATAACCAATTCAGCAGTGGTGACCTCTCTCAATTTCCCATTATCCATGTTTAAATAGTCTACCCACAGTTATAAATTCGTGGCAGGACTTTGGTGCCATCTACAGCTTTTACCCCTGAAGCATTGGTAGTTATCTTTTGTGATTCCCTGCGCCCATTGCTTCCTGATTCTATATTCATATGTTACAGGCTCAATGTTCACTCATACCAAAATTTGAAAGAGTACATGACTTCCACTAATTTCTAATTAATTCCCATCTCATTTATATCATTCTCTTTAGGAACATGCTGCCATATCTGCACTTTAAAGTTGAAATTACACCACGTACATAATTCTTTATTGCTCCTCTGTTTTGTTAAGTTGTTGAAACTCTTCCTATCTGCATGCATCAAGGCTCCATTGTCAATAATTCATTAGACTGAGAAATGGTTATACTCTTTATTGACTTTTGTACAATCCCAGTCCAAAGTTGTGGTGCGGCTTGCCTGTAAGGGAAACAGCCTTGGCACTCTGTGATTATTTGAATGATAGTACAATAGCATTTGGCATACATAACCGATAGTGTTTATGTGGGCTTGAGACCAGCTATGGTCTCATAAAGTGTCGTTCTGATATGTGATGCCTATACATCTCTGACATGTGAAGATCACTGGCTTTCAAATAATCCCCAACACTGGCCTTTCAGATTTCTTCTGGGGAAGCATAACAGTTCTTTGTTACATGCAAGCTAAGAAAAGCATTAGTTGGTATAATTCTTAATTTTTGGGGTATTAACGCCTTTGTATCCTGCATCTGACCTTACAGATATATCTGTCCATTGCAGATTGTCCTCTATTATAACCTTTTTCTTGTGCATCATTATTAGGATGGACGCGTCATATGTTCTTCAGTGCCGGCTTACGGTACAGGGAAGGAAGCAGGAAATGAAGCTGGCTACATTGTAGGGATGTCGACATGCTATCCTCAACCTGGTTCAGTTAAAATCAATGATGGGGAAATTCTGCTTCTGGAGTCCAATTATAGCGGATCACAAAACCACACTGGTGTTATGGGGCTTTTCTATCTTTTGGTAGCAAGGGAGTTGCCAAAGTCCATGCCTGACTTGCCTTTCGCTGTCCAGGTAAGGTTGCTGTCTAAGGGTGCCTTATTGAGTGAAATGATTTCCAAGGTTTCAAAAACTGAAGCAGCTGATAGGGTAGCAGTCGCTGGGGAGCTTGTCTCTGTTACTGTTAGGATCGGGAATTTATTAATGTTGCGGGATAAGGGTGGTTGTGGGGTTGTCATTGAGTAGTCAATCAACTATATTTATTTGGGAATGAGAAAAGCAAATTCTGCCATTAACAGTCGATATCTGACATGAAGGGCGATACTCATGCATTTGTGGTTTTTGCAGATGCAGTGAAACGCTACTTTGGCCCATTTTGGAGGAGCAATACTAGCTCTTCTTGGAGTGGTAATTGCTATCACTGTTGGAATCTCCTTGAAGCGTAGAAAACAAAGAGAGGAGGGTTATCAGTCCCTTATGACATGAACGTGTTTCAGTGAGCTAAGTTATGTATTTTGTATCTCTATCAGTAATGTTACGTACTTGTGAACTGTACTTGGACTTATTTACTGGAGTTAGCAGTTACTTTGCTTTTAAAGCGCGTGTACCAGCCATGTATCAACCACAAAATAAAACAAGTCTTTCCTTCTTCTCGTCCTCGCTGACTAAGAAAGGAATTTATATTAACAGAGATTTGGGCTGAAACTGGGTTGGAAATTGTCTAAGTGACGTTTGGATCATTAGAGTAAGAAGCCGAATTGGCTGGTGCAATCAACAAACACAACCAATTGGTAAAAGGGTAGCAACCTTGTAATGCAGGTTCACAAAGTTTCCCTTGGTCCGATCAAGATGTGTAACAGAAGGATCCTCTAGTTGCGACCCACTGTATAAATGTGTTTTATCGTCTCAAACTGTGTCATTTAACATACAAAAACTTGAAAGTTTACAATTAACATGTGGGCTTTATTTTTATTGAATTCAACTGCTACCAATCCCCCGATGGAAGGTTACTTGAGGGATTATAGAAGCCCCCGGCAAAGACCTTAATAAGAGTCATGCGAGCATGAAACGAGTGTAAGCAGCTTCTTATTCAGGAAATGCTAAAAGAGAGCTGCATCATACAACGCGACAGGATGGTGAAAGATAGGACACTAGAGACGATTCGACGCGATCATCCTCTCAGAGATAAATGAAGCTTCAGGAGCCAGCTATGCATAAACGGAAGGAAATGCGTTGTTTTGGTTCAAACAAAGGACGTGATAACAAAACCTGAGCAAAGGCTTTACCTTCCCTCTGCCTCTTGTATAAATTACCTTTTTCGCCGAGATGTTCCAACTTCCAACAGGCGTTGCCGTTGTTGCTGCTGCTGCTGTCGTCGTCTGTTTGCCTTCCTCTTCTTCCATGGAAAAATTGTCAGGGGCTGTAGCCTCATTTAGGGTGGAAGATGAAGTCATGTCTCAAGATCATCAGGACAGTGGATGGACGGGTGTCAGCAAAATCACCATTGTCTACACTTCCAAAGGGGTGATTAAGGGACCATTTGGCAAGTTGCCAAATAGTGAAAATTTCTGTTCTTTTGTTCCCAAAATCAGTTTGGGAATAGAAATCCATTTGTTAAAATTTTGTGCCCATGCACAAATTTACAAAAAATTGTTCTCAGAATCAGTTTTGGAACAGAATCAAGAAGCAAAAAAAAGTAGCTTTTTGATTCTTAGAACAATTTTTCCATTTCTGATTTTTCTTGGTTTTCTTCTTCCCTCTAGGTTTGTTGTTCTTCGCCTGCCGCCGGCCACCAGCGACCGGCCACAGGCCAGGGCTGACGAGAGCCGCTCACGGCCGCGACGGTGAGGCCTCGCCCAGCCATGGCGGCGGCGAGGGCCGCGACGCCGTCGCCGGCCCTGGCCTGTGGCCGGTAGCCGGCGCCGGCGACCGACCATGGCCAAGGAAGGGAAGGGAAAGAAAGAAAAAAAAAGGAAATAAAAAGAAAGAAATATTAAAAAATTCAAAATATTATTAATAAAAAAAATTTGTGTAGTTACCAGACGCATTTCTGCTCTTTTTCTATTCTAAGAATAGAAATTTTGGGCAGTTACCAAACGCCTTCAAATGCTTAGAAATTGTTCCCGGATACGGAATTAAAAAGAATCATTTCTAAGCAGAATCAGTTCCCGAGCACATAATTGTTGCCATGTGCATCCTAAATGTTCCATTCCATTTCTGGTAAAATTGTTTGGTACCAGATTCAGTAACTAGTTGAATACATGTCCGTAACATGGATTTCAAAATCCGCTTGTCAAGATTTTAGTCTTTTTTTTTTTGGCCAACGGCTTGTAGAGATTTTTTAGGATGCTACGATATGGTTAAAATACATAGTGTGTATAAAAATTTGTAATGTTTACTATATTTACATGGATAGCATGAATTTATCAATTAATGAATATTTCTCCTTACACTAAATTTTCTTTCAGTTGAATATTTTCGGTAGCTAACCAACTTGTAAGAAAGACATAATTGACTGTATCGATATCAGTGATAACATCACTCACATAATTTAAGAAACTTAAGGAGCACGAGTTTTATATTCCGGGGAATGCCGTTTCTGCCAAGGTTGTATGTTGACAATAAACTACTTGCCTCTTTTAATTCTGTACCTGATACTTTCATGTATTTTATATTTCCCTTTTCATTTTGCTTTTACAAATCCTTTTATTAAGACCATTGATCACCTTCATTAGGAACCAAAGCAAAAATGAAAACGATTTGGGTCTTCTCAGTTTAGCTCAATAGTATCCACAAATTTGCCACCATTTTTGGGTGGTATAATTAGAAATTAATCTCTCGCTGATGGGAATGCATAGGCTGCATTAGGCGTAACGAGATTAATGATATAAATTGACTCCTCATATTTAGAGGGGGGGATTCTAATCCAAATAAGGTTGATGCGATCTATACTTGCGGATGGGGAGCATAACTTCACTGACTATCCATAGAGATCGGATGTCTACAATATCTAAGAGAACTCCGCCGCCCCATCACCAGATTACCTTAAAGTTGATATATAAGATGTAGTTTTATTAAGGAAGCAAACTATAGATTATATCACATTCGGTTAAATCTGACCAATCCCTATACATCTTCGAGACAATTCACGTCTATTTCTTCTCGTTGTCTTAAAGCAGATCAGAACAATGTCAGGTAAGCCAAGCATAATTAGAACCATACATTATGTTGAAATGTTCATTATTATTTTTTTTCTTTTCCCTTGTGTAATCAGGCTCTATTCGGTCAAATTATGGAACTATATGTTTCATTCAAATATCTTTTAGTTCACATTCTCTCCATTCTGTTGAAATAGAAAAGTGCACCAGACATTCTAAAACTAAGATATGCAACCATGTCCTAATTTCAGATTGTTCAATTAAGTTTTAAATCTTTTTCCTAAGATGAATAAATTAAGGATGCCTACGTTGCATCCTTAATTTATATTATGTTTTAAGATCAAGGGTCGGCTTGTTTGAAAAAAGACCGTTTGCAGAAAATTGATTTATGACTTTCCGGTATTTAGATGACGGAAAAGGAAAACGCTTTCCATAGACTAAAAACTAGAAGTTTATATTGGGAGGAAAAGGACGTCTCGTTTTGATAGGAAGGAAATCACTTTCTCTGAACTACAAAACAAATGAAAACTAACCATTTTGTCTAAAAATGATCGTCATGGAAAATATTTTCGTTGTCATGAAATTTTCAGTGAAATGAACACATCCTTAATTGTACTTTTCTATCAAAGATGAAAACTCAATTAGATATTTGATAAAGGTGTAGTGCTTGATCAATGCAGTAAAAGTCCTAAAACTTATCGCGAAAGTGCAATTAAGTCTTAATTTACCAAAAAGTGCAATTGAATCCTTAAATATGTCAAGTTGGTGAGTCTCTTTGTTAACCCTATTTAATTGATGACGTTGTTCTTTTTTATTCGTTTCTCTCTCGTAGGTTGGCATAGAGCTTAAAATAAAACAAGTCCATGCGCAAAACGGAGATCCTTTAAAGTTTGCCCCAAATTTCCAAGCTTTAATTGAACTGAACGTAATTTTCACATCACTTCTTCGTCCACTTCATCGATTCCTGCTCCTCTTCGTCCGAGTGTCCTCTGGTTCTTCGTCCAAGTATCCTCCTTATTTGGTGCAGCTTCGCGTAAGAACAATACTAGGTCAGTGCATGAACTATGGGGACAGCGCTATCTAGTAGTCCAATGTTGGCCTGTAAATTACTGAGAAAAAGGTATTCTTCCATGTGCTTTTCATCCCGATCTCACTTCAGATGTCCTGTTTGTTTCCCTTCTGTTATTTCACCAGTCTGACATTAATAAATTGAGCTGGAATTTTCATGCCAATAAACAAAAGCATAATTGCAGGAGTTCAAACCATGCAATCTGATTCCCGCGCAGAGAGCGGGTTCATTCCCTGTCCCTAGTAACAAAAAATCTAATACCCTCTTGAAAGAACCAGTAATAATCATTTACTGCTACAAGAAAATGTGACACAGCGAAAGCCGGCTTATGCTACAAGATGTGTCTGTGAAAACTGGTCTCTGCTACAAAATGGAAAACAGACTGTCCGGAGCTTGCCTTATTGCGACGAAATTAAAACCGAATCTTCACCTCAAGCTATGAATGAGTTTACAAACAGAAAAGAAAAACCTCAGAAGAACAAAACTTTATAGCAAGTTCTAACGCAATTTTCTCCCTCCTCCATTTGACAGATTATCATGCCTCTGACTTTAAACTTCCTGGTAGCTTCTGGCTCAGTACTTTCTCCAATATAATTTATCAGTCAAAACACTAAAATATTACCGGCCACCACCACCACCCTTTCTCAGAGGCAGGCTGACATCCTCATCATCCGACTCGATATCTCCATACTGCCACATATTTAGCCTGTCAGTCCGTGCTTCTGCCTGGTACTTTTCCAAGTTATCAAGGGCCATTTGCCGCTGCTTGGAATCCCACTTCTTCCTCTTTTCCATCCTAGCCAACCCCTCCTGAAATTCCAAAGTTAGAATTAGACCACTCAGCTGAAGAACATAAAAGCATAACTAGAGAGGCATTCTGCTACCCATCAGGTACTTTTTAAGCAGGAAAAACCACAGAAAAGTAAAAACAATTTGATGTCAGCGACCATGATAAGTGGAGAGCTGGGCCAAATAAAACGCAATGGACAAACCTACACATTGATCATTCCATCAGACATTGGAGGAGTTTTTGTTTTTAATGACAATGGTCAGGTAGCACATTATGTTTTATTCTGCTATTACATTTCATGTAGCAAATATATCTCCAGACCAGTCGTATTAAGCAATGAATCCCAAAAACTGGAACAAAGGCAAAAACTACTGACCTACATAATCGTCAGATATTATAAGGCATGTGCTAGCACAGTATTGAGTAACAACTCCTTATTAAGCAGTAAACGTGGCAATTGATTTATTGTAGAATACCAACACAAACAAATTGACATAATCAGAGGCTAAGATTTTATATCCTACAAGAGGGCAGCGTCTGTACCTTCACCATCGCTGCATTTATACTTAGATCAGAATCAGCCGCACAAAGAGTTACCATGATAACTGTTCCAGTTCCCTGACCTTTGACTTTTCCTCCTGAAGTATCCCTTTCCTCTACAGTCGCCTTAAATTCTTCTGAACTGCTTAGCGTCAGTTCACTCAAATAAACTGCTGCTTCCTGCCCAAAATCCTCATCTAAGGTTGGAACCTTGACAAATGCCAGGCTGCACAGCTGAGCAAGACCAGGTGAAGAGGCTAATGAAGGATCAAGAGGCCGTAAACGACTGTAAGGAACAACTTCTTGATTCCCATAGTCAATGTAGAACACTTCAAACTTGTCGTTTACGGATTCAACATTTCCTCGAGGAGCATTGACAATCTTCACATTTAAATAAGAACTTGGGTCATAAAAGCTTTCACAAGATATTATCATGGAAAAAACCACAAGACTGCATCCACTCAGTACACCGAACATGTTCTCACCCAAAAGCAAAAGCAGAAAAGAATAAATACTAATTCTATTTTCTTCCCTATGGAAAGGCAGACTATAAACTACTAGAAATAATTTGAGATATCAAACAAGAGAAAAAGTAAAAGACAAAAGGGTCTTGTTGGGGGCACCTGTTAACAAGACCAAAGGCACCAGTCAAGTACACTGAAATCAGAAAGGCACTTTTTGAGAGGCTTTGAAAATTGAGGTACACAGTTTAAAAAAAGTTACTTACTTCGAATGAAATATTTTACATTTCCAAATCATATTTAATCCAGCTTAACAAATGCCAAAAGGGGCACTCATTAATAAAATCCAAATCAAAATGAACTGGCCACCCAAAAAGCAAGCAATAGATCCTTTAAGAGGCTCTCATCTAGGCAGCAGGAACATGTAAAGATGGTTCTTTCGTTTTTATTCAGCATAAAAAATCTGACAGGACTTAAAGAAGTATATAAAAACATGCACTTGGATATATCTTCTCATGTGACTTAAAATTCTTTTCATAGCAATTCAGTTACCCATTCAGGTAGCATTTACAGTGACTGTATTCATTTCCCCTATTTAACTAAATCCCCCCACAAAATGACAGTCACCATGTAACGTTCCATCAGTTCTATCCTCTTTACGTATTTACCAGTCTTATACGATTCCCAACATTGTATGAGTACTCATAGTTAAATATAGCCTTATCTCTAGTCAGCATGAGATGGGCATCCCTAAGAGAGCAATCAGGGTAGAAACAACTACTCTGAGCTTGAGAAACTTACAAATGAATGTACAGAGACTAACAACATATGTTTATCACCAAAAATTTCTTGGTAAAAGCATATCCCACTTACCATTGCTCTATTCCAAGAATTATCTGCACTAAATTGAGCAAGTACAGTATCACCCTTTCTTGGATTGAATGCACCAACTAGAGGAGCGTCTTGAAGATTCAATGAGGCAACTTGCCTCTGAATGGATAACACTTTCTGATCTCCCACAGTTTGGACATAAAATTTACCACCACCCAGGACTTCTGTTACCACCACCTGAAAAGGTTAAAAAGGAAGTCAGCACTGATTTTCCAATAAGTATGTTGCAGCATCAATATATTCTTCCAAAATACCTTGAGCACTTCTTTTTGTTTGCTTTCAACCGCAGAACCATTTGACACTTCCTGCCCTTCCACATAATTTTCCCATATCTGCAACAATGAACTATATTAGATGCAATAATTAAAGAATGAGAGCACTAAGATCACAATGTTCTATTTCATACTTTCAATTTCTGCCTTTTGGCTACTTGTTCAGCCTGTTGAAGTAGATGAGCATCTGGGATCCTGTCACCACCGAAGGAAGTTTGAAGCTTTGCCAGGCCAGCTTCAAGAAGTGTTATTGCCACATTTTTCTTGGACTCCCATAGTGATCCCAAAAAGGTCCCTGTTCTATCGACAGTTTCTACTTCAATCTGTACAAATAAAACAATCGCTAATCAACACAAAGGATAAATAAGCTAACTGAGTACTAGAGTAGAGCAGAACCACATAACCTCCACATCTCTCTGCATTATTTTCCGTCTCATCAAGGCAATCGCTTCATCTGAAAAGGGCTCATCCCGACCTGGGCACCTCACACCAGAGAAGGAGAAAGCAATGCTGCATGTTTCTTTTGGTATCAAAAGTTTAAACCGATGACCGCTGAGCACATACTCCACGATGGCAGGAACCCTCCTGCTCCGCTGCAGGAATGGCAAAAAGTCCCTGGCTTTCTTTGCTGATGCCTGGAGAACATTAAAATAGATATTACTTATGAACAATCTGTCACGAATAAAGAATCGATTATAACAAGGATGCCTAACCGTAACCAAATCTGTTATGTGCATGACTGGAGGATCCTTAGAAGAATGCATCCCTTTTCTTCCGGAGACGGCCCGAGCTTCTGCTGCAAGAAGGCAATCATAGTAGTTTGATCTTTCTTCAAAATCACGATGCCTAATCACAGTCCCAAAACCACGTGCAACCACCAACTCTGCCAAATTTAGCCCCAGTGGCTGTTTGTCAGGTGTAGACGAAACCCCTGAGGCTGCATCATCACCATCGACATTGAGCGGAGATACCAGGAAAACTGAGCCAAAGTCCATCACTCTGGAATCAGCTGCTGTTGAAGCTCCATCTGCCAAGCCGACCTTCCTAGAGTACTCCATCAAAACTTTCACCTGATTGAATAAGAACAATAGGTAATGATTCAAACTATCATGCGAATGACTCTTAAACAAAAGAAAAAACGTTTTCACACTTGTTTCCCAATAAGCCGTGTTCTCAAAAACTCCCTCGCTTCCCGGGCAAATGGTGCAGGCTTTTCATCTTTCCGAGGATTCCCCAGTTTGGGGCATCTTATACTGGACAAATTAACACGTCGCTCTGCCATTGAACTGCCGTATGGGGCAGAATCATCAGCTACAACAATGCAGTCACCACTCACAACTTCTACCACCTGGAAGAAACCAAAAGGTAGGTAGAAATTCTAACAGACATAAGCACAAGCATGTGGACTTGAGCAAAGCTAGGATGATACCGTCCCACTGAAGTTTTGATCACAGATTGCCTTTGAATTACTAGGAGGAGGAACATAGTTTGTCCAAAATCTTAACCGACTTTTCTTGGCCTGGAGTTCTGCAGCCTTCAGCCGTCTCTTAGCTTCTTCTTCCATCATGTTTGCACTCCATTCGACATATTTAGCCAAACCCTGCCAAGGAGACACGAGAGGAAGGAGATTGAGTAACACAAGCTATGTTAAAAAAGAAGCACAAAATGTGGAAAGTGGTAGCAAAAAGACAAACATGCATTCAGTTAAAAGCTAAAGAAAATTGACAAGCTGTCAGAAGCAACTTGCAAATACTCATGACTGTTTATGCAGAGTTATTGGCACTCTAATTCTCAAGTTTTCTACTGTTTTCTGGTCAACTAGTAAAAGTCACATTGCTCAGGTAGACCAATCTAATCATGGGAAAAGCCTTCTTCTTTAAAAAAAACATCATTCTTAAATGAAGAGTAGTCTGTCAATTTGACTTTTACCAAAAATAATTAGTTTGACGTTAATCAAAATACAAATATGTAAATGGAAAGTTTACCAAAATAAGTATCACTACTTCTCCAAAATAAGTATCACAAAACAATCCACATTTCCTTTGGACTGAAAAAGATGTCCATTTTACTGATCAAATACAGAACATGGTTTATCTGTGGGGCATAGCTCAGTATCTAACTTCAATAGTGATGGAGGTCACAATGTGTTCCAAAAACTTAAGCTATCAAGCAGAGCCATGACATATATCAACCATTTATTACCCAACAAGTCCAAATGAATATATCCTAGTATCACGTTCAAGGCAAGTGAAGAACAAATTTCAGCATCCATGAACAGACCCATTCCATATGCAACCTTGCTTCACATAGCACGAGTCACACAAAGCAAAGCAAATTTATGCACATCTCTGAACAGGAAACATTTCCCAGTATCCAGGTCAAAGAAGACCAATCACTCCACAATCTATCGCAGTGAAGACATATCTCACAGTGGCGATATAAAAGGAATGAGGATCTTACAGAACCTCATTACCATTCACAAAGGACAAAGCATTTAATCTAATGCAAATGCACAATTGGAGTAACATACATTTTCCAAAAGCTCCAATGCCAGATCCTTTGCTGAGTCTGAATCAGAATAGAACACTGAACCTATAAGGTTACTGAACTTGTCAACACCTTCCAGGACAATACGGACCTATAAAAAAACTCCTTAGATACGTGAAGAACGGTGCTTATAGATTTTCTTGAGATCAGAAAGCAAAAAAAGGTTCTTACATCTCTATTTAAAACACGAATCTCCGTGAAATGTTTGGCTTCCAAACCAAAGGGATCAGGTGAAACATCAGCAGCTGAGGCAGCAGAAATTGCAAGTCTCTGTGCAGATGTTAAAGGGGCCCTTGGTTCAGTAGAAGCAACTCCATTCAGTTCATCAGATACTTCTGCTTCAGCAACAGGTTCGGATGCAGTCCTCCTTCCCATGGAGGGCGCCTGCGAGAAGTGAAATATTGGCAGGCAACTTAGTTAAAATTCACTTAGAAAGCCAAATCAAACAACTGAGTTGCTAGCATATTTTCCATATCGTAGGTTAGGGGAGCCCACTAATCCACAACTGTACTAACAAATATTTTTATACTTAGGCTCCGTTTGTTTGGCGGAAAATATGACATTTTTGGAAAATGTTTTCCGGGATGTCATTTTCCTGGAAAATGACATAATTTTCCGGTGTTCGGTGACCGGCGACCGGCGGCGGTGGCCCCAATGGCCGGCGGGGAAAGAAGGAGGCCGGCGAAAAATGTTTTCCGCTTTTCAAAAGAGGAAAACATTTCCCTTACTTTTCTTCATGTTTTCACTCATTGAGGGAAAATGTTTTCCGGGGTTAGTTTATTTTCCGCCCCCGAACACCGGAAAACCCGGAAAATGTTTTCCTAGAAAACATTTTCCTTGAAACGAATGGAGCCTTATTAACTTCTAAGGATCTGATTTATTCATTGATGGGAAAAATTAGAGAAATTTTAATATTCATAAACAGCATTCCATACCTTTATAAAGCCCACTATTAGAACATAAAAGCCCACTGAATGATTTCTATCATAGATAGAGAAATGGAGGAAGGGTACCACAACTATGAGAACGTCCCCCAACAAAAAGTGGGCGACAGTCTAAAAATTCCTAGCTGCAGTTAGAAAAGCAACAGCAACAAATGGTCACAGCGCGACGATTTTAAAATACAACACCGAATCATGTTCTCACCACGTTGAATAGGCTTCACATATTCGTTACACCATTTTGCTATAATCAGCATAAAGAGCTAACATGTTGCATGTCAAGCTTCAAGTGTGGTGCATATTGATAGCACATGCCCTCGATGATTTAAAACGAGCGGTTGGTTTAATTATGTTTCAGGTTACAAATCAAACAACAATAGACCGTCTATCAATCAATAGATCAAATAAGAATCCTACTAGGATCATAGATTTTTTTCCTAATTGATTTAGCAGTCTTATTATTATTTAATTGAGAGTCTATTAGGAGTTTAGATTCTTTATCTTTTCTTGAAGTGGGATACACAAGTTACCCAGGGGTAGGAGTTTAAAAGAGACTATATATATATGGTTGTCGCTCTTCCATCTAAGTCATTTATGAAGTTCGTGCGAAGCTTAAGGAAGCCTAATTGTGATCCTTAGGATGCCTTAGGTGTGATGATAAAGGAATCTACTCTTCTTAAGCTATTGTTCATTGAAAATTCCTTTCAAAGTTCAATTCAAATTCTCCTACATTACTTAACCCAGACATGAGAGAGTATTCCAAACCACCCCAATAAATGCTCCAGATACCTGAATTCCGGCAACGAATACTTGGACGAACTGAAATTCTGGAAGTAAGTACACCCTGAGAGTACTGCCATCACGAATCTGCTCAACAATGCCTTGCATGGGCCTGCCTTTATTTGCAGCGAGCAGACCCATGGCATCCAAGTTGCTAGCATTGCCAATTGAAGAAGGAGGGAGGTGTCTGATGGAAGCCTCTGCAGCACCAGGTGCCTAGAAATTAAGGGGGACATCACTTCTTCGTATTATAACAAACTATCAATTGCAGCATACAGTGCCTTGAAGAGAAAAAGATAAAAAAGCAGACACTTTTTTTGTCTATTGTACGGTTAGTCACTTTCCAGCTGATAAGGTAAATGGAACCGGGATAAAAACATGTAAAGTTTAGATTTGAGTCACCACGTAAGAAATAATCATCAACAAATTTCCAAGAGTCGGTTTATAAATCAACATGATTACTAAATATTTAACGGGCTAACTCCCAGTGCTTTCACTTTAAAAATGGTTTTACTTTATTTTCTCGGAACAATAGATAAATCTATCACATGCATTAGAATACTAAATTCATTAAACCACATCTAATCATACTTAGAGGAAAGAGAAAGTCGCAGAAGAGAGAGGAGAGTGCATGATGAAAAGGCCAGCGAGTAGAGATATATAGAGAGTAGGATACTAAGGTTTCACCCTCATCACGTGGTTGATCAAGACAGAAACTAAGGAATTTGAAAAGAAAAGGGTGTGCATATGATCACATATTTGCACCAACACACAGAATTAAAATCAAAAGCCACCTGGCTCCATCGACCAAGACCATCTTGCTTAGCTTGCTCTTCAAGACGTAGCAATTCTGCCAGAAAGGGGCTTGCCTCCCCTTTCTGTTGACCTTGTTCCCTGACCTGCAAAAGGCAGATTACCATGATTCACATAAGAAAGCTGACCGAATATATATGTACGCCATGCTGCATGCTGGAAATATGAGCATATCACCTTTGCCCAGCCTTCAGCAACCACCAGCATAGCCACATTTTTGTCACCAAGAAAAACGGAACCAAACTCTCTGCCGATGGACGGAACGGTGTAATCCACTTTGAAAGTGACCTCCTGTGCCACCACAACAGTTACACATGAATATGACCCAAAAGATGCCAAAGTGATCAGCAAGTAATTACACAGAACGGAAGGAATGAGCACCTTTCCAATGCACAACTTCCTCAGATACTCTCTGCTGTCCCATGCAAACGGCTCATCTACACCACCTTTGCGGGCCTTTGAAAATAAGCAACAGAATGTCAAAACTTGTGAATGTTGGCTACAAGTCTAAAAGACCCCAGTAAGAGCGAGAAGTTCAGTATGGGCGCATGATTAATCCGAACTCATAATGTTCGCATTCACTGAAGAGGATTGTGATAAAGAAATGCAGCATCGTGAAACGAAAGAATGAGAAGAACATTTGCGAGCGAGCGAGAGAGAGTGGGGGGAAAATTACCAGTCTGGGAGCAATAAGAGAAGAAAGAGTAATAGTCTTTTCAGGAGGGATGCCGGTGTTGCTGTTGGTCATGGCCATAATTACCAAGCAGTCCCCCGATGTAACAGCCTTCACTCTACCTCTGAACCATCCAGTGGACCCAGCTTTTGCTGACGCCATCGCCGCAATCACGATCTAAACTCGATCTGACACAAGAGGAAACAGAGACCATGCATCAAAGTTTCGTAATTTTGCAAAGCAATCCGGCGTATCAGTCCTAAAAATGATAGGCACGTCGAATTTTCAGACGCTGTGGTGCAACCAACATCAAGGAAGAGGGGAATCCGAGGATCTAATGAACCCACAGACAAAGAATTCTCTAGATCGGGCAACAGAGACTCAACTACAACAGACATGCATCCCGATCGATCACATGCAACCGAGAGATCGCGCGAGGATCCGTCTTTCAGATCCAGATAAACAATTCAAAAGACCAAATCGCGCCGCGATCTGTCTATGGATCGAGGTAGACAATTCAGAGAGGTGCTGGATGAAGAAGCCGGGTCGGGAGCAATCAAAATCAGATCCGCAATTCAAAGCAAAGAGATCGGGCGAAACCAAGCGTTCCTGGTGAATACCTACTGCTCGTAGATCCACACTAGTGGAGGAGGAGAGGGGTTTCTCCCTCGGAATGTTCCTGCCGCTGCTGCTTCACACTCAGACGGCGGGGACGATCGCGATGCAAAATGAGAGAGAGAGAGAGAGAGACCTAATGAAGAGCGAGAAAGCGCAATACAGCCTCTACAAATAAGGAAGATATATATATATATAGATATGTAATGCTGTAGGCATGGATATAACATGCCCTCATTTTCCGACAAAATTTTCTAAAATGTGCCACGCCCCAGCTTCAGTTCCGGATTTAGATCATATATGCTCAATCAAGAGCACACCCCCCCTTCCCCTTCGTTACGGACACAATAAATAACGTTCGACACGTTTTTAAACCCAATCTCACTGCCATTGTCCTTATTTCCTCCTAATCTGATATTCATTCCACTTGTCTTGTCTTAGCACGTCGGCACCACTCTTGAATTTTTAACAAAAATTCGATAAATCTGATACGAACTAACCCATGATGATGATCAATTGATCTCGAAACGCGACTTCCAACTTAAAGAATGGTCTCCTCCTCCACTCTTCAAATCCTTTCGTCTACGTCCCGGCCGTGTTCCAACAAAATTAGAGGCAACCCAAATTAGAGTCGATTGAACAAGGGGGAAGAAATCATATTATAATTTCCCTGAGACCCAATTAATCAGCCAATATTTGAAAATGTACTTGGCAACTTCATAATCAAAAGAAACTTCACAAATTTCTTAACTACGATAAATAATGATTTTTGATGTCGAAATGCCAATTTATTATCCAATTTATAGCACCAAGTATATTGCCCAATTTCGGCCAAAATCTCCGGTCTGTAATCTGTTCGAATAACCCTATAAAAACTATGCTTGTAAGATGTCTCTCGACACCCCATTCAAAAACAAAAAAAAAAAAACAAAGAAGGTTCTTGACACGAGGTTTCAACGAATTGAAGATCATGTGAATTGAACATTTGACGTATAATATAAGGGCCAGAAAGCAAGATTAACCACAAAAGGGGAAAAAGAAAGAAAGAAAAGAATAAAAAATAAAAAAGAAAAAAGTTTAGAAAATTCGAGAAAGTATGTGAACACAATTACAACATATGCTAGCCATGTTACATCAGCTAGCTAGAAAGATTATACTGAAATTTTATGTAAAAGTTTAGAACTACATCGATAGAATTGAAAGTTTGCATCTATATTATAAATTAGGATTGATGTGGTAATATTCTTTGCCATTCTTAAGCTCCTTCATATCCATGGGAATTTGCCATGTAAGTGCCACGGTCTTGAGGTTTTCCATGAACAATGATCGTGTTCGATCCAAGAAGATCGACCAAGTCGCATAGGGTTTTTGGAATCCTTTGGAACATTTTCGAGGACGTGCGATACGGTAAATGTACCGAGTTTTAGGATAATCTCGACATAAATGCCAGCAATTGGTAGATGGGGAGATGGAATCTTATCTGTTAAATCGAAAGACAATTAACAATTGTAACAAGAGGGACTCTTGTATAAATAGAGTGCCCTTCCCTCACTTATAATCATCCAAATGCTTGAGCAATAAAATGCATTCTCTCTTGGAGTTTCGGGAGAGCCTCTCTTTCTAAACACCTTTTCTTTCTACGATTCAGGTGAGCGAGCGATCCATTCTTGGACCAACCAAGCGTATAGGCTATGCCAAAAGATGACAGTAAGCAAGGGTTACGACCCTTGATGCCGTCAACACTTCAACTCAAGCATGGGCTGAGGTGTTAGAAAGCGAGGACGTGCTTAGGTCCGTTTTGAAAGACATCTTGCTATTTGAATATAAATTTGGCAGGTTGCAAAAACTTCCAAAGAGCTCTCGCCTCATTGATGGAAGCGAGATGGGAGACAAGCTCATGGGAAAGAACAACTATCTAATTCCGTTGATTAGTTACCTGTTCAATTAGCTGAGCGGAGCTATGTACTTGGTGAAGCTTACTATCGTGAATCCAATATCCTAAGATAAATGAGCTCAGTTCAAGTTTTAGGTCATGCCAATTGGTCTAGCCGATGCACCAATCACATTTTGCACCTTAGGAAGGAAAATAGAGTGCAAATTTCACACTACTAACACAATCTTAAAGAAGGAAAGCTACTGGACTACGTCCTTTGAACTTGACATGCGCCGAATACGGGGGAAAATCATACTAAATTCGGCTAGTTGGCACTTCACTCATGAATAACAAAACTACATTATACAAAGGAAAGTGATCAAGATACTTTAACAACCACAAGTTCAGTCAAATGGAGAGGTTCCCGCACCCCAAAGATTTACCAGACAATCATTTCACATAGGAGACGCCATCAGTTTTATTATTGAAATAGCTGAGAAAGAACACAACACATTTCTCCATGGTCACAACAGGCATATGCACACAGATGTTCAATTCGTACCCATGAGGAAACTCACAGATGCATCTGCCTTGGAGGGTATCTTTTTGATTGTGCATTCGGAGTCCAATCATTTGGTCCCAGATCATTTATAGGTGGTCGCTGCTTGTGATGATCAGTGACTGACTGATAAGCTATTGCCAGTGCTAAAGCCTACAAAAGAATTCAACATATTGTGAGTACCCGGCAGTAACAATGCAACTCTAGTTTTTGTGCCAATGATCCTTGACTTCTCTGAATGTTCAACAATATCATGAAAAACCTGAATTCAGTGCCATCCAGTTTTAATTCTCATGAATAGATGCACAGCAATATTTAAGAAAAATAAACATATCAAATACTTGACAAGATTTTTAACTTTCATCTCAAATGGTCCTCCCAGGAGCATCAAAACCTCATAGAGGAGCTAACTTTACTAGCTCACTAAACCTAAAAAAAAAAACAGAATATCCACCCGAAACATTCTCATGACCCCTAATGAAAAATCAAGCCAAAGAAAGCTTACAATATGATCCTTTTGAGGAGGAGCATATATGCCAGTCGTGACGGTCTTTCGTCGTCTCGTGCCACTAGGAGGTGAAGCAGATATGCTAGCATACCCAGTTGGAACAACAATTACAGGCATTCCCACCAGATTTCCCAGACAAACTTTTTCCCAGTCCGTTGCATTTCCAATGAGAGCATCAACATTGAAGCTTTCTCTTACTTCCCTAATCAACTTTCCTCTAGCTCTTTGTGCCTGGGGAGAGATTGGCTCACTTTTAACCACGAAGGAATTGGACAATACGAATTTAGATTTACTGTGATTAAAGTGGGTCATTACAATTTGGTAACATAGCATAATGCTTAGTTCATTCTAACACGACAACCACCCAATCAATCAATACTGGACAATGAAAAACATCAGGCACTATATGTTGTTCGCTGAGTCCTAGATGAAGAATACTACAGCAACATCTAATCAAGAAAGAGGATGATACTCCAGGCATTAACTTTGTCGTGGTTGTATATACTTCATTGGTCAAACATCATTCACCCTGAAACCGAAAAATATTAAGCGTGTAGGAAGCTATTTAACTGACACAAGCCTGCATAATCAATTTAATTTGTCAAACGGCACTAAAAGCACATGATTCCACACAGGACATGACATGCTACCTTACCATAAGTAGTTCGTGTAAATCCTTACATTAAATAGAACAACCACATATTGCTCACTCAAAATTGAGGCTTCATTGTATGGCATTTTCATTTGCTGTGAGTGGGTTGTTTCTTGCTTTGAGTTGGACCAAGTTAATAATGCAGCTTATAATTTGCACCTACACAGGCTACACTCAAGGGAGCTGCACTCATGATTCCAAAACATTTGGTGGTATCGTGCCTGAATCTTGGCAGTGTCTAGGAACACTCCCAACCATCCTATCAAACATACAGAATCTAATTTTCTAGCAAAAAATGGTTATATTTTAAGCATTCACTTGTCCAAGAAAACAAGTCAGAAAGGGTAAATCTGGTTTGTTTTGATTGTGTATAGATCAAGATATCTTTACCCAATGGAAATTACCCACCAAACCCCACCCAACCAACACAACTTGAAGTCTAGCAAAATAAGACTCCCAATTATACTCCAAGCATGGTGCTTGATATGACCGAAAACATAACTTATCTGCTTTCAAGTGTTCTACATTTGTCTGCCTAAAGCTTATCCCACAGAAAAAACCCACCACATCATCTTCCATTGAAAAAATGCTTGGCATCGTAGAGCATTATGCAAGCAATCAAGCATGGATACTTGACCCAATCATTTCATGATCATTATCCAATATATCACACTTAAAAGATCATCAGTTATAACCTATTTTTCCAAAAATAAAGCCTGCTCTAGAGGCCACCGGGACCTCTGACAAGGCATCATTACGATTTAAAATAACTACCAAATCAGAAATTAGAACAGTTCAGCTTGAAAAATTCCATCATCAAACTAATTACAGTAATCGGTTTATTCACTCGGGCATGTATTTGCTATATTTGGAACCAAACTCTTGAACAAAGTAAACGCTTGAGCTTAGATTAGTAATACAATCAGCAATAATAACAAGCGGCAAACCTGCACATAGTCCACAGCGGGAACCATCCGTGCACGGCGCAGTTCAACGGGCCATTGTTCTTGAGCTTCATATTGATCATCCTTTCCCAAACGTTGCCACTCATCAAAGTGAGCCAACATATCCACGTCCATTGTGAAGTTCAAGATGCCTTGAACAGAATCAACAGTGTAATTTAATCTGAAGGGAACCATAGTAACTCCCTTTGAGGAAAGAACATGAACGACCTGAAATGAGAGAGAAATGAGGAGGGAAGAGGAGGGGGGGGAGCGCGGGTTGGTGGATTATAGCTCAGGCATCATTTTAACTGAGAAATATCAAGTTCCATGTTCATGTCCCTAAAGAAACCAAGTATAAAATTACCTCCATCTCAGCATCATCTAGGTATCCAACAGTAAGCTTTGTTATATCTACTGTGAATGGATTATCAAGGGGAATGTCTCTGGATGAGGGATCATCTGGATCCCTTCCTCGAATAGCATCAAGAATAATAGTGCAGTCTGCCGCACTCCTACAGAATGGACCGAGCTTATCCTGCCATGAATTAGATTGTCATCATTGTTAACCTCACATAGGAACAATCCAGGAGGACAATAAGAAGTTACCAAGCTCTCAGATATGCTCATGACACCGCTTCGTCCAACAGTACCAAATGTTGGGCGTAATGCTGTCACACCACAACGGGCAGCTGGATAGGTGATGGATCCAGCTGTCTCGGAACCAATAGCAAAAGGGACCATACCTGTTGAAGAAACAACAGTCAATGTCAAAAGAATCTTCATTTACGTCAACCAAACTTTTTATAGCTTTGTTAAATTTATCTTCTGCCCACTAGCACACAATCAAGTGAACATAAGGTGCAGGGATCTACATAGTGGTACCGTGGCAGGAAAGGAAATGGGAAATCCTTGCTGAACAGGAACAACTAAGAGAGAAGTGAAAATGAACCTGCTGAAGTGCAAGCAGCAGGCCCAGCTGATGAGCCAGTTGAAAACTCTTCAATGTTCCATGGATTTCTTGTCCTTCCGCCAAACCAAATATCATCATATGCCAGAGAGCCAGAAACAAGCTTTGCAACTAGAACTGCCCCCGCTGACTTCAACCTATATTCAGCAGATTCACCCCATAACATCTATTACGATTTACCATACAACGGCACCGGATAACTGGAGCACCTTAAATACCTCTTATAGACCCATGCATCGATATTAAGAACCTGATCCTTAAAACTTGTTGAACCCCAAGTGGTGTGGTATCCAGGCACGGCAATTATGTCCTTCAAACCATAAGGAATCCCATGGAGAGGACCTACAATGCACATGATCACATATAAGTTGATGTTGTAACAGAAGAACGATTTTGATCGTTAATAATAGGTTCTACTATGTCCCATCTCTCAGATATTGAAGTAGAGAAGCAAATATAAACTACCAAATGCATTTTAAAAATTGTATGGTAGGTACTCCATCAAGAAAAATACCCAAATATACTCCTTGAGCAAGCAACTCATCAGCCCTTTTTGCTTGTGCATATGCTAATTCTTCGGTGTAAGACACCACAGCTTCAAGAATGCCATTATACCTGATGGCATTTTTAAAAAGAAAACATCACATAACTCCAGCAGGCATCCCCAAGATAATATATACTGGATTACCTTCTCAATCTCTCAAGGAAAAGTTGAGTAAGCTCCTCAGAAGTAATTTGTCTTGTCCTAATAAGTGCCCCAAGTTCAAGAACCTGCATAGCACCCAAGAAAGCTATCACCAAATTTGATCGCAGACTTTGCCTTGATTTGTAATATTGAGTTTGCTCAACAAAACCTACACTCATGAAGGCAATATCTTCGTTGTTTCCTGGTCTTTGTATATCAGATGTCGTAGGATGTGTAAATCTTCTATTTATGCCATCCGGCTGTTCAGAGCCCCAGTTGGGATCAAAAACCAAACAAGAGGGATTCTGCAAACCTCCATCAACAGAAGCCACAGATTTTCTGTTGGCCCTGATTATGGGAATATTGAACTCTTCTGCACCCTTTGTGACCTCCAGAATCTTATGGAGAGTATGATAAGTAGAATGCAAATGTGGCTTGGCCAGAGATTGTTAATCCTCAAAGTCAAAGAAGAGGCATTAATCTAATTACCATAAAGAAGTACCTTATTATCGGTGAAGAAATCTGCGTCCAATAATTTAAATGCATGCCTTAGCGATGAAACTTCACTATTCTGTTGAGGACATTGACTTATTTTACTCTCCTGATCAAGGAAATAAGAAGGAGCACATTATAGTCGAGAACTGAGTGGATTCGATAGAATGGACTGCTTATACATGGTCCTTAATGAGAATTACCTGAAAGCAAAAGGTATCAATAGGAATCCGAACTTTCTGACAAAACATTTTCCAGATTAATTTATAGGTTCTCACCTGCTTTAAAGATATCAGGGTAGGCTATTCTGGATAGCTAGCAAATAACAATGTTTCTGAAGTGCAGAACCCATCCATATTGTGAAGTGTGATTGATGAATGGGCAACTATAGGCATGCAGGCAGGTATTATTATCTGGCATTCTCATTTCACGCGTGTGAAATGCAAGCAGAAGTACTCGCGACAAAGAACTGGAGGGTAGGCGGAAAGAAAGCATAATAAGAATCGAGATCATGGGTTAGGGTTAGGATCTAAACTGCAAGTCATTCAACTTGGAAGTTGTGAGGAATTCAGGAGATTGACCAACCCCGGGTACATGCATATAGACAAAGGCATAACATAACGGACAGGAAGCGAATCAGTTGGCTAATAAAAGAGAGGCCCAGTACCACCATCCTTATCGTTTCTTGCAAATCAACAATCAATCCGCCAAATGAAAAAGGGGATAGCATACCATGTCCAAGGACGTCAGGGCAGCTAAAGCTGGGTGGGCTGGCGACGGAGTTGAGCAGCTGAGACAGGGAGCAGTCTGAAACGGGTCGTGATCGTGGGGAACGACCGACACAGCACCGCCGCAACACAAGAATAGGGAGAGACAGAGACCAACGCGTGGCAGCACCAGCGCCGTCACGCCGGGACACTTGCCTCGAAGGAGAAGCGTCGCCATTCTCGTACAACGCCGTCGCTGTGATGATGGATGGGTGCAATTTCTCCCTTCACCTCTCTACACAATTTCGATCATGTCCATCGGTCAACGCAAGACCAATTGGGGTCCTTTGCCCCGCATCCGGGAAGGAAAGGCCCTCAAGGGCCTTGGGTCCCACCTGGGACCATCGATCAATCTATTTATATTTCTTCTTTGCGTTTTTTCTTTTTTTCACATAAATACGAAGTTGCGGCTACTCTGAATTACTCTTTTAGGGAAATTGATCAATCGGTTATAGGATAATTTGCTAACTAGGCATGCTGACGAGTCACGTCGATCAGAAATATTAATAAAATATTACTACATTAGATTTTCGGCTATCCAAATTGGAGTTAGCACTTAATTGATTTGGAAAAAATTATTGACACTAGGCTGTGTTCGTTTGCAGAAAAATATTTTTTCGAAAAATATTTTCCGCGTTTTCCGGTGTTCGGGGGCGGAAAATGTTTTCGGTGGGAAAACATTTTCCTTCTCCACCCCCAAATCCTTCATTGTTTTGAGGAAAATGATTTCCTCTTTTCACAAAGAGAAAATCATTTTCCCTTAAATTGAAGGCAAAATTGCCCATGGGAGGGAAAATATTTTCCGTGGGAGAGGAAGTTGATCGCCGGTCACCACCGTTGGCCGCCGGTCGCCGGTGAAAAATATTTTTCGAAACTTTTTCATATTGATCGCTGAACACCGGAAAATTATGTTCCGGGAAAACATTTTCCAGGAAAATATTTTCCGCCAAACAAACGGAGCCTAAGGTGAACGCTGTACGAAATGTTTTACACTTATAGTATTCTTATGCCAATGTCGTGGCAACGTGAAGATGTGGAGCCGAAAGCTTTGGAGATGCAAAGGCATGGTTGAAATTGTTGAAGAATCGCTTATGGGCAATTACGTTTTAAATACTATAAATACAGGTACTTGTGCATCGTGGGACATTCCCCCATCCCCGCAAACAAACAACTAAAACTTGTTATCTTTCGATTCTTGTATTGTCACTGTAATTTCCAAATATCTCGTTGTCGATTAGATTCCGACGTGTATCTTAATCATAAATTTCAAATCTTCGTCATTGATTCCATTCCAGTATTGTATCTCTGTATCATGACGTTGATTAAATTCCGTTAAAGTATATCTATCGGTTTTCCCGTGCTCCAGTGACATATCCTGTCCGAAATTGTTATAGGACCTGTCTCATCTCAGAAAAAAACCAAAAAACGGTTTTCGGTAAAAGGTATTTCGTTGTCGAATCCATTTCTGACGAAAGAGTTTCGATCTTTGTTTGATGTAATAATCTCATAGCATGCCGATCACTTGATTGAATTTGTACGTTCTCCCTTTGGCCCTCGCCTCTAGCTCACGAATGCGTGGCAATTCTTGTTATTGATTTCTGCACTTGACTGAATAAAATTGTTACATGTGAAGTCCAATATGTTAGTCTAATACGAGTATGAGTACATAAAGCTAATATGTGCATGGCTTACGGGTTGCTATTTCACTTTTGCTTAGAATGTTTATCATGAATATGGACTCATGTTAAGTGAATTCCCATGGATATTCCCTGTGTTTACTTGGGGTGCGTATGGTAACGTTTCTATTTCTGGGAACAATTTCTTTTCAGAAATAGTTTTTTCTATTTCTATTTCCTGGAAGAGTTTCTGAGCAAAATAATGCGTTTGGTAACTGCACAAAATTTCTATTTCTAGAACAGAAATGTGTTTGGTAACTGCACAAAATTTCTATTCCTGGAATAGAAAAAGAACAGAAATGCGTTTGGTAACTGCACAAAATTTATATTCCCAATTTTTTGCATTCAAATCTATATCTTTTATTTAACTATAAGTACAAGTTATAAGTGAAAAAAACCAATAAGCATGATTTATTGGTTTGTCTAATCCTTTTTAGGGTTTAAAACCCTTTTTAATCCCTAAACTAAGGAATCTTAAAAATACCACTTGGGCACCTCAAAAATTTAAATTTCACTCAAAGTGGGTGGCCACAGGTATTATCAGTTATTATGTGAATTTTTTTATATTTTTTTGGGATAAAATTTATTAAAATTTTTTACTTTCCCTAAATCTGTTTCTTTTTATTTTTCCGAAGATTTTTTATGAAATTTTTTTAATTTTTTCAATTTCAGAATTTTGCAAATATTTAAGGGTTTTATGAGTTTTTCTGATTTTTATGGATTTTTTGAGAATTTTTCTGATTTATATGAATTTTGGGAATGTTTTAATTTTCTAATTTTTTATGGGATTTTTCTGAAATTTTTCTAATTTTTATGAATTTTCGGAATTTTTTAATTTATTCTAAGCCATTATGTGAAATTTTTTTTTGTTTTTTTTTTGGGGAAAAGTTTATTAAAACTTTTTACTTTCCCGAAATTTGTCTCTTTTTATTTTCCAGAAAGCTTTTTATGAATTTTTTTAATTTTTTCAATTTCGGAATTTTGCAAATTTTTATGGGTTTTCTGAGTTTTTCTGATTTTTATGGATTTTCTGAGAATTTTTCTGATTTTTATGAATTTTTGGAATTTTTTATAATTTAATTAATTTTTATAATTTTTTTTATAATTTCCGCAGAGAATGGACCGGACCGGTGCTTTGAGATGGTTTGCAGACGACGGAGGATGGAGGAGGAGCTGAGGTCGCGGCTTGAGGACCGGACCTTTCTATTTCTATTTCTATTTCTATGAACAAAGAAGTAGATTTTTTCTACTTCTTATTTCTGCTCCAAATCTATTTCTTGGCCACTTTTCTATTCCAAGAAATAGAAAAATAAAATGCGTTACCAAACGGATTTCTGTTCTTTTTTTGTTCCAGGGAACAGAAGAACAGAAAAATAAAGAAACAGAAGCGTTACCAAACGCGCCCTTGATCTACATCATGTTACATTAGCAACATACTAGCACTAGTTTCGTTTCAATTAACTCTCTTTTCACAGAAATTCAGGATGTAGTCCAATTTGCACACCAACCTTACTTCAGTTCAAACCGGTCATTGAGGTAAAAATAAAAAAGTTTGGTTTTTAATTAATTATTAATTTCGGCAATTAGTATAGATACATTTATTCATGTTGATTTCACATTGTGTCTTAGAGTTTGTATGTTCATATTATGTTTGAATTACAGCATTATGGCGTTTCAGCCGTAGTTATGTTCCGGTGTGCACTAACATTGTCCTTGCAGGAAGTCTAAGATATTTTTTTTTTGGTCGAAGGTTATGTCAATAGTCATTTCACAAACCAAGGGTCGTGTTACCAAGTGTTGGTTACTGTGTTTAAATTATGTGTTACATTCGGCATGTAGATTAGTTTATGCATATAGATTTTAGTTCATATCTATTTGGGCACTTAGTTGATTTTTTTTTTTGGTTTAATTTCATTTTTATTAAAAACTAAACAATAAATAAAAAAAGCGAGTAAAAAAAAAGATAGATTGCGTTTCGTTGATAAAACTAAAAAATATATATCTAGGAGTACATTTAAGGAAATTTTCATATTTAAAAATAGATCCATTAATGTTACATTATACTTTAAATTGCGTCAATTAGATTTCATTTTCAGTTATAATAGTTTATTCATAGGAAAGTAATTTATTTGGTAGATTTTTATAGCATATGATATATTAAACTTTCCTGTTTGGGTATCATGCATATTTGGGAGAGTTTCTATTGAGTTTCTATTTATAGCTCGAGGGGTCCAGTCTTGAGGCATCCGCGTGTAATTTTGTCTGATGCGGCTCAGATTTTTTTTTTTCCGCCTTTTTTCTTTACTATATTTGATTTATAGTCATTATTGCTTGATTTTAATTTGTGCTGCTTGCACACTTATACATAATCACCTTTCCACATGTTCAGAGGATTTAGGGAATAATGAAATTGATGAAGATAGCATACAAATGTTTTCATAAAAATAAAAAATAATAAAAGGGCGTTAGAATAATTTAACGTAACTAAATTTTTGTATTCATAATCTTGATTTGTTGGAGCAAGATGGACTATTGTAATCTATTCGGGTTTCCAATCGGCACATAATTGATAAGTGGTGACTCTTTAATCTAATCTTGAAAAATAATTAATTGAGAAAATCAAATGACGATCGATAGTACTTGAAAGGGCCCGTGTTAAGTGCAAGTGCCACATTGAAGTGGGTTTTTGCTTGCAATTTTGTTTCGAAGTGTTTTTTTTTTTTTGCTTGTTTCTACGTCATTGGCGTGCGAACAATGAATATAAATTGATTGGATAACTACATCTTCCAACGGGTAATTTTCTCTTCACCTTATTTCTGTGGATGAACCATGAAAATGGTTTATCCATGTGGAGGGTTCCTGGGTTTGTTGAATTGAAGTCTGTTTGTGCCTCCGTTTTCTTGGCTTCTTAGCATGAATTGTGAAATCTCACCCTTTTTTTTCTTCTTTTGTGAATTTCTTTTTAGAATATTCCTAAGAAGAATTGTCGTGAGATCTTAAAGTACCTCTTCCAAGGTATGTTACTCAGTGGCACATGATTAATCTGTGACTACGATAATGTCTGCTAAGCACCGTACGTCTTCGTCATTCATTTGTGATGTGTCCACTTTCCATTGAAAATTTGCTATTTAGCTGAATCTGGGGAAATGTAGTCGTGTGATTTATATGTAATTGATGAATCATCACGTTAGAAAAGAAAAAAGTTGACATGAATTGCCAAAAGCTCTAGGATGCTGGTTGCATTAGGATGTCAGACCTATCTGTAGAAAAGAGTGCAAAACTAGAGTCAATAAATATGAATAAACTTTGATTGGGCATAAGTTTTCTATCCAATATTCTATTAATTCGATTTTTGCACCTATGACCTATGAAAATCGAGACAATGGGAAGATTTTTTCTTGAATATATATGGAGATGCGATTTTAAGTATCAGGTCACGGACTTTCCGCAGGTATAAAAAATCAAGCTAATGGGAAGGATGTCAAAGCTATCATTTTTTAGAATTTTTCGTTCGAAAACCCATTAACTCGATTTTTGTACCCAC